ATTTAACAATTTGTAATCGCATTGCAACGCTTTCGTTTCTGGTTCGTTAAAATGACTGCAATTGGGAATATAAAACACAAATAGCACGGTCTAATAGTTTCTAAACTAAATTGTTTGACAAATGTACACTTGGGACCTTTATTTATTTATACCGCACAAACTTAGTGCTATTTAGTAAAGCTCCTCTGGCGCTTTCCTCGCCGTATTGGAAACGCCTCAATAAACACTTATCAATTTATAAATATGTCCCTACCTAATAATCGCATTAAAAAGCTTTTGAGACAATTTTCACTTTAGAAAATAATACTTCATTGTCGTTGGCATATTGATGAGCCGCTTTTTAATATTTTGACGTCTATATTGTGATTAAGGCTCGCAGCTGTATAGAAATTATACTTCCATTGTATTAATACAAACCTTGTCACTCTCACCTTTAACAAGTGTTCGAAAATTTATTGAATGCTACGACGTATCTGTTAACAGATGTACAAATATTTTACATGGAACAATGGAATTATTCTCTTTATAAAATCGACGCTCAAATAAGGAACAATAAATGTTTTATTTCGTGAATATCATTGGCAAAAACTCGGGAGACCCAATTTCAAGTTTATACCAAATGTGTCGGAGTCATAATGGAAACACTTTGTATCAAAAGCAAACGTAAATTTCACGCTCTATAAATAAAACAAAGACTTGTAGATTGGTCTGATAGATTTAGGTCGTGACCCTACGTTTAATTTCACAAATTTTGGCCTAAGCGATACAACGTTATTAATAAAGCATTTAGTTAATAATATGGAAAGTATGTTAGATGTTATTCATGTTTCTTCGAGTGCCGAGGCATTTGGGTCATCAATTGTAACGTTCAATGTTTGTTCCTATTCTGTAAACTTTATTGTCCCATTTTCAACTTTTCTTCCCTTACCTAAATCAGCAGCAACAATTGCTGGAATTGTCAAAAACTGGGCCATACAAACCGTCAATGCAACTCGCCGAGGACCATCCATTGTTACAGCTGTGGAAACCCGAACGTAACTTCAACAAATTGTTTGCGATGCTTATAGGGTTACGAATACAGCAAGAGTCAACAGGACAAGCTGTCTTTCCCTGATAACCAATGAGCCCACCATTAAAAAATTTTCACAACAAATTTTACTGCCAAGAATATCAACGACCTTACCTAGAAATAAGCATCTTCGGTTACCCATTCCTAGGATTATTGTATTCAGGTGCATCTCGTACCATCATCGTTTTATCTGGGTGGACAATTTTGAAAATACCGGGTTATCGACAACAGTTACAACAATAAAAGTTAATATGGCTAATGGTAACACTTGCTTTGTCACAGGAAGCATTCTAGTACTAATTAAACTAATGGAGAAAATTGCACTGATAGAGGTGTTAATTGTTCCCGAATTCTTGGTATCGACTTCTGGAGAGCAATTGGCATCATCCCACACTTTCATTTTAGAGAGATGTCCAGTGGCGGCTCGTGCAGGGGGGTCTGGGGCGCCGCCCTCCCTACAAGGAACACTAGATCACGTCGTAACGCATATTTCACATTTTATAAATGTTTAGTCATTTACCACAAATATTGTTTTCAAAAATTACATAATTTCCGAATTATTTACTTAAAAATAAAGGGGCAATCAGTTATATGCATGAATTGAAGCGCGCGTAAAAGCGCGGCCGAAGGGCTCTCTATTCTCCGCCCGAAATCCACTGATGTTAGCTAGCCCGCAGACGCTATCGCGCCGGCGCTGAATGTGGTTTCCATGGTAACGATGCGTGCTTACATTTATACTGCGGGCGGAAACTGCAGAGCCCAGTTACTCAGTATAAACGAAACGGTTTATACTATCACGTTTTTACGTCGTAGTCGTAAATTTGCATCAAAAGCAAAGCAAATGAAGGTTTTAAATTTAATTATTAATTAATTACAACTGTTGTACAAAGCTGTTTCTGGGTATTAAAATAAAATGAATTAAAACTTGGGTATTTAAGGAAAAGAGATTGACAACGTTAACAATGTTATCAGTTGATTAATTCCATCGTATATTTATATAATTAGAATTGCTACGGTTACTGTCCATACTTCAGCGATTATTTGCAAACGTTAAATTGTGTTGCGTAATTTGATATTTATTCAGAAAATAAATATGTACTTATGCCGAATATATGCTGAAAAAGCTCTACTTCAGATCATTTTCTACTTCTAAGAAAAGTCATTGAAAAATTCATTTTTGATAAAAACGGAAGGATAAAATTCCATTAAAAAAAGTACCAACATTGTAAGTAAGCATGTAACAATAAACTGTTGCTTTTTACAAATGTCGAAGTTTTGCTCGGCGCCCTTCCAAAATAGAAAGCCCACCAGCCGCCACTGGAGATGTCTAAGCCCATTTGTTAGACGTTGAAGATCCACTAGCTTTAGAAAAAAGAACACAATTGGGGGAACTAATTTCAAGTAAATTAGCTAAAGCACTTACCAATCTTGGCTTAGGTAAAATATCTGAACATGTAGTTGATACAGAACCAGAAATCATACAAAGACACTACCCGGTCTCACCACATAAATATGAGATGTTGGATCTAGGCGTTATTAAAAAGTCATCAAGTCCATGGTCCAATCCAATTTGTTGGGTACCGAAGAAAGATGCAACACACAGGTTTTGTGTGGACTACCGTCCGCTGAACGAACACCCAAAGAAACATGCATATTCCTCCCTTATATTTCAACCATTCTGGACCAATTAAAAGATGCAAAGTATTTCTGCAGCATTGATATTAAGTCGGCATATTGGAATATTCCACTCTCAACTTTGTCCAGAGAATATACAGCATTTACAGTACCTGGGTGTGGATTATTTCAATTCACGAGTTTCCCATTTGGATTGTTCAACGCCCCTGCCACGTGGCAAAGTGTTATTGATAGCGTAGCCGATTGGCTACGGTGGATCTACAGACATCAGTTCTAGTCTACTTAGACGACATTATTGTTGTGGAGGGAGTTTTGAAATGTGTTATGCATTGAACTATATACTGTTACAGAGTATATAGTTCAATGGTGTTATGTTAGTTCAATTTTACAACATATTAAGTTTGCAACATCGTACTGTCCTGGGAAACGTCTAAAATTGCGTTCAATCCCATTTACTTGAACCGTGATTTAGTAATTCGGTTACACCACGACGGATACCGAAGCGACCAACCATTCATATTGTCAAGGGTAATCAATTAACGTATAGAACTGTCGGCGCTTAGGACACCATAGAATTGAATGTCCAGAACCGCGGCAGCTGTTTTGCCTAAAGTGTGACGCTACGGGCGTTACTGTACGCCCGTGTAGATTTTGTTTGGGAAACGGACCCAGATGGACTTCATAAGTCGTCGGGAGCTCTCTGATAGTCCATTTACCACGACCACGTGTCTTCATCATGCCTCGGCTAAACCCAAATTAGTTTGTTTATTGAAACGTGTGGGCCAAGATTTGAGACCTTATGTTGAAGTCCACATTTTTTGTATGCTTTTTCGGAGTATTGGATTCGGGCGCGGTGAGACGTTATTGGTATTGATGAAACCCTGTTCTCCAAAGTACAACATTTACGTTTACGTTTTATTAATCAACCTACGTCGTGTTTTATTGCGGATAATAGCACCATCACTTCTCGCCCAATATGAAATCAGTACTCGATCTAGGTACTACCAATAGATTAATACAGTTCGGTTTTTCAGAGTAAGGGTCGTCGTCACATACCTCAATCTATTGATAGTACCTAGATCGAGTACTGAGGTATTGAACCTAATATTTCTGATAATTGCTGGCATTTTACTTCTGATCTATCCGTGAAGTCAATTTCTGCCATTGTGGAAAGACCTCTTCTGAGTGTCGAACAGCAGCACGCTTTACAGGCTCCTCTTACTGTTTGGGGCAATGGGAACGATCTTAAGTTTAACCACCGTGGGAGCTTGTACCAATTTTGCAGAATGCCTTTTGGGCTGACAAATGCACCGGCCACATGGTAACGTATTATTGAACAAAAAAACTCATTAAATTTTTAAGCGTAACTTCCAAGGGAGAGCAACCACTACCCGAGGCTGCCAAATCTTCAGTATCATTGGCCTCGCTGTTTGTATTACTCGCACCGCGAGGATCTTTGCGAAATACGCAGTAAGTCATAGGGCAAGGAAACAAAAGTGCAGCAAATTTATCCGATGTAATGCCCAAAGTACCTAGAGCTAACAGAGTACAGAGTCTAACAGCTTGCTAATCTTCACCCTGTATGTACTAATCCTTTTGGTATACCAGTCACGCTGCTCCATTTCTGTCATTAAAGGCTCTTCGGAGGTGTCACTTTCTAATAACAAACTGTAAATCTGCGAGTCTTCAAGGTCTTCAATTTTGAGTTTAAAGCACTTCCAAAACACTTCTACTTCTTCATGTATTACCGGCTTTTCTTTAGTAAAATGTCTAATTCATTAAGAGACTTTGTTATATGTGAACAAACTTTTTCTTGATTTCAATCACATCATCCATATTACAGAATTTTTATTGCGAGTTTCGAAAACTACACAATCTAGGATAGGTGTCAAAATTTTTACGCTGTTTATGACCAACTTTTAATTCATCTCAGTCCTGTCACGGTCGCCCAACAATGTTAAATCCTTGAAAAACTACCCCTTTTACAAGGAAAATCTATACAATTACTTTATTTTATATGTCATAAAGAACTACTTTTTTTAAAGCACACACATTAATTTGATGATACTTTGGCATATGCCTGGCGTAGCCGCCTCTCCCAGAAATGACGATTTTGAGTAAAACTATTTGTTGTGTGTAATTCTTTTTTCTTAGGTTACTTTTGTCACATATTATCCACTACCAGATTACCCCCAGTGCCAAAAAATAACATAAAAAGAGATCAGGGAAGTGCAAGTGGTAATTATACCGAAGAATCTTTATTGGCAAAATCAAGTTTGTGTCTATTTCACTGAAATGAACGTCACTTCAAGTTAAAGTCATTTGTATTCTGGCGTTATTAATAAATTCTTGTTAAGACAATGTCTGCGACAGTTAAGATACCTTACCAAAAAGGGACCATCATAGGAATTGTCTGCAATACCATTTCAAGTAAAAAATATTACAGCTTTCACGGAATCCCATACGCCGAACCTCCTGTAGGAGAATTAAGATTCAAAGCAAGTATACATAAGCAAAACGTGCACAGTAAGTACCCAATTCTCGTTAACTAAATAATTGATCTAAAGGCTCCCGTGCCCATCAAGAAATGCAAAGGAATTTTGGATGCTACTAAAGAGGCGCCGCAATGTTATCAAAGGCACATGATTCGTTTTGAGGAGGGTAATGGAGATGAGGACTGCTTATATTTGAATGTCTACACGCCGCAGGTTTGACACACACCATTTGCAATACTATTTTAAAGCTGAGCGCGGTAATTTAAACGCCTTATACCAGGCGTCCCGCAATACTTCTGTGCATTTTAAGATTCTTCTCGTTGTGTAAAACAATTATGTCTCTTATTGTGAAAATGCTCAAATGTTACGTTTCCTGAAGCGTGGAGAAACCCTTTCTCAAAATTAAATTTGTTATTGCTAAATAGTCTAGGCGATAGAGACTGTAAAATTGGCAAACTGGACATTTTGAGGTGGAAAAGAAAAAAAATGGTGGAATATGTTCAGTTAGGTGTCAGAAACAACATATTAAAAATCCCACTCCCCAGACCCTGTGCTAAAGGCTCCAGCCACCTCACCACCCCCCAAAAACCGTGTTTTCACTCTTTTTGGCTGATATCTCGCGATCTATGAGGTCTATATGAAATATTTTTAGCTGAAAATATTTATTGTGAAATTTCATACAAGGTAGATACTGAGAAGTTAGCCTAGGTGTACCTCTTAGCCTAGGAAATTCATAAAAGAGGCTAAAATCGTCAATTTTCGTGACTTTTTGCGGTTTTTTGCAAATATATCGCGACCTTTAGGGCTAGATGAAATATTTTTAGCTGAAAATGCTCCTCGTGAAATTTCTTACAAGGTAGATACTCAGAAGTTAGCCTAGGAGTCCCTCTTAGCCTAGGAAATTCATAAAAGGAGGCGAAAATCATCAATTTTCGTATTTTTTTGCGGTTTTTTGCAAATATATCGCGACCTTCAGGGCTAGATGAAATATGTTTTTAGCTGAAAATGCTCTTCGTGCAATTTCATACGAGGTAGGTAACTGAAGAGTTGGCGTAAAGTCACCTTTCACCTTCAACTTTCATGTGTGAGGAAATATTCATTGAAAAACAAAGTATTTCTATGTACCATTTATTCACGTAGAACAGTATTTTCATATCAAAATATTCACACATTCATTTATACCTCAACGTAATCATTATCCTCTGCAGATTCCACTTCTTCAGGTCGACGTCCTCTAGTGGTAGTGGGTCATCTGAAATTACCGACTCGTAGTTCTCCTCGTCTTCCGCTTTACCTGCATGGGTACCCTGAAGAGACGGCGTGGCATTTAGGCACGATGTTTCATGACACTGGACGCAGAATTCGTTCTTCAGACCTTCAACAAGAAGCATTATGTCAAAAAAAAATTTATAATTAAGTATACGAATATAATATTCTCTCGTGTGTCCTAAGTGTCCGGTGGAGAAGGTTTACCTAATTTTCTGAAACTGCAAGCAGTCATGCAACCACGTTCACAGCCACATGAAGTAAGTTTGAGGAGACTTTCCTGACGCCTATCACAACGACTTCGGATCCAGCCCAGGAAAGTCTCCTCAAACTTATTTCATGTGGCTGTGAACGTGGTTGCATGACTGCTTGCAGTTTCAGAAAATTAGGTAAACCTTCTCCACCGGACACTTAGGACACACGAGAGAATATTATATTCGTATACTTAATTATAAAAATTTTTTTGACATGCTTCTTGTTGTAGGTCTGAAATGTAACGAACTCTGCGTCCAGTGTCATGGAACATCGTGCCTAAATGCCACGTCCTCTCTTCAGAGTAGCCATGCAGGTAAAGAGGAAGACGAGGAGAACTACGAGTCGGTAATTTCAGACGACCCACTACCACTAGAGGACGTCGTCCGTCGAAGAGTCTGAAGAAGTGGAATCCGCAGAGGAGAATGATTACGTTGATATGGAAAGGGGTACTTTTTTCACGATTTTTACTATGCGTTTCCATGGAGTTTAGTGCTGTCTATGAACAATAGCATCCACTTTTGAGTGACAGTAAATCGGGAATGTCAATCAAATTATTCAATTGTTATTATGGATCATTATGCAAAAAAATTTCGTGTACAACACGTGTGCCCTCATTAATCAAACTGCAAATTCATGAAAAAAAGTATCACTTTCAAAATTAGTTGTACAAATAACTATTTTACGTGAATAAATGGTACATAGTTTTACAATGAATATTTCCTCACACATGAAAGTTGAAGCTGAAAGGTGACTTTACGCCAATTCCTCAGTTACCTACCTCGTATGAAATTGCACGAAGAGCATTTTCAGCTAAATATATTTCATCTAGCTCTGAAGGTCGCAATATATTTGCAAAAAACCGCAAAAAACACGAAAATTGATGATTTTCGCCTTCTTTTATGAATTTTCTCGGCTAAGAGGTAGACCTAGGCTAACATTTCAGTATCTACCTTGTAAGAAATTTCAAGAGGGGTATTTTTCAGGAAAAAATAGTTCATCTAAACCTCATAGAGCGCGAGATATCAGCCAAAAAGTGCGAAAACACGGTTTTTGGGGGGTGGTGGGGTGGCTGGAGCCTTTAGCACAGGGTCTGGGGGGTGGGATTTTTAATATGTTGTTTCTGACACCTAACTGAACATATTCCACCATTTTTTTCTTTTCCACCCCAAAATGTCCAGTTAGATGTCTTTATCGCCTAGACTAAAACTTATGAATGTAAAAATGCAATGTAGGAGGTTATCTTCCTCATTGGGATGTTCTGGGAGCTGTTTAATTAGTTTCGTGTTAGTCTGGTGATTTCTTTTCCAACAAGCGGTATACCAGAGTCGTCATGCAGGGTCTTATTACTTATGTACTACAGTGAACAATTCGTGAACCATTTAAAACACTGCGAGTTAAACCGTTCTCACTTTTAGGAAACTTTCTACTCAGATTTATTTACACGTAAAATGGTGATGCAATTTCGTCAGCGCTGCGCGATACTGTTAGCTTGTAATAGGCCGAATATGCACTCGCTTTGGTTTACGGGGTATTATTGCCCTAAACTAGACCTTTTAAAATATTTCGCAAAGCTGTAATGGTGCGCGTTAAAAACCTGCGATTAGCATGCGAGCATCACAACGACTTCAATCGCACTCATTAAAAATTATCGTCTTTCTTCGCCCAAAGTACATTCGTTCTATTCTAAATTTAAACTTACAACAAATGATACCTACGTTTACAAAACCTAATATACATTATATACAGTTAATTACAAAATTTTATTCCTTCACAACCAGGCCAAAAACCATTATGTGTAATTGAAAATATTCAGACCCAATACAACCTCCATCTTCTTTCCTTAGGGGTGTAATGTGTCGGGCCTGGTGTCGGGTTAATCTATTATATTCGTTTTTGTGTATGGGATTACGACTTCTTTGCCATATCTGATTAAGCTTAATTTGAGTACCATTTGCGCTCTTTCACCCAATCGGATTATTCCGAATTTCAAACTGAGTCAACGTTCAGTTGTTCACTGATGATGACAGCCTTACTGTTGAACCGCGTTCGAGGTTTTAATATATTATTGGTGTTTTTGTTTTAATTTTGTGAGTCAACGACACATGTTTCTCGTAATTCGCTAGATAAATTCGGAAAACGCACCTTTGCCCGTAATGGTATGGATTCATGGTGGAGCATTTGTTTGTGGATCAAGTAAAATAGAACTATGCGGCCCAACATTATTGATGGAACAGGATGTTGTGCTGGTAACGTTCAATTACCGACTTGGAATGCTAGGTGAAACATATAAAGGTATGCATTGCAGCATACTGTAAATAACAAGTTTAGGCTTCATGAGTTTTGAAAATGCCGCCTTGGAGGTTCCGGGTAACGCAGGTTTAAAAGATCAAGCCTTGGTATTAGATTGGGTGCGGCGTAACATCAAATATTTTAATGGCGATAAAGATAATGTAACTTTGTTCGGTCATGACGCTGGAGCTGCAAGTGTGCACCTTCACATACTCTCACCAATGTCGAAAGGTGATTCTTCTTATTCTGCAGGACAGTTATCATTTTGCAGTTGTATAGGTTTGTTTCACAAGGTGATCTTGCAAAGTGGATGTGCTTTGAATCCTTGGGTTAATGGAGTTGAGAACACTGGGAAAATGATGGGACAAGTGCTTGGAATTGCTGGAAGTGACGAAGAGATATTAACAGAGTTGAGAAAACTTAGCGTCGAACTCATTTTCATGGCTCAAGAACAGCTAACTAACGTATGGTATGACAGCTTCTGGAAATCATGCAACTTCTACATTACAGGATAACTCTGTCAATACTAAATGGTTTTGCAGTCCAATTGTTGAAAAACAAAAGTTCCCTGCACCCTTTTTACCTGACGAACCCGTAAACATTATACGAAAAGGTTGCTACGCAAAAGTACCCATGATTATTGGGTACGCTGTTCGCGAAGGTATCTACTGGGACCTACAAAACATACAAATGACAGGAAAACGTAAAGTAATAACTGATTTCACCAAAGTCATACCAAATAATGTGAATTGTAACAAGAACAGTCTACTTAGCAAAACCATCGCCAACAAAATTAAAGACTTTTACTATGGACCACGCCTGAGCCAAACGCGAATGGGACGGTACCCAAGACTTCGGACTATGGGCCCTCTTTATGAGCTGTTAACTGACGTATTTATCTTAAGGGGAGTATTTGCGACGATTAAAAATCACCTTGAAATGGATCATAGAATCCCGATTTATTATTACAAATTTACTATTGTGAGCGATTTAAATGCGTTCAAGAAAATGTTGCCAAAAATTTTCCAACGCCAATACTCAGGTAAACTTGAGCCATACTTGCTCGTTTCATAGGTCAATAAAACTTACGCAGGTGCCATTCACGGTGATGACCTCAGCTATTTCTTCCACACGTATCTGACTCCATCATTCGATTATGAAAGTCGAGAGCAAGTCGCTGTCCGAAGGATTGTGGGCATGTGGACCAACTTTGCTAGGAGTGGAAATCCAAATGATGAATTTGGTACGCAATGGCTACCAGCGACCAAAGGCAACTTTCAGTGTCTAAATATATCGGAAGAATTAAAAGTTGAGTACAACCCCGACATGGATAGAATGCACTTTTGGAGAGAGATTTATGGTAATGATAAGCGTACCAAGTATTTATAAAGTTTGGAATCACAATAAATGCGACACTTTTCTTTTCTTTTTAACTTAGATAGTTCTGAAGACTTCAGGGCTAATTTCTCCTTCAGCCGTTGGTTCTAGAGTTTGGCGAGCGTCTTAGAGTTATAGCCTGCATTTCTATTTTACATGCATTGTAGCGGGATTCATTTGGGTTGACGAAACGGGAACATGTTTGGAGTAATTTCCAGCGGTCATCTGGTTGCTGTTGGCAAACTGCATAACCCAAACTTTTGGACTTCTATGGAGGGTAACATGGGTTGCACTGTGGTGGGTCCGAGTTGGTGAAGATCCCGATAAGGTAGCCAGCGGATAAAGTTAGTGCTATTTCCATTCTGTATGGAGATCTAGAGAAGGTGTTGGTTACTTTGCCCAACTGTAACTTTATTATCCGATAAAGGTTGAGCAGCAGCTGGAGGGGGTCATATACAGAGGTGTGGAATAGGGCGGTTCTAACGTACAGATTTGTCTGTAAGTTAGCGGATAAGTGCGCGTTAGATTTAACCGGGACAGAATTGTCAGGAAAGGTGTTTGAAGTTAATCGGCGGTCGTTAGCAGAGAGGCGATCTATGGAAGATCCGAAGAACTAGAACTAATTGTATTGCATAGTATACCTATAAGACTACTTTTATTACATCAACGGTTAATATACACGTTAATTATATTTCAAGTTAGTATACGAAGAAGTTAACATAACCTTTTAGTCTTACAAAAATTAGCTGTCACTTCAGATTTTTCAGTTTCACCAATTTAAGAATGACGGAATATAAGTAACATAAAATACTATAAATGTAGAACGCCACGATCGGTGCGGATTTCCAGAGCGCCACCAGGAGTTGCTTCTTTTTGCTCCTGGACAAAATCGGGGGATGCTTAACAATTTCGGAAGCCACAGTTACTCAGCTGGAAAATTGGAGAACTCCAGGGTTCGGACAGACAAAGTGGCGGCCGGTCACAAAAAACCTACAATCACAGCACACGGCAAAACAACGCTTTCCCTACTTGGTTAAGGTATGCAATTAATGCATTAAACTAAGGCGCGGGAAAGAAAGCGAAGGAAAACAAACCCCCTTTATACGACAAGGAAATAAAATTCTCAAAGGCCTAGAATTCAACTGTGGACCAAAAAGAAACGCTTCAAACTCGCAGCAAGCAAACTCAATGTTGTCAAGAAGGAAATTTGAAAGGAGATTTGCTGCAACTCGATTAATTATTATACTTAACTAAATGGCCGGGCTAAAATTTCCGAAGTTCATATAAATATAGCTCAACAAAGGCTTCGTTACGGATCTACAGTGTGTTATAATTTCACGATTTTTTAGTTTTTTCTAAATATTTAGTAGCTCTAATATGGAATATAAGTTGCGCTGAAGGACTCATGGGTCATGTCAATGGTAGTGAGAATCTACAGGGTCATGTACCATTTTCCTATCCTTGAACTCTTTTTTGGGGCGCTGCTCGTACATTGTAAAATAGTAGGCCGTGGCTTTATTTGCATAATCTCTTGTTTTCATTAATTTTGAAAATTCCTATTTGAAATTGTATCTAAATATCTCAAAAACTACAAGAAATACAAAGAAAAAAACGAAATAAAACATGAAATTATAATAACCTGTAGATTCAAACGAACCGTTTGCGGACTTTCAAAATGAAACTACATTTAATCATATTTTTCGGAAATGTGAGATTGAAATCATAATATTTGAATTCAGAGACACCAAATTATGTAAAAATGGCACCAATCTCGTCAATGCAACGTCATTGATACCTACGTTTTCTAAATTTCGCCAAATAATAATTTAGGGGTTCAGGGTCACCTCCGGTTGAAATTGACTTACCTTTGTAGCAAAATTTATTACTGATCAATAATTTTACAAAGAAAACCTTATCCCCAACTGCAAGCAGCCTAAGGGATGAAATTTCACGTGCTTCTGAAAAAGATCCTTAATGTGTTGTAAATATGGCAGTTTGTTTTATTCCTTATTTGCCAGTTTTTTTACGTACCGCTTCAACTAAACGTCTTCTAACAGCCTCGATTGCCTATTGAAGAGTATCGTGTCAGAAATCACAACAATTTATCAAACATTCAAAAATTGTATCGTATACATACATACATATACATCAATAAAATTAATGCATAATTACAGACGATACATTTTATAACACAATTTCACATTTATTGGCTCTTAACATTTAAGCACCCTACATTAATTGCCATAACCTCCTCGATTTCAAATTCGCTAAATAGTTACATAGCTACAAAGTCATGGAAGATCCTATCGTCGTTATTAAAAGTGGGAAACTTCGAGGAAAAGTGGAAATTGACTATTGCGGGGGGAAATATTACAGTTTTCGAGGAATACCATATGCTAAACCACCGATTGGGAATTTAAGATTTAAGGTATGCAATGAAAACAAACTCCAACTCATCACGAATATTACAGGCCCCTTTACCACCAGACCAATGGTCAGGCATACGAGATGCCGTAAAGCACCAAAGCGAGTGTTGCTGTCGTGACTTAATGTTTAACCAGATCATCGGATCAGAAGACTGTCTTTACCTCAACGTTTACACCCCTCAGGTACACTACCAATAATACAGCTGTAACTTGAACGACAACATTTTAGATACATTGTGAAAGTATGCATCTAAAGCCAGTCATGTTTTGGATACACGGTGGAGGATTCGTACGAGGTTCTGGTAACTCGGATACATACGGGCCAGATTTCTTAATAACACAAGACGTGGTGATAGTGACCATTAACTACAGATTGGGAATATTAGGTACTCGATAACGATGGCATGACAACATATCTGTAGGTTTTTTAAACTTTGAAGATCCATCACTGGACGTACCGGGGAATGCCGGTTTAAAAGATCAGGTTATGGGCCTGAAGTGGGTTAGAGAAAATATCGCGAACTTTGGCGGCGATCCATCTAACGTGACCATTTTTGGAGAGAGCGCGGGAGCTGCTTCAGTCCATCTACTGATGCTATCACCGTTGGCCAGAGGTTTTATTTATTAAGTGATTGAAAGTATAATGTTTATTGAGATAGGTAGACTTGTTTCACAAAGGCATAGTACAAAGCGGCACCGCTTTTTCGTGGTGGGCTAATGGTCAACGTACACTTCCTCTGCTACAATTGGCACTAGACATGAGTGGTCTCTCCGAGGAAGCGGCATTGGATATACTTCTAGCATTGTCGACAAACGAATTGATAGAGTTGCAAGAAAGGATTCCGGACGTAAGCGTTGTATATGTATAGCATATCCTCAGTACCATTTGCAGAACTTCCTCCCATCGTTTCGAAGACCATTTGTACCAGTAGTGGAATCGCATTTATCAAATAACACATTTCTATCTGAGGAGCCCATCAGAATTTTGAAATCAGGCAGTTATAGCCATGTGCCTATGATGATTGGATTTACCTCACGGGAAGGAATGATATCAGATATGTTTCGCAATGACTCCAGTACCACACCAGAAGGCTCCCAGTTTGTTGTAGATTTTGAAAGTATGATTCCACATTCATTTAATACCTCTAGCGGAACGGAACTGTCAAAAACAATTGCAGACATAGTGAAACAGTTCTATTTTGGAACCCTAAGTGTTTCCAAACAGAAGAATCAATACTACTTGGTAATGACCTATTCCCATTGGGTTTTCTGACATCTTTCCAAACTTTCAGATGCAAGGCGACAGTGGTTTTATATGGCCTACCTACATGTCTATTAAGCACCAGCTTTTTACATCCGCCCAACCAATCTATTTGTACAGGGTGTCGATCGAAACTGATTTGAATATCATGAAAATGTTAACCCAAAATGTATATCCAGGTGAAATGCCAAATATTCCGTATATTGAATTTAAAACGAGTATGTACCTCCAGGTGCCTGTCATGCAGACGATTTGGGATATTTGTTCATGAATGCACTTACACCCCCTCTCGCGCCTCACAGCCTCGAACTACAATCTGTAAAAAGATTCACTACGTTATGGGGCAATTTTGCTAAAACTGGAAATCCTAATCCTATTACTCCGGACACCCTTATTAATGTGCCATGGAAACCCGTCGAAAAAGCAGACAAATTGCATTATTTGGAAATCGGTGAAAACCTTACGGTTGGCATTAATCCAGACCAAGAAAGGGCTGAGTTTTGGGATGATTTATCACAAGATTTAAAAAGTAATAAACTGTAATGAAAATTGTAGTCTTGGTGCTGATTAATTAAATAAATCCAAGACAGATTCGGTTTCCTGATTTCTTAGTTTGGAAACGCTTGAAGTCAACTTTTATTTATTATACGCATATGATTTTGTAGTTTTTAGTATTCAAAGGTTCAAGATTGTTATTTACCAACGCAAAAATGTTGTCAGGGTCACGGTTTTTCAACAAAAATAATACGGGCTGGCGTATGTAAAACCATCCACCATTAATAACTGGGACGCGGAATGTCATATTATGTTATTTTTTTCACTGAACTTATGACCACCGAGGGGAAAATATTTGACAGTGATTTTGATTTGATTTCCTGTGCTTATTTTATTCCGACTACACGTGACTTCGAAATCTTAAGCAGCCAGTAGAGACAATACTCCACTTTATTTTTGCTCCTTAATTGAATAGCAAGTCGCTGTTTCCGGTCTATTACTAATTAACCCATGACTTTTTAATTTTGCCTGCAATTTTAGAAGTGGTTTTATCCTTTCTAAGGAAAGGTCTCTAAGGAAAGAATTAATTTCTACCAACCACACCTCTCCTCCTCAACCCCTTAAACAGACCTGTTATAAATCCTCATATCTCGAAAACAGTGTCGGAGGAGGTACTCACAAAGAGCGATTGGAACGTCTGGAAGAAACATCCATTGGATTTATGACGTCTAAACGTGCGAATATCTCGAAAACGTTGTGTGGAGGGAGAGTACTCACATAAGCAAAATGAATCCACTAGTGATGTCAACACAAATATGTGCAAATATGTCCAGAACGAAGTGCCGGAGGAGGGTGATCACAAAGGCCGGCCGGAACGGTCTGCACAAGACATATCTACCGGGGATGTGAAAACTGAAGTGTGCATGTGCATATCACAAGTAATGTCATGTTACTGACTAGTTTTGCATACAATTTTTCCCGAAAAGGTCTTTCAATTTTCATATAGATCTTTTCATTAATGTTAATCTGTCAGTGATGACAGGAGTCATTAGAAGTAGATAAGGGGCCACGTATGCGAGACTGTCACACGGCGCAGCAGACAGTGAGGTTCAAGCGCACGTGCGTTGTGGTGTCTGCGTCGTCTTGGCATCTGACCTTCGGGGCAGTTCGAGCAGAAGTATTTCGGTAGTTGGCCCAGGGGTGCGAATCATATTTTAGTTAGGGGGTAGGTTCAGGGGTAGCTCAAATGCCCGAGGGTTATTTATAAAATATAAAAGGAACGTTATTTGTTACTTCCTTCAAAGTCGTAGAAAGCCGACCGTTCCTTTAAAATTGCGGAAAGCCATCGGGGCGTTGCGATACTAGTGGATACCTATGAAAAAAATTTATTTTGGATAATTTCAAGTTATGTTTTTAAAAATAGGCTCTTGTCCGACCACGTGACAAATTTCTAGGTAATGCATTCTAATAAAGGCAGTACACCTGCAGTAACTCGTTAGTAGGAAGACGCAGTTCGAAGTGATAACGTGCTTGTGATTCGTTTCAGCAGAAATTGAATTTTTTTTTCTGGGCGCGCACTTAACGCATATATTAATTTGGTATCCTCGAGCGACCGCAAAATCAGCTTTTGTATTAGAATTCGAAATCTGCCTTAGGAAAAGTAGACTACCATCGATAAGATTTTTGTTAAGTGGAAGTCTTCCGCTTGCTATAAGAAGCTAAACGTTTTCTCGATTTAGTAGTAGGTATGAATACAATGTTAAAAACCAAAGTGAGTTACCAGGGCTGTTAAAGTTTGGCCGCCCATCGAATATTGTTTATTGGGGTCCTCTAATCAAATTTGGAAGGGAGGCCGGTGTATCCACCGGTAACTTCCGGTTTGATGACGTCATAAAGTGCGCAATTTCGCTAATTCAGAAAAATGCTTCAATCTCAGTAACCACTTGTCTAATTTTCATGATCTTGGGCTCATTGGAAAGATATTAAAATAAGACAGAACTTTTATGAGAAATGCAAATCGCGTTTCGCGAACGGTTTTCGCGAAATTTGCTAAAATTTGAAAAACTCGCGATTATTTTTTTTCTTTATGACACAGGTAAAACGTTATTAAAACTTATAACTTACGAATAAACATTTTTATAACCTGTTTCAAACCTACGGTTTTTCGCAAAATTTGAAAAAAATTTCTTTTTTATTTGGATATTTGTAAATCACAAAAAACATTTTTGGAATTTGTTTCTTTCCTAATAATCCCGACCAATAAAAATTGCTTCCATTATACTTACCGAGATGTAATCCCTTTTTATAGTAAATCAGCCACCCATATTTTACGTATATAATGTTTAAAAAATGGACTGCTAATAAAATAATATGCAAGAAAATACAGTAATAGGGAAATATTAATGTAGATTAGAAATATAATCTTGGGCTCATTGGAAAGATATTGAAATAAGACAGAATTTTTATGAGAAGTGCAAATCGCGTTCCGCGAACGGTTTTCGCGAAATTTGCTAAAATTTGAAAAATTTACGAATTATCTTTTTTCACTTATAATTGCACAAGAGGTTTGTATTTTACCGAGTAAATTTGGGTTGTTAAGGTAATGAAAATTTGTTGCCTAGCAATTAGACGAGAAAAACTGTCAACTGAGCATTTTTAGGTTGACAGTTTTTCGAGTTCAATTGCTAAAAGGAAACAGATTTGAATTGCAGCAACCCAAATTTACTCGGTTTAAATGCAAACCTCGAGTGTAATTCGGCAGGACAAATTAACGAACAAGAAATTCACCAAACTAGTCAATTATTGACAGACGTCAAACTAGTCATATGGGAAAGGATAATGCGATAATTGGTGCGAAAATGAATAAGTGAAAAACCACTAGTGCATTTGTCGCTGGAAAAGTTGCAGGTAACTTTTGCCGCTGTCAAAGTGACAATTGCACTGCGGCTTATGCGATTTTTTATACATGAGTTGAATTGTCACAGGTAAAACATTATTAATATTTGTAACTTACGCAAAACATTATTATAACCTGCTTCTTTCTCTTTTAAACCAATTCCCATTCACGTTCGGGATTTAAAAAGATTACCAACATCCCTTCTTTTTCAATTTATTGCTGGAAAGTTTGTCGTAAACAGATCAAGAAGCCAATTTTCAAGCACTGCTATCGATCAGAGTCACGAACAACTAAACAAGGTAATTATGGGAAGTGCAGGCCTAATTGGTTTGACCCAAGATCCAATATCAATGATGAACTGGTCATTGTATAGTCACGCTGTGAGTAAAAGAGTCGCAGACTTCAAAATAGTCTCAAACGCACAAGAAGATGTTAACTACGACCTCTTTCACTACGATGAAGGTCTGAAGAATCAAATTGACTTTCTTACTGATGTAAAGTCTATGACTGATGCTATGCTACTGCGCATGGAAATCCATTCGCCGAGCTTGGAAGCAAACTCAGCAATCTCGAAGGTGCAATAAGTGAAGATAGGCAATCCGTAGCAAAAAGTGGGATGATTCAATACAGAACTTATGTAAAGGAGGTCATCATCGATAGGAGTAAAGCAAATGATGTTCCTATAAAGAAAAATAACTTTGAACACCAAGCACCACAGCGGAAGAGAACACAGCCACAAAAAATTGGAATATGCGTCTGTTCTAGGCAAGATGTACGTAGCCACACAGTCAAAGAAAGGATGCATCGATGCGTTTTTCGCACATGAAGTGCAAGTATTTACCCCTTCAATAGTTCTTCTGAAAAAATGTACCGCTAAAGAAGTCAGATATTCTAGATTGCCCACATAAAGAGGTTATTGCTATACAGCCTCCCGATGATGTGACAGATCTTCCTTCTGTGTACGATGCAGTTATTGTAGATGGAGGTGCTCTCATTCACTCTGCTTCCTCGGGGTGCTTCAAATTTTGAGGAATACGGTTACAGATGCTTTTTTAAATACATTGACAATGAGCTGAGGAAAGCAAGTAGACTACACATAGTGTGGGACTCATACTAGCAATATTCTATTAAAGGAGAGACAACAAACGACCATGGCAGCGGTGTTCGACTGAAGATTGGCCCAAATGTTCGAATTCCGAAGTGTTAGTCTACATGTCAATGCCTTCAAAATTGAGTTGTTTAAGTATTTAAAGGAAATAGCGATTTCAAGCTTTCTGCTTCCGAATTGTGATCTATACCTACATCACACATGGCGAATTTGTCGGTAGGTCGGGCCTGGGAAAGAGATGCTGGATACACGTGGAGGCTGATACGAAAATCGTCTTGCATCTGATAATGCATTGGCCGAGGGAGAAAAAACAGAACTCGTACGAACGTGTGATGCCGATGTCGTAGTTATTTTGGTTCACATTTTTTACGCTTCGACGGTATATCTGAAAAATCTTCATTCATATCGGATCGGGAAATAACCGAAAATGTATGATGTCGAAAAAATTGTGATGTCCTCGGCCCATCTCATTGCATTGCTCTACCTCTCTTTCTCACTAGGTATAACAGGATGAGACTCTACATCATCTTTCAGAGGTATATCAAAAAGAACATGCTATGCCACATGGGGGAAGTGCGCCGAAACGAATACACAGGCGATGATTCCACTTTTAGGAAGACCATTTACATTTACGGTACTTGAGGTAGAGTCTGCCGAACTTACGCCGTTGGAATCACTTTGTATAAAGATCTATGGAGGTGGAGAGGATACAATTAATGGACTACGGAAATTAATGCCTATTTTACCATCGAAATCAGAAATCAGAAATGATTCCTCCGACCAAAAATGCACTACTTCTACACTGCAGACGAGCAATCTATTAGGCAAGCATTTTGGTATCGGCTTTCAAAGCAGTAATTAGCGCCCCAGATCCAGATGCACTTGAACATGGCTGGCAAAAGAAAGATCGAAGGCTTCTTCCCATATGGACAACAAACCCCCAAGCAGTCAAATTTTTACTTTTTGGACTAGTTCGAAAAGTACTTACTTACTTTTTCGACAGTTACCATGGTGATACCGACGACTTTTGTACCAAAAAGTGTGACAAAATAGCGTCTTATTCAGGTGGTTGGAGAAAAAAATATTACACTGTTGTGATACAATAGGGTAAGAGAATAAGGGACCTATGAGATACAATTTACTATTTGGACAGAACTTATTGTTGGAATATTTCTAATCTACATTAATATTTCCCTATTACTGTATTTTCTTGCATATTATTTTATTAGCAGTCCATTTTTTAAACATTATATACGTAAAATATGGGTGGCTGATGTACTATAAAAAGGGATTACATCTCGGTAAGTATAATGGAAGCAATTTTTATTGGTCGGGATTATTAGGAAAGAAACAAATTCCAAAAATGTTTTTTGTGATTTACAAATATCCAAATAAAAAAGAAATTTTTTTCAAATTTTGCGAAAAACCGTAGGTTTGAAACAGGTTATAAAAATGTTTATTCGTAAGTTATAAGTTTTAATAACGTTTTACCTGTGTGATAAAGAAAAAAAATAATATAATAATAATATAATAATAATTTTTCAAATTTTAGCAAATTTCGCGAAAACCGTTCGCGAAACGCGATTTGCATTTCTCATAAAAGTTCTGTCTTATTTTAATATCTTTCCAATGAGCCCAAGATCATGAAAATTAGACAAGTGGTTAATGAGATAGAAGCATTTTTCCGAATTAGCGAAATTGCGCACTTTATGACGTCCTCAAACCGGAAGTTACCGGTGGATACACAGGCCTCCCTTCCATATTTGATTAGAGGACCCCAATAAACAATATTCGATGGGCGGCCAAACTTTAACAGTCATGGTAACTCACTAGTGCATATTCATACCTACTATAGTGATTAGTCTGTTTCATCCCAAGCGCAGCGAGTGGCGGATTTAATTACTGTAACTGCATTTTAGTCGACGATTTGTTGAAATATTTATAAAATTTATATGATCGCTTTACTGCCTTCAACAATAGGCTGGTAAAATCTCCCAATATTACGAAAAATTCCACAATCGAGTTAATTATTGCAAGAGCTTTTGCAACCACTGGAGCATCGTAGACATTCCATTTAGTACGCATATGCAGCTCAACGGCTTGGTTCTGATTGCATGTTTAGACTTCCATTAATTATCTAACATTGCATCATCTTCAGGTGACACCTGTAATAAAATTGCATTTATCCTACGGCAGTAATCAGTATCCGTTTGAGCGTTAATGCAGATAGTTCATATTTTTCTTTGTAAAGAATATCGTCTACGTAGTACGTGTAGTCAAAAATTACATATACTCGTAGATTAGATTAGGTGTGCATTGTCTTCAAGCAATTTTCATTGAAATTTAAAGACTTTTGGAATTTATCCACTTATTATATCAGCCTTTATTCCGATCACGTGATTATTCGCTTTCTATAAAAAGCTAAACGTTTTCTCAGTTTGTCAGTTTCATTTGAAACGCCGTTAGTGACGTATTTTATAACAACTGGGAGCTGTATAGTGCATTTAGTCCACGATAAAGTACCTATAGCAGCAAATAATTATTAGTTATTTATGTATTAAGGGCATAATAGTGATGTTTATATTCTCGAGGGCCTATGGCCCGAGAGCTTTTTAGTCGCCCGAGAGTATAAACATCAGTTTATGCCCGTGGTACATACACAATTTTATGTTTTACAAATAGTTTTCTTCGTCAAAATTCGTTTACAAAATAATTCATTATGTTTGATCGAGTATGCGTGGTTCGAATTTGTTAATGTGATTGAAACCATCCAAACGTCAAACGTAATTTTAAAAGTAATTCAATTCATCGTGAATGAGCAAGAAGTTCCAGAAACTAGACGAAATAAGGCCAATCTTGTGATTTAGTAGGTATTGACAATTAATAATTGACGTTTCTAATTTTCAATGATCTGCAAATATTTGTTTGTTTTGTGATTAAGCATAAATGAGTTACTATGGTGATACTTTATGCCCTAGGGCATAAAGGGGTACTTTATGCCCGCGTATCACAGATATAAAATGTGCTATGATAGGTTAGTAAGACATAAAAAAATTTATAAGCGCATTATTATACCCTGCACGATAGTAGGTAATTAATAATTCAGTCAAATCAACTATTACGAGAAAATTGAAAAATCGAGTTATTTAACGCGTCAGTTTTTACAATCTGGTGTGACGAATTCTTTTTAGTGCGTAAGCTCAGCTTAACTGCGCCCTTTGGTTTAGCTATCGACTTTCTATTAAAAATTATTCTTTAGATCAGGTGAATAATTAAATTACTATTTAATTAACAAGTAACAACTTGCAGAAGAATCTAAACATGCCTAGTTTTGTAATTGAGAAGGAGTTTGAAAAGAACGTTAGAACCTACCCACCCCCTAACTAAAATATGATTCGCACCCCTGGGCCAACTACCAGAATACTTCTGCTCGAACTGCCCCGAAGGTCAGATGCCAAGACGACGCAGACACCACAACGCACGTGCGCTTGAACCTCACTGTCTGCTGCGCCGTCTGACAGTCTCGCATACGTGGCTCCTTATCTACTATTAGACATTACCAAAGTGACAGGTGCGGCCGGAAAATTCACTGATGCAGCCGGTAAAGTGACAGATAACGTATTACTGCCGCTGCCATGGAAACTAAAATTACCTGACATAAAGTAGCCATGAAAATTTATTCATGACGATTTCGGGAAAAGATTACTTATTTGTTTAAAACGAAGGACAAAAGTAACATTACACAAGCAAACTGTCATCATCTAAAATAATCACACACTAATTACAGAACAACAAGTGCCTTTTCGTAAGCCGCGTCGACTCTCTGCGTGTAGTATTAATTGCAGCCGTGGGGGCGTCCGTTACAGTACTAACTAATATCTTTATTGACGAAGGTCAACCTAGACTACCGATTTATCGTCAGTACTTGAAACAGATTAATTTAATATATGCAATGAGATCGTATAATGGAATCATTTATTTTAGTCACATGCGGTAGATAATCGGTGGGTGCTACGACGATTAGTAATTCCAGTTTACACAGTAGGTGAAGCAACTAAACCAATACTTGATGTGGTTTGTATTACCTAATTAAAATACTAATTTATTCATTTTATGGTTTTCTAGAAGTGTCCTCTACAACTACAAATCGCTAATTAAGAATATATTATCCAGTAACCGCAAAGTCTACTTGTTAGTATAGTTTTAACGTAAAATGGAAAGCAACTCCCCGCTCGTCACTATTAGTCAAGGCAACTTGCAAGGAAAAATTAACACCGATTATAAAGGAAGACCGTATTACAGTTTTCAAGGGATCCCTTACGCTGAACCACCGCTGGGAGATCTGAGATTTAAGGTAAAGTGCATATTTAAAAATCTAGGGAGTACAAACATACAAACTGTACAGATGCTAATTATGTGAGTGTGAAACTCTCCAGGGAGTAAAATACCTAGGTGTCAATTACCCCGGCCAATTTTGTCATAGGTACGAATTGTCCTGGTGTGAAATATCCGGGCGCGAATCATCCTAGGTGAGAATTTTCCTCGACGCGAATTGTCTGGGTGCGAATAACCCGGGTCAGGTGACAGGTGTGTAAAGTCCGGGTGCGAAATTATCTTTGGTGAGATTGTCCTGGTGCGATTTATCTTAGGTGCTAATTCTCCCGGTGCAAATTATCGTTGGTGTTTTTCTTGAATACGAATGGGGGTTTACAGTATAGTTGAATTCCGCTGTTCTAATTTAATAAGCGTGTACCTGAAACCATAAAACAATTTTTTGGACAGTAAAAGTTTATTTAAAAATAGAGGCTGATTAGCAAAAAAATAATGAACATGTGCGGTTTTAAAGGTTTATTCAAAACGATATGATTGTGGCGGGCTCTGTGACGTAATAAGCCCGACCAATCAGCTCCTCGAACCATTCAGATGACATAACGACTTGGCAATATTGCAGGAGAATGGCATTTATAACTTGCGTCATCTGTCACAGGCACTTGTCACTTTCGTGCTAGATGCAGTTTAAACATCCCTCTCAAAACGTCAAATGTGACAAACGTCAGACCCTCGCGTAAGGTTGCCAGCTCACTTCTACGTGATTGGTTGTAGGTTTGTGACGTATTTAGTCTGAAGCGTTTCAAATTCGGACTAAAAACACAGCTTTTCAATAATTTATTTTGGGTTTATTTTACTCGCAAATAAAAATTGAGGACACACGGGTCTTTTTATTTTTAATGTACTTTGTGGATCAGAAATAAAAAATGAAGGTGGGATGACCCCATTATCGTAGGTACGTGGGGAGTTTTTATGTTATGTGCCTAGTCATGAAAAGAGGGAGCTAGAGGAGAAACAACATTTTAATTTATCAATGTATGACCCTAAACATTGATTATCCTTCAAACAAATTCTTTGAGCGTTTCTGCAAAATGCAACTGCACAGCATTTTCGAAATTGTCATTCGCTAAAAAGCGATATCCTCTTGTGTTTTTATTGAATTTTGGAAAGAGATAATAGTTACAGGGAGCCAGATCTGGACTGTGTTTCATGTAATAACGAAGGATAGAAGCGACCGCGCAACTCTTGCTGAACCAAAAATCAAAATTCCCGCCAAACTGAATCTCATGGCACATGATGGTCAAGTAACAAATATTATACCACCATCTTTCACGTCATTGAATGTGGTTAGTGAATACTGAGACTGTTATCTAACGGACCCCGGCATTCACACCAGGGTTGCACGGATGTACATATATAAGTACAGGTCAGGTGCCTGCATTTTCCTAGGACATGGCCTATCTCTTATTAATATATGGGGGCGCGTTCAAGGTTTAAGGCCCAGGCCTTTGGCTGGTACATAACCTGTCTTTATATAATAATATAATATAATAAATTTATATAATGCAGGAGTATAATATTTGCATACAAAGTAAGGTTTCGAAGGCCATCACGTAACAATTCAAATAAGACAAAGTACAGAAGTCACGAAAAATAATCCCATTTGGCTTTTATGCAAAATAAGATAGTGTCAAAATACCATTGTCTTGTATAGTCATAAATCATAATAAACTTCAAAGGAGCGTAACATGATAATAAAATATTAGCATAATCTGTACTGTACCTAATTCTATGGACCTCAATGAAGACGATTTGAAGCTCATTGGCGAGGCTTTCTTTCGGCTATCCACCATTTTCAAACAGTGGGGTCAGGTTTGAGAAAAGCCATTCATGAAACTTACTAAATGGCTTTCTTCCGAATCAAAGGGAATCATTTTCATTTACATGCCCTGTCAGTCCTGAAATCGCTTTACTGGCAACCATAGGCCTAAGGCTTTACCCAATTATGATGTTTTCCAGTGAAAGCATCATCAGTTTCTAATTGAGAAAGGATTATGCCAATACACAAACAATTTCAACAACACCCCCCACATAAAGCAAACAAAACCTCCGACCCGTCGCACAACCAACAACAAAAATCATAATTGCATTTAGAAGTTACCTTCCTACGTCCACCCTATCTAACTACGCGCAATGAAAACTACAATATCCCTAAATTGTATTAACACCCTGTACTAATCTTCCACCTTACTCTAAAAATAATAAAATTCACTCCATAGTGAAGATTTATGCTAACATTTAAAATTTAACTTTTAAAACGTAAGTGAAGCGACATTCTCAATTAAACTTCGACGAAAAAACATTTCATATGTAATAACAAATAAACAAATCCGCCTCCCCTAAAGTACAACCCCTGCTGAACTACTGGCTCATTCACAATTACTGCGTAATTTAAGATAAAGGCCCTGTATAAAATTAGTTTCTCTAACAGCTCACTTAGGCCGATTCTGCCATCTGCGTGGTCGAGAGCAAACCGTTTCGAAAACCAATTCATATTTTGTTTCAGGTGCATCTGAGAAGCTCCAAATTCCTTTTGTGTTGTTAAATGACAATTTGGCGTCTTCTCCAAAGTAAAAGGGCATTGGTGGCATTACGCAATACAATGAAAGTCGTAGGTAGGGTACAGCCTTTCAGACTAACGTTCACCCGCACAACTAAAACACGTTCTGTTTTTTACTACCGTCTGCTAATTTTACGCACAGCATCTTTCCCTAAAAGTTTGTACTCAAGACAGAGTACTTTCTACAATGACCATACCATACCTTGTTTAGCAGCAGTGTCGATTACACCCCTGCCTCTCGAGCCTAAAATGCTAATGTGCATGATTGGTCGCGACCCCTGCGTTGCCCAAGAACCATTTCCCGCATTTACTCCACAGAAGTCCACGTAGGAAGTTTCCGCAGCGGATTGACAAGTGGGACAGTTTGATCAGATACATCCTGGTTTACCGCAACCGTAGCAGGTTAAGGGGTTCCGAGATTTGGTAGTGACAGATAGTTGAGGATCAAGGATAGATTTTCCTTTCAGGCAAGTTCACGACACTCTTCATCCATATGCCCGGTATTCTTACAGAAAGCGCATCTGATTTTCTGTTGCGGCCCCTTGGGTTGCTGTCCTATTTTAACGATTGTAGATACCGGCGTAACTAGCTCTTCGAAGTTGTCTTCCTCAAAACGAGCTTGCTCTAGTAACTGTGAAAATTGTAACTTAGTCCCTGGAAATATTTTCTCTAATTCGAGAATTTACCAACCCGTTGACCATGTCAAATTGTATTTGCTCTGTTAGCATATTTGGGGGTAACTGTGCTAGGATTGCGCGCGTTTTACAAATGAAGATGTCCGTTGGCGTTTTAGGACCGCGAATATAATCAGTAGCGATATTATATCCGATTTTCTCATTTTTTCTCTAACTTGGCATGAGACCGTCAACTTGATGTTATATCTGACTCCTCAAAGAGGATTTAATTTTGTTGATGACTATGTTACAGGCACCCCGCCCACCAAAGCCATGGGAAGGCACACGCGATGCTACTAAGGAAGGATCAATGAGTATCTCTACAGACATGATCAAAAGAGTGCCTGTAGGATCAGAAGACTGCCTTTTCCTAAACGTGTTTACACCGCAAGTAAATTGCAAATTATTATAAAGCCAAACATTAACCTACAAGCTTTCAGTTACCCGGTGAAAATACAAACTTAAAACCGGTAATGTTTTGGATACATGGTGGCGCATTCACAACTGGAAGTGGTGGATCAGAAATCTATGGACCCGACTTTTTAATAACGAAAGACGTTGTTATTGTCACAATTAATTACAGGCTAGGACTGTTAGGTGGGTCCGAAAGGTCAGTACTTATTACTAACAATAATGTTTAAGGTTTTCTAAGCGTTGACGATCCAGAATGTGAAGTAACGGGAAATGCGGGACTTAAAGATCAGGTTATGGCATTAATATGGGTTAAGAATAATATTGCTAAATTCGGCGGAGATCCAAATAACGTTACTATTTTTGGGGAAAGCGCTGGAGCGGTGTCTGTTCATTTCCTAATATTATCCCCGGCTGCGAAGGGTAGGTATGTATAAGAAGCTTTTGCGCAAACAGTAAAAACTATGTAAGGTCTATTTCACGCGGCTATAATGCAAAGTGGTTGTGCGCTGATGAGCTATCCAGAAGTAGGAGCGTTACTACCATCATTGGCGGAGCTTTTAGAACTGAAATCAACAGACACAAAAGAAGTTCTTAACACCTTAAACCGAATGTCCGTTGAAGAAATTTTGCAATTACAAGAAAAACTCCCACTGGTACCTATGCATCATTTCTATTATCATGAATGCATTTTTATTTACTTAGATAGCGGACATTTCCATACCTCCACCATTGTGGCCAGTCGTGGAAAAAACGGCAACCAAATTCCCTTTTATCACGCAGAAACCATTGGATATAATCATGTCCGGGAAATACAACCACGTTCCCATGATCGTAGGGTTCACTTCTAGGGAAGGGATGTTGTTTGAAGTAAACAGCCAGCGAATCCACGGGGAAGTAAAGTATTTAACCGATTTTGAAGGGGAAATACCGCACATGATGCACATTACAAGGGGCAGTGATTTATCCAAGAGTATCGCAGGGAAAATTAAAACCTTTTATTTTGGCCAGGAAGTGCCATCTAAAGATAACGCAAACCAATCCTATTTAGTACGTTCGCATTGTTTCTAATTGACATACCTTTATTGTTAGTTTCTAGCTAAAAGGAGACAATATTTTTGTGTTCCCTACATATGCAACAGTAAAACACCACTGCTCAACGTCCAAGAAACCAGTTTATTTATATCGCATGACAGTTGACTCTAATTTAAATATGTTTAAGAAAATAATGGGAGTCACAACTGCCGGTAAATATTTTCCCCGAATGCATTTACTCGTACTTTACAAAGGTATTTATGTTAAAGGAGCGTGTCATGCAGACGACGTAGGCTACATTTTCAAGACTGCCTTCACTCCTCCGATTATTCCAAATAGTATTGAGGACAAATCCCTTAGGCGATTTACAACACTTTGGACTAACTTCGCCAAAACAGGAAACCCGAATCCTATTAATAAGGACACGCTTCTTAACGTCCAGTGGATGCCCGCGCGCCCAGAAGAATTTCACTTTATTGATATTGGAGATAATTTAACTGTTGGACTAAATCCCGAGGGGGATAGAATGGCATTTTGGAAAGAATTATTGGCTATGAGCCCATATACTTCTAATATTTTGTAATGAATGCAACAATATAACTGTTCATAATAGAATATTGTTTGGATTTGTGCTTTTCTTACAACTAAGTCCATGAATCCCATTCCTAGATACTGGTGCAGCGCAGATGAATTGGTGTTCACGGCAAATGTCACATCCTATCCTCAGGGCAATTGAGATTCTGAAAGAGTTGTTATCTAATAGTGTTCCTAGGCATGTGGATGGTAAGGTGTTTAGCCAAAGGCTTGACTCTAACTGAATGTACTGCTGCTTCGCATCCTCCTTTAGTATTAACCCCTATTTGAATAGGTTGTAAGAATTCAGCAACTGATTGATGTTTCTGAGCGTCCTTCCTATTGCAATTGATCTTAAATCGCCTCGTTTTTTATTGAGGGCACATAGGTTGCTCCATAGAGAATTGGCGTGATGGCTGAAATTACTTTTCCAAGAAGCATTAGATTGATAAGGTCGCGTAAAAGAGGTAAGTAATCGGCTAGAGGCGTTACCATTTGAAGGGGCCGTTGTCAAATCACGTAAATATTGAGTACGGAGTGAGTCTAGTCCTGAAGCAGAGCCAGGTGCGAACGACTTGACTGAAGTTACTTCCTCAACATTCTTTTGGTGAGCAAGGGATTGTCATCCAAAGATAGAGTTGGTTTTGTTCCGTTTTGAGTAGCTGAAGGATGCTTGTCCAACGAAATTTTATCAATTTCTTCATTAATGGGAGCTATTTGGTCCGAGGAATAAAGTAATTGGACAGTACACCTGATGTCACCATCTGAGACTTTGGATTCAACTCGCGTTTTAAGAGAGCACTGGGGAACAGTAATTTTGCGGCATGGCAGATTGAAGTCAATTCTGTATCAGACTAGTGTGCTGAATACTGGAAAAATATCAGATTTGTTAAATTGGCTCCAGTTTTTGAGATAAAAACTATTAACTATTTCAATCAAAAATTTTAGTAAAAATCCAATTTGCACTGAAAAAATACTTTTATTAAGTTGATCTTTAGGAATGAAAACAAACAAAAATATCTATGCAGTTGACTGACGAAATTTAAAAAAAAATAATCTTTTCTAAAACAATTTTGATATTGTGATATTCTTCTTTTAGTGTGGTAGTATGCCCGATTGGTACCGAAGCAAACTTATTTCCATTGTGCAGCAATACACATTTCAAACTTCTTTTTGAGCTATCAATAAAAAGTCTCCAATGTTCAGGCTTATATTCAGGAAGCCCCATAGAAGTTAAGAGTCTAGAAACATATTGTTACAAAATACTAAATTGTCTTCTTTGGTAAAGTAAGGAAGAAGCTTTTGTTCTCTCGTTCTAAAGGATGTAATGGTAACACCAGGTTGAAGACAGTGTTTTTCTTTTAGCCTCGAAGCAAGAATTTCAGCCGATTTTTTTGGTAAATTCAAATCACGAACCAAGTCATTGAGATTTAAATATTACCGAAGGCGACTTGATGTCAATCCTTTTTTGATCACCGCGGATACTTAAAATAAGACGAACTGATAATTTCTGTCTAATAGCTGATCAGTGAAATGTTTACTACTAAATCCATGAATAGACAACCAAACATAGTTGGAAATATTCAAATAAATACAACTTTAGAAGGGTAGTTTAACATTTTGCATTGATTTTTTACGTTTCGTTTATCCCAAGAACCAGAATCAATCCAAAAAAACTAAATGCATATAGTGTATATCAAATACCAGTGTTTATAAAATTCATTAATAAAATGAGTGCCGCAGACATTTTTATTTTTTTTTGTTCCGCTGTGAATCAGTCCAATTCTGTAACTTAAAATAACCTTAGAAACTTGCTAATAGTGAAGGTAATTGCTAGATGAGCAATATTTGTTAAAAGTGGTATTCTGTACTGACAAACTGAGCAATGTTGCCTAAAATTTTAACAATTCAATTGCTTGACCCTAGCAATAGGTAAAGTGCTGTTGTTAAGTCTTAGCAAGTGTATTTCACCCGCTCCAATATGGCAGGTGGTTGGTTTAAATACGAATTTTTAAACGCTGTGATTCTTCCCATAATTCATCTAGTTTTAATATCGTTTGGAGCAGTTCTTTCATGAACTAACATGGCATTTTTCCAAAGAAGTTGGGTGCGCTATTGCAGACACTTTCTCTGCCCGTCTGTGCGAGGCCTTAACTACTCCTACAGTTCAAGATATTTAGTTCGTTCTGTTTGCATTCGGTAGCGTATAACTCTGGCATCTGAGCCAAGCAAAATTTTGAAATTTTAAAAATAGATGTCTCTAGTAAAGATAAGCATATCGCATATTGTAAACATCAGATGTGTGCATGCGCAAACTGCGCAACTGCCAAATTTCTTATTTCTTGTTTATAGAGAAATTTTAATAACAGATGCTTCTAGGAAAGATAATCGTAACCTGAACCAAGAAAAATCGTGTTTTACTTGTTTTCTAAATTGTCCAAAATTATGGAATGTTGCTGCTATGTTGTTCTAGCGCCACACTGTTTGGTATCTGTACTTTCCATTGCGAGCAAATACAAATTACAAGCCGCACGTCACTTTTAAAGCACAACGCGCCTAATCGGTTAAACTTAAATCAAAAATATAACCTAACCTTACAATTAAAAAGTTTAAACAGTTGTGAATTTAGTGGTAAGAGTTCAGTAGGCCCAATGCGTCTAATTTTAGGCCCAGTGGCAACACTTCTGTCACTAAGATCTGACTAGTTCGTAGCAATTTGACGAGGTGTAGGAATATTAGCAATATTGCTCAAGTTGGTAGTTAGAGAATGACAAATTTGTTATTATTGCTCATAATATTGCTAGAATTTTGTGTGAGCAATAGTGTGCTATAGTTAGCAATATTGCAAACTTGTTAGTTACAGAATTGGACTGAATTGGGAATAAGAGCTGTTGCAGCTATCGATGTAGTCATAAAAATGAAACGGCCTCCTTCCTACGATTACGAAACGGGATCTAAAGTGTGGTGTCACACTATGCGTTTTTACCGCTCCCGCTAAAACGGATGCAGTTTGACGGGATATTAATATCACACGTTATTAAATGGTACCAGTCACATATATGCGGTTTCGCCGCACCAGGATGCAACCGCATCATATGCTGTCAAACCGCATCCATTTTAGCAGGAGCGGTAAAAACGCATAGTATGACACCACACAAACCCGTTTTGACGTATTCAACGTCAGATTACAGCTAAAGTATTGGAGATTCAAAAAATGGGAATACTATTCTATATAGAGAATTTAGTGAACTATATTTTTCGTCTAAACTATTTCTTCGTATCAATTATAGGGCTAATTGCACCGTCAAAATTAAGTATCCCTTAAAGTTAAGCATAACTTGAATACCATAGCAACGATTGTCTTAATAATCGTTGCCATGGATTTTAAGTTCGACTTAACGTTAAGCAAGGCTTAATTTTGTTGGTGCAACTGGGGCATAGTTACCGAGATATGGGTAAAATCTGAAAAAGTGTACCGTTTTTCCAAGATGGCGGCCCAAGCGCAACAGATTTTGACAGGGAGGGACTTTTAGTTAGTACGTTCAATATAGAAAGTCCCAATAAACATGTAGGTATACCAAAATTGATATTATTTACCGATTATGTTTTTATTTGTCCACAATGGCGCTAATTTGACTGGACTAAATAGTTAACAGTAAAACTGGGCATGTACTAGCAAAGACTATCCTCCTCCAGTACTAGTTACTGTCAAATTTGGTTCACTCAAGAAAAAATTGAAACTGATTACGCAAGTCTTGCCCATGTGGTAAGATATTAGTTTCATCCATCACGTGTGTATTTAAATAGAATCTGTGAAAAAAAAAGTGATAACAGATAACCGTGACCTACCGATAAATGTTGCAAACGCGAACACGACAAAATAAATTAAAACCTCTAAGGACACATTTTCATTCATTAAACATAGTTAACAGTAGCGAAAATGGAGGATGTGCTGGTTACTGCCAAATGTGGTACACTCAAGGGAAAAACTGAAATTGATTACGCGAACAGAACTTATTATAGTTTTCGTGGCATCCCTTATGCAAAACCCCCACTGGGCCATCTTAGATTTAAGGTAAGATAATTCTCACATTCAACCTAACCAGATCCATCTTCAGTCGAAACTTTTTTAGGCACCTCTTCCTCCAGATCCTTGGGATGGCGTATGGGACGCAACAAATCACGGTGAAGTTTGCTGCTTTAAACCACGGGGAAACGATTCCGTTGTTGGTTCAGAAAATTGCCTTTTTCTTAATGTTTACACTCGAAACGTAAGTAATTTGTTTTCAGCGCGTTCTTACGGCAGCAGTAGTTACTTAGTTAGGGCGCCTCGCTCCGGTTATGTGCTGGATTCACGGAGGTGGCTTTACTTTTGGTTCTGGAAATTCGGACTGGCATGGACCGGATTATTTAATCAGCGAGAATGTCGTACTCGTAACTTTGAACTATAGACTTGGCCTACTAGGTGATTAAATTCGTGTCGACCCGCTCTTTTATGTTCAATTTTAGGATTCCTCAATTTTGAAGATCCTGCACTCGATGTACCCGGAAACGCGGGTTTAAAAGATCAAGTTATGGCACTAAGGTGGATTCGCGACAATATTAGGAGTTTCGGCGGAGATCCCAATAATGTGACTATATTTGGTCATAGTTCCGGAGGTGCGAGCGTTCACTATTTAATATTATCATCACTTGCAAAGGGTATAAAGGCTCTACGTGTAATTTTGAAGCAAAACAAGAGTAATTTTGTAGGTTTATTTCATAAAGCAATTCTACAAAGCGGAAACGCAGTGAGCTGTTGGGGTACGGGACAACGATCACTGTGTAACTTGCAAACCGCTATGAACATGAAAGCAAGCGAAGAAACACTTCTACAACTTTTACAAAAAATGTCTCTTGTAGAATTAATGCAATTGCAAGCCAACATTCCAATTGTAAGTAGATACATAAGTCCTGCATTTCCCTAGTTTCCGGGCTTATAGAAATACGAACAATCCTCTTACCAAACGTTTGGACCAGTTGTCGAAAAATTTTCATCTCAGTCTTCATTTCTACTGGAAGAACCTCTAACAATATTGCGATCCGGTGTGTACAACCATGTGCCAATTATGACTGGATACACGTCTCGAGAGGCATTAAATATGGATTTTCTCAACAAAAGGGTAGACGTTTCCGATAAGAAAATAACTGATTTTGAGTTGGAAATACCAATAACTATAAAGGTTATAAACGGCTCGAAAATTTCGAAACACATTGCGGAGAAAATTAAATTACACTACTTCGGGAAATGCCCTGAAGAAAATCTAAATCAATACTATTTCGTAATTTTTCTAATACTATAAAAACTGTATTTTCATCTCATATTTTAGTTAAAAACAGACACCATACAGACATGGCCAACACACTGCACCGTACGACATCATGCGAACACTGCTAAAGAACCTATATATTTTTATAGAATATCATTAGATGCTAATCTTAACGTCTTTAAGAAGTTACTTAAAATAAATAGACCAGGTAATGTTAATCACAATTTGATAAATATTAACCGAGGTAATTCGACAGGTACTTGCCATGGAGATGAATTAGGTTATTTGTTTAAAAATTCTAAACTACCTGTTCCGTCGCCTCATTCTCCCGAAATGAAGGCTATCAAACGTTTTACCAAATTGTGGACAAACTTTGCCAGAACAGGGAATCCAAATCCAACGGAGGCAGATCCTCTCATTAACGTTCATTGGAAACCTGTCGTCAAAGATAAATTTCATTACCTGGATATTGGAGAGAACTTGACTGTAGGTGTCAATCCGGAAAGAGATAGAGTAGCATTTTGGGATGAATTGGAATCGTTAAGCTTGCCGAATTCTAAATTGTAATCTTACATCACACTAGCGATGTATGTAGTGTAAGTAACAAAGTTGTTTCGCAAACAAAGAAAATCAGGTTCTTATTCAGTAATATATTTGATTGACTTTTTACAAAATTTGAATACTGTCTATTATTTTTAACTAAGCCACCCACATTTTTAACTGTATTTCTAACATTCTCCCACCTTTGAGACTAAAAACGAAGAGTCTCTAACTGAACATTAACAACGTGTTGGGTTTTAAGCCGCACCAACTGAATTTTTCTATTTTCAAAATACCAATCTGTCGCTTCGACCATCCTCCCCATCCTATCTTGCTTTCCCACCATTTATTAAGAATTAATTTGGTTGTTGGAGTTGCTGGAGATGAAAATCCAATAGGATGAAATATCATTTGCGCACAAGAATGGATTATTCGTTTTGTGATCAACTGATGAGTAAGTGGTTTTATGTCGGACACCGTACGCTCATCCTGCGTCGTAATCCGAGCAAAGGTACATATCTATTCTCTCTTCTGATCCAGTATATGACCATCTTCTCAGTTCAAATTTTGCGTCAGCCATTATATCAGTAGCTTCACATATAAAAAGTACAAGTGTCACTTCGTCAGCTACACTTGTCACCGTCACATAATTACAGGTTAATAGTAGATTCAATCCATCTTCTGATTTCCACAAGAACCGTAGAAAATCGTCTCGGTGTACACTAATTTGTAAGAAGGTCTTTTTTATATCCGAAGTAACCCCAATTTTTTCCTTCCGAAAATTCAACAACAGGTCGGGTATCTGCTCAATCAGGTTAATGCCTTTTTCTAAACAATCGATTAATGATGGTTGATTCTTTTCCTTAGCCGAAGCATCAAAAACGGGTCTAATCTTTGTCGTACTGTTTGTATCTTTGATTACCGGACGAAGAGGTAAGTAATGTGACTGAATATTTAGTTCTACGTCAGGCACGCGTTCTATAATATTTTCAGATTGCCATTCAGAAAATACTTGGTCATACTCTTTAAGATACCCAGTAGTTTTAAGTTTCTTTTCAGTAAATTCTAAACGTCGTTTGGCCATATTGTAGTTATGTGGCAACGGCGGATGCCCTTCGATCCAAGGAAATTTAATTTCATAACGTCCTTCTTCATTTATGGTTACTGTTTCTTTAAAAAAAACTCTTGTGCAGCAGCTTGTTGTTGTAACTTGCCGTCAACTTCACGTGAATCTGTGATTCCCAAAACGTCAAGCTGCCATAAAGCAGTAACAGACGCTGATGCGCTTAACAAATTAGTAACCATCATGGAAACGTTAGGTATCTTCGTTCTTATCGGCGTTTTACCCATCAATACCCATCCCAATAATGTTTGCATAGCTACAAGCCCACATTTCAAGATATGGTTTTTCCCAGTAAAAATCTTGCCTGCCATGTCTGCCCCGATTAATAACGAAATCGGTTCATAATTATCGATGTCGGTCAAAGTAATTTTTCGACGATTTACCTCTTTATTCCATATGCCTGCAGAGATCGGAGCGATATTCTTACAAATCGTCTGCTGATCAAGTGCCTCAAAACGACATATATAACTGTCATCTAAACTACCGACTTTTAAGTGATACACGCAGTGCTCCTGTTCTTCTGAAACGGTTCCACCAAAAAGAGCATGTACAATAGCCTCAATTCTCTTGGGCGTACATTTTAATGTGTTGACCACTAATTTCAACACATACGATCTTTGAGACCCCGTATCAATCAGAGCACGAACGCATTTTTCTCCGCAATCCCCATAGATTTTAACCACTAATGTTTGGAGAAATACACATGTGTCTGTACAATTCGCTAGATTAGGTATGATTTTACCTTCAGAAGTAACTTTTGGCTCAACCACAGTATTTGAACATGCATTTTTCGGCTTTTCTAGATCAGGGCACAAATTGACAATAGGTCTAGACCCACATAAGACACATTTTAACTTGATCTTACATCTATGTCCCTGATGACCAATTTTTGCACAACGAAAACATGCACGCTTATCAATTAAACATTTCTTTTTCTCATCTAATGTCATTTTTTGCGACTTAAAACATTGTTCAGCTGCATGATTTCCATCGCAAAATGTGCACTTAGAAAAAGAGGTTATACCTGAATGAATAAGACCGGACGCTGTACTAGTCTTAGCTTCGACTTTACTTCTGATGGGTTTCTTAAATTTCTCATCATTGCTTAATGAAAAACGTTCGATGGCTAGAGTGATCCTCTCTTCATTCTCCACTTCTGAACGTAAGAATTTCATTAACTTATCTAATCTAGAATTCATAGAATTGCTAGACGCTGCTGCAAAATCTGACGATTGCTGCCAGGCGCGCAAGAATTCTTCTGGCAGAGACGATTCTACCAACGGATACAACATGGCCGCACACATATCAGTATTCACGCCTAAAGTCTGCAAGGAACGGATTTGAGTCTCTAGTTTATCATACAAACTGGCGATCTCATTTTTAGAATGTGTACCGTCATTACGCAAAACTAGTTTCAACAACTCTCGAACGTAAAATTCTATGAGTAAATCGTCTCTGCCGAAACGCGTTTTCAATCGGTTAACCGCTTCAGGATAATTTCCTGCAGTTAGAGGAAAACCTTCGATGACGTCTCTAGCTTTAGAATTCGGCACAGTCGCGAAAATTAAATATTGAAACTTAACCTCTAATGCAATCGTCTCGTCAGTATGAATTTTTTCAAACTGACTCCAAAACGGCAGCCAATCTCGTATTGACCCGTCAAACTTTTTTAATTCAATTTTGGGTAGTTTCATTTTGCGTTGTCGTTTAGTAAAATCGCTATTAGCATGACTATTAACCTCTTCTGATGGCTTAATAACAAATCTACTAAATATATCTCACCTTTAACTGTGTAAACGTAGCTAAATATTTTTCGGTACCTTCCAACTCCTGCAGCGTGGTTTCTTCTGATGTTTCCTCTTCCAATAATTTATCCATTATCTCATCATCAGATTTTCGTAAATTATCCATCTTTACATGAAGTTTTTCCCATGCAGCTTCCGTCTCTACTGGGTCCCTATTTGAATCTGCTAATAGAGATGTCAAATTATTAGCTGCGCGTGTGAATACACTGCGACACGCCGCACGTTTATTTCTAAGACTTTCCATTTTCTAAAAATAGAAATGACTATTAAACTTGGTACCCAATGAATGTTCAACACGAATTCAACTTAAAGCTCACTATTACTGACTAACTGTCCAGCAAATCTCTTGTCGGATGTTAGACGTATGTAATCTTGTTACTACTGTGCAAACGGTCAAAGTCCGGTACTACACAGCAAAACCACCAATAGATTTACACATGTCCTGTCACGGTCGCCACAATGTTTCGCAAACAAAGAAAATCAGGTTCTTATTCAGTAATATATTTGATTGACTTTTTACAAAATTTGAATACTGTCTATTATTTTTTAACTAAGCCACCCACATTTTATACTGCATTTCTAACAATAGTTATTTACATAATAAGTCATGAAAGTTGTTGTTTACATGACGCGGAGGCTTATTGAAAAGTACGAGGACGCGCAGCGTCCGAGTATCTCTTTAATGCCTCCAAGTCAGGTGGACTCACTTTCATGACGTATTATGTATAAAATTTTACCTGAAACTGCAATATGTTGACAACTTTTCCAAATTAAATTATTCATATGTGTGAAATTTTGATACCTAATCACGCTCGCTAAAATGACATTAGGTAATTGTTTCCATAGAGATTTCAAAATAATTAAAACAATCAGTGTCATTTTTAATGCAGTTTGCAGTTTATACTTTGTACTTTTCAACTATACAGTCTTAATAACTAGGTACAAAAGCAGGTATCAGTGAAGAAGAGTACCTACGCGAGACGATGTTATAATGTAGCCGAAGATGCGGCCGCCGTAGTGTATTCCCTCCCTACAAAGTCAAGAAAGTACGAAAAGGCGTACAAACCTTTTAATGACTGGCGCAAAACTAAAGGAATGGTTACTTCCACACATATTCCATTAATTGTTAGTAATTAAAAAACCATTATCCTTTGTATAGGTATATTAATATTTAAAAATATCCACATAGTCTGCATTATAAATATCCAAACGTTGATTGAATAACTTATTCAATGAACGATCTAATTGGTTATTTTGCAAGTACTAGGACTGTAATGGGAGTCAGGTAAAAATATTACAGTACTAGTCAGGTAAAGATCAACTTTCTAATGTCAAAATAGCCCTGAAATTTAGATTTTCTTGACGGATTCAGGTAAAAGTAATTACGCAATAAATAGTAACGGGCGATCAAAAATGAGTTGCTGTCGAGTCGCCTTTGGAAGTTCAAGTTAAATATGATTTACCATGTAAACAAAAATTCCAAAGGTGACTCGACAGCAACTCATTTTTGATCGCATGTTATAAAAGAGTCCCAGTTCTTGAACATGCTAATGAACATGGAGGCTTTTCCCGGCCGATTCTGTCGGAAGAAGAATTGAAAAATAAAAAATGCGCCCCTCTCCCATTTTGTATAATCTGTTCTTGGGCGTGGCCTCTCGTTGATTGCTTCTTCGATGTAGAAATGAAGTTGGTTTCCTAGGGGTGTTATGCACGGACCGATCACAGAATCCGAGGACTATGTTCCGTAGTGGGAATATTCAAGTATCTCGTTCTCTTCCTGAACCTGCTGATAAAATCTTCTTCAGCGGTACGGTGGTGGCTTGGTGGCGTTGATATCGTACTCTAGATATAATCTTCGTTCTTCAGACACGACCCTGGCGGATGACCTAAAACGCGCGACACACTTTACGATTATGATTGGGGCAGATTTGGCGTCTGAGACTGCCCGTGAACGAATGACTTCTTCTTGCCGTTTCTTGTAGTTAAAGGTATCTCCGACCTTGTAAGCGCTTTATTTCACAATAACCAATCATTGAAATACTCAACTCGCTCTAGTATAAGGCTTGGATCAAGTTGAGTGCCAGCGTTCGAAAGAGCAACACTAATCTTAGGAGAGCTCTCTAGAACAATTTCTCACCGATTAATGCATTTGTTAATGCAAATAGGGGTTTGATCTTTTCAAAGCATTCTCCACGTTGGGTTTTCCTAACACGATTTCCTAAGGAAATAAGGAACGATCTAATCTTTCTATTTCAAATCAAGAAGCCCGCCGTCGTCGGAGAGTGCCGAGAGCGGTTACGGATGGTGCTATATTCTCCTGGATTGGCCGGTGTCATGGAGGTTCTTCAGGCACTCTCGGTAGCGGAGATAGAATCTGCGGAAACCTGCCGGACAAGAATCCATCGTCCATCGTGCACGACTCGATTCAAGTCATCTCGAGCCGATGGAGAAAGCTCCCTCCGCCGCTGCCAAAAAGAGATCAAGAGGGCTTCCAATCTGTGAAGAACAGCAAGAAGAAGAAGAAGCCCTCACACTCCCGCCTCAACAACTTTGGCGAGCCACCCAAATGAGAACCGTTTCGTGCGAAAGCGCCATTTTAAGACCGGCTCCAGCGCCTCCAAGCGATGCTGGACCATGTTCGAGGCGAAACGAACGTGATATCATTGAAGTCATACCGGAATATCCTAGCGAGACCAGTAGCCGTAAGAGAACCGAATTCGATAACATACAAGAGCGGCCGCACCCGAGCGGATCAACGGGTGGCAAGAACTCGACACACGAACGAGAGGAAGCTGGCCTTTACCAAAACCAAAAATCACTCGAACGGCATCCGGGTCCAGCTCGCCACCCCGAATGACCATCGGGGTATCTCGAAACTCTTTGACAAGTTACAGGTGCGGTACCACACCTACCAGCTCCAAGCGGAAAAACTTCTAGTATTCTAGATTCCGCTTGCCAGTTACAAAGATGCCCATTTCCGACAGGAATGTGTCCTCGAATGTGTCAATTAAAAAAATCAATTCCTTCCTAAGATGGAAATAAAACGACCCTTGGCCTTGTATTTGCACAAAATTTTGATGAATGCCATTCAACGCCTAGGCCATTTCAAACTTACTTGAGAAATCCAATTGTTCTAGCTAGAGAACATCGACCCTTCAACCTATCAATCAATAAGGATTAAATTGATCAATATGACTTTAGCGACATAATACAAAGATATTTTATCTTTAGTATGGCTCACTGACCTTAATTTATAATATTTATGCTTCTTTATTCTTATAAATATAACAAGTCCTTTATTTTGATAATGATTTATTTTATTATCCAGATCGATCCAAACAATAAATATACTTGAGAATCCAGGGCGTCACTAAAAATCAGCCCTGAACTGCAAAATAAGTTACTCCAGTCTTGCACAATATTAAATAGGTAAACTAAACATGTCTTGTAGATGAAAAGGAAATTTCCCATTACTCATTACGTAATTGCGGTTTTTAGATTAAGTACTCAACGGGAGATTATTCCACATATATAAAGTATATAACCTATACTACCACTCTACACTACAATACGTTAGTTTCAACGTTTTCTCAAATAAGTTCGCGTAGTGTGTCGAGTATGGCCGATAATCCTCGTGTGACAGTGAACGAAGGGGTGCTTCAAGGGAATGTTAAAAATGATTATCAAGGAAATAAATATTACAGTTTTCAAGGAATTCCCTATGGCGAAGCCCCAATTGGCGAATTAAGGTTTAAGGTTAGTGCACCTTCATGTGAACAGATGGTGAAAGTAGGTTATACATCATCGATGAAAAAAACAAATGCATTACCAACGAAAGTAGTCTGTAGTATTTTTAAATTCTGGTATTAATAGTATTGAAAGTTTAAAGGTGATAGCGGCTTCTATGTACGTATTGTTTTTTATCGAGTTCGTCGATGAATGTCAACTAGTCCAATCCGGATTAGGCAATGTCTGGGTCACGGAGAGTTGTTTGCAAATTCATAAAGTGAAATTTCGTATAAATTGGTTAAAATACTGTCTGTCACCACAGATAATGTTCCACTAATTGTCCATGGCTTTAAATATGTAATCTCGGTCCAAAGTACTCCAATGTTGGCCTATAATACATTGAAACCTAGCTAAAATAACATGGGAATGCTAATGTTATTATGTGTGTCCCGCATGCCCCCTTCAAGGATTTGACGGCAAGAAGGTCCAATGAGAAGCGATTTTTATGTAAAATAGGATGTATGTACAACATACATTGTAATTGTTATTTTAAGTGTAGGTGTTAATGTTGACGAAAAGTGCTAATTAATTTCCATCAGGTCTCAACGCGTTAATCATAAGTAGCTATAATCTCAAAATAGCATCTGTGTACGGGTGAAGCATTAAATTTTTTTCCTGCAATATTAAATATTGGTTTTGTAAAGTACCGATATTAGATATCAGCCGTGAGTAATTATTACTCACGGGACGTCCCTTGAAAGGTTAACTGCTGACAACCAATAAAAAATTAGTATTCAAACAACGTTTTTTAAACCTTGTCATTTATCTACTAGAGGTTCCCCTTCTAATTCGACTACTGAGCACGTCCAATTAAATTAAATAAGAAGCGAAAATGCAGAATAGTAATATTCAATAATTAAAAATTTATACAAAATTAAATATGTACGATATTCTGTCTTTGGCTATTATGCCAACCGTATAATTTTACAAGTAAGTTTATTTCGAGTGATACAAAAGATTAAATGTTTGTATTGCTTTTGTTGAATTTGCTTTTGTTCTGTTTCTGTACATATACCTACTTACATATCTCACTTAAAGTATGTCATAAAATAATCAATTGCAAGAGAATAGCTTTCTCGTTTGAGATTTAAATATTATAATAAATAACTAATTAGCTATAAATTTAACCCCACATATTTGACAATCGCTTTTTAAAATAAAGCACTTCATTGCACCTAACCATCAAATATTGGAATTCACTTCGGTTTTTCACAATCTTAAAACAAATTCATTCATTATTTCTCGACTTCCCCCTGAATGATCCTTCAAAGCATTAAACCTTTCCATTGTGGAGTTAGGTAAGACCATTGAATAAAACCACTACTATTTTATTCAATGGCACACATCAAATAAAGTAATTTCCAGGTAATTTCTGACTTCATTATATCGGTAACCTGAAATTGATGTCAACTGTTAATTGGCAGATCAATATTAGGAATTTGCGTTTTGTTTTTGATTTATTCTATGAACTTGAGTATGAATTATTCACTGGTTAAACTGCTTACCTATGTTGCCCAAGTGTCTGATGAAATTTAATAGTTAAATAATTTTACGATCTATCTACTCGTTTTTAAACATTTATCTAGGAAACCACAAAACCTTACCAATAATATAAAATAGATGATTCCCTATCAAAAATGTTTCAACGAAGTATTTTATCTTTTACATTGAACTTACTTTGTTAATCTTGCATTTAATTGTTATAATCTAGTTAAATAAATACTGATATTGACATAATAGATGATTAAATTAAAAGTAAGGGTCCTCTGCTGAATATCACATTATTCATCTAGTTTATTATTATATAACAGATTCTTGTTATTCTTCCCTGTCAAATTATTACAATTTTAGTTATTTTTGTTCTTTCGTCCATGCTAGATATATTAAGATATATTTGATTTATGTTTTTATAAACTTTTTACAGAGTGCATTATTTTGGTTTAATTTATTAAGTAATGAGTGTACAAACCACAAAAATAATAATAAAAGAAATCAATGATTCATTAGTGTTAACAAAATTTATTCCGCCCAGGATTCAGCCTTATTATCTCAATATCTACCATGGGGAATAGATATTTAGGTACTTACTTTGGTGGTATCACCTGTTCGGACATTCTTCCCATCATTTTCCTTAAAATGTTAATGGGCTTCCTTTAACTTTCGGTTTGGAACATTTTCAATACAACTGAGCCGTGCTAGCACTTTTATTATGGAACTTTACTTTTTTTATTGTTAATTGCAATATTTTTTCTCTCTTACGTCCTATGTTAACAAGACAGGTTTAAATGAGTAGGCTAAGTCGACCTTTAACCGTAAGGGTAGATAAAGTGATCACTTAAACCACCAGGGTAAATAAAGTGAATTCTAATGACATCTCTCATTCTTATTTCAAATGGCACGCGCAGGACGATATAAAATGACATTTAGGGCATATGGCAATGCTGTTTCCATGGAAACGACCGCGATGGAAAACATAAGTTTGCTATTTTTGACGTATAAATTAAATTCAGAACTGTCAGAAGCTTTACAATGATTTATATAGCTTCTGCTATAAAATAAAGTTTTGTATTGTACACGACGATAAAGGGAAACTAACCATCTCGTAAAATTAATTTACTCGTGGTTGGGCCACTCTTGAATTAATCTTTCACTCAATGGCTAACGTATCCCTTAATCGTCTTATATAATAAATAACCAAAATAATAATTTAATAATAATGATTATTAACTTGAAACATTGAATAATATATTATTCAATGCTTGAAATAACAAAAACTGGTGTTTGTGACAACAAAGGCGGAGAACAAAACAGACAAATACAAATAAAATTAAGATATACTTGTTTTTGGTGAAAATCGAAAACACATTTTAGAGTTTTCCAGATTTTACCTAGTTTTTCCGACATTACATTACAGGGCGCGATTGTGATCTAGTTAAAAATATCAGAATAGTTGAGCATTGTTGATATCTGGAACCCTATTGCTGGATAGTCTGAGCGAATGTTATATTCAGCATATATAGGGTGTTTTTTGGAAACCTTGTATGATACCTTTGGAGCTATAGTCTATAGAATTGTTTGGTTTTAGTTAAATTTATTAAATAAAAAAACAGGTTAATGTCCCATTGACCAAATAAATTAAGAAGAATTAAGAACGGATGCTGTTTTTCATTGAAGTTGGAACTGAACTCACAGGCACTTCAATTTGCTTATACAGGGTGGCACAGCGAAAACGACACAGACTGAATACTCCGCAAGGGAATAGTTTTTGGAAAACACAAAAACTCGTCGATTTTGGTTGGAAGTGGGACATCTTTTACTTCAAAATGTACAACCCTGCTGTTGGGTAGAGTGACACATCATTGGAAAGGGCTTTAATTTCCTATATGCCTACAGTATTAAATACAAAAATATATCGCTTGATACGCAAATACCTCCGAGTGTATAAACAAGCTCTACAAACTACCTACTTAAAATATAGACTATTTTCAGTTACATCAAAATTTCTTAACATGATCAACAAATTAATCGAAACCGTATTCATGCAATTATTTTTTCAGGCTCCAAAACCAGCGAAGCCCTGGGAAGGAATCCGCGATGCAACTAAAGAGGGATCAGAGTGCTACTCCAGGCATATGATATTTAAAAACATAATCGGAGCAGAGGATTGTCTCTATCTTAACGTTTTCACGCCCAAAGCACGCCACTGAAATATAGCACGTAAAACCTTACTAATGGCAACTTTTAGCTTCCCGCTGAGGATCCGAATTTGAAACCCGTAATGGTTTGGATACACGGAGGCGGCTTTACACTAGGTTCCGGAAGTAGTGAACTGTACGGCCCTGATTTTTTAATAACCGAATCTGTTGTGCTCGTTACAATTAATTATAGGCTGGGTATATTAGGTAATAAGCGAATATAAATTAGTTCGCGCATTATTTTAATGTTTCGCATGCAGGGTTTTTAAGCATTGACGATCCCGATCTTGAAGCTACCGGTAATGCTGGACTGAAAGATCAAATTATGGCTTTGAGGTGGGTGCAAAGTAATATATCCAAGTTCGGTGGAGATCCAAATAATGTTACGATCTTCGGGGAAAGTGCGGGCGCCGCTTCTATTCACTATATGATTTTGTCTCCAATGGGAAAAGGTACCGTATTTATATTGAATAGTGGACTCTCAGGGGTTGATATTTAAAATTGTCTAGGTCTATTTCACAAAGCTATTTTGCAAAGCTCCAGCGCATTTTGCTGCTGGGCAAAGGGATCACCCTCACTTCCACTAGTAACAAAAGCCCTAAATTTAGAAACGACCAACGCTAAGGAAGTGCTGGATATCCTTCAGAAGATGCCAGTGGACCAACTATTGGAGTTGCAAGAGAAACTCCCAGATGTATGTGAGGTTCCTAGAGTAGCGTGGAGGTCTAAAGTTCCATTTCGTTTAGCTATTCACCGCTGACTTTGTTCGTCCATTTGGACCGATTGTCGAAAACCCCCTGGCAAAGAATGCGTTCTTGACAAGAGAACCGTTAGATGTTATACTTTCTGGAAATTACCATCACGTTCCCATAATGATCGGCTTCAATTCTAGGGAAGGAATAATATCTGAGATAGACTCTAAAAGAAAACATGGCGAGTTAAGATTTCTTACTGATTTCGGTACGACGATACCCCACGTTATGAAACTGGAAAAAAATAGTAACTTGTCGAAAATTGTGTCTGAGAAAATAAAGAACTTTTATTACGGAAGCGGGGGACCTACTCATGAGAATGTGGACCAATTTTATCTGGTAATAGTATTTCGGAACTAATTATCGCTAATGGGATTCCTTACAGATGGAAGGTGATAATCTTTTTGTGTGGGCTATATACATTGCAGTTAAACACCATAGTCTAACAGCCCGTGAACCCATCTATTTATACCGTCTGACTGTAGATTCCTCATTAAATGTGTATAAAAGATTTGCCCAAGCCAATGCTCCAGGTACGTTCTCTTTTTTTCTTATTTTGGACCAAAGCTTTTCTAATTTAAGGAGTTTGCCACGGAGACGATTTGGGTTACCTGTTCACAAATGCACTAACGCCTTCGATCATACCAAACAGTGTAGAAGACTTATCCGTGAGAAGGATTAAGAAACTTTGGACCACCTTTGCAAGAACGGGCAATCCCAATCCCGCCATTAAAGACGATCTTATTGCAGTTGATTGGAAACCCGTTGAACCTGAGAAGTTTCATTTCTTGGAGATTGGAGATAACCTGACTGTTGGCGTTAATCCTGAATGTGAACGAATGAAATTTTGGCAATCTTTATTTTTATTAAGTCCCCATTCGAGTAAGCTGTAAATTGAAATATAACATACTCAAGTCTAAATGTAAATTTCAGGGCCAATTGCACCGTCAAAATTAAGTATCCCTTAAAGTTAAGCATAACTTAAATACCATAGTAACGATTGTCTTAATAATCGTTGCCATAGATTTTAAGTTCGACTTAACTTTTAGCAAGGCTTAATTTTGTTGGTGCAACTGGAGCTCAATTTCCTAATTATCATTTTGAAAAAGTTTTTACCTTGTCAAACGTAACATGACCACCAAAACGATACGTTAACTTCTCAATTCCATCGATGGGCATAAGTTCACCATATGCTGCTACTGTGAAAACTATCCCGACGGTGACACTCAACGTAACCATTGATGGCATACAGAATCTGCATTTTATCATTAAACACTATCCAAATATGTTTGCGCTTTTTTATTAATGGTGAAACAGAAACCTGTAAGCCCTAAGCTCTTTGCGTATGTGCATTTCTTGACGCGTTTCCTCACGAAATTCCGATTTACACAATGGATGTGTTATGTATTTTAGTAGAACGTGGCATCGCCGCACTGGCGGAAGTTAGTAAAAAACGCATAATGTTAGGTTAGGTGTGAAAGAACGGGAGAAACACGTTATTATTCATTGACACGATTACCGAACATTTATTGTGCCCAGCAACTCTTGAATACGGATTTTGATTGATTCGAATGTTATACCTGTCTTTTTTAATGCGTACGAAGGTTTTAGGCGCCAGTAAGTCGTAAGGTATGGAGTGGTTAGGTTACTCATTAGGACTGGTTGTAGAAATACGACCTAGAAATTGCATAGAAAACCATTTTTGAAGCTAGTTTTACTACTTCTTTGTCCACTACTGTTTTCTCAGCTTATTTAAAAACGTCAAAAGCTGGGTGAGGTCCAAATTATGGGCAATTAAATGAGTGTAACCGTATTATTGATATGAGATATCATTTTTCTTTTGAGAGCCGTGTACAGTGGGACTGCAACGGTGGTAAGACTCCGCCGGCTCAGATGGTTTAAAGAAGAGGTTCACAACGTCTCCAAGTTACCATTAATCATGAAGAATATCGTTTAAGGCAGATCCTCCACAACTCGATCAATTGCAATGGACTATGTGGGTAGAGTGTCACTGGCATACTGTAAATGCTTCTATTTGGTTGAAGCATCTTGCAGCGTTCGCTTCTAGTTTTAGGTCTCTGGTTATTTAAGCAAATTCAAGGTTTTTGAACACAAATTCTCCAACGTACACGTATATTTAGGTTTGTGATAACGATCATGTTTATTCAACAATGAAAGATACAAAGTCTTTTTTATAACGTCAATACAAAAAATATAGAAACAAAGGCTAACTAAGACAGTTTTAGATCTAACGTTTCAAATTCTTTGACAGAATAAAAAGCGTGTTTCATTAAAATTTTTAAACCCTTCTTTTAAATGTAATTATAAGGGAGAGCTCTTATGTCTTCTGGCATCTTATTGTAAAGTTTAACAGCAACATTTATGAGATTTTACAAGTCGTCTCTGTGGAAGTATCACGTTATTACTACTTCTGGTTCCAAACTTATGAATTTGACTATGTATAATCCACCTATCAACATGTCTGCGCGCAAAGAGTACAATTTCGAGAATGTAACAGCTAGTCATTGTTAGTATATTACTTTTAACAATCAAAGGTTTGCAGTGCTCCATTGGGTTTGTGAGTATGGGCCTCTTGTTTTTATGCTTTTCTACTGATATACGTACGGGCCAGTTCAGTAATGTATCATCATACTCAGGTAAAAAAAACTCGCCATTTTATCGTTGTTTCTTTCCCGATATCCCAATGAATGTAATCCTGCCATTCAGAACGGCATGATTTACAGATTAACCGTGGTTACATCAATATGATACCTACTCTATAAGTTATTGATAACAATTATTCTTATACGAGAAGCACACTAGCAACAGATTTTCATATTGTGCAATTCCTGATATCCTCTCAGTACAGGTAGCAAATGTTTAATATAACAATTAAATTAGGAGTAGATACAATAATTTATTCCATCATCGCGTGAACTGAAAGTGTGATAAAAGGGGTGCTTTCAATTAAAGAAATTTCTCGTAATATTGAGCAACGTATTTGTTTAGCCGATTTAGCTGTTGAATTGATATCAACAGGTTATCTTACAAGCACTTTCGGAGCACGAAACAAAAATAACGATTCATGATTGTGACAAACAAAAATAACGATTCGTAAGTGAAGCATGTCTGAACCATTGGTAACTATAAAAAATGGTACCCTCAGAGGAGAAGTTGCAAGAGATTACAGGGGTGTGGACTACTACAGTTTTAAAGGTATTCCCTATGCCAAAGCACCAGTCGGTCCTTTAAGGTTTAAGGTAACCATCTTTTCGTATAATTTTTTGCTGACATAGTTTGTTGATATTCCCTTCCAAGTTTTTCATTGTAATTGGGAAATAAAATTAACGTGTTTTTAAGACATATCTACAATCACAATCTCTCGTGCCCAGGATATATTGATAAGGCACGATATATCGGAAAAAATTTCCATCTCTATATTTTTTAACATTTAAAGGCGCCTGCACCAGCGGATGATTGGCAGGGAATAAGAGATGCCACCAAACACGGTAGTATATGCATATCAAAAGATTTTATAACTGGTAGAGTGTCTGGGACAGAAGATTGCCTTTTTATTAACGTATACACTCCAAACGTAAGTTGCACTTATGAAGTCTCAATAAAAAAGCATTCTAATATTACAGTTGCCCACAAATGGTGACGGTTGCAAGCCGGTAATGTGTTGGGTGCCCGGTGGTGGGTTTGTCAGTGGTTCAGGAAACGCGGATCTATACGGACCCGAGTATCTAGTAACTGAAGATGTAGTCCTTGTTACCTTCAATTATAGAGTAGGCTTACTAGGTTTGTTGGAACGTATAGCGATATTATAATACCGATTTTCATTTTTTAGGATTTTTAAATTTTTCTGACCCTTCCCTTGATGTACCCGGTAATGCGGGCTTAAAAGATCAAATCATGGCATTGAAATGGATTCAAGAAAATATCGCGAATTTCGGAGGTGACCCACATAATGTTACAATATTTGGTGAAAGTGCTGGAGGTGCTTCTGTTCATTTATTAATACTTTCACCGCTCGCCAAAGGTACCAATAGGAAGATGATTGGTTAATCACATCAAATTTGTCTTCTAGGTTTGTTTCACAAGGCGATTATGCAAAGTGGGGTCGCCACTGCAGGGTGGTCGCGTGGGCAAGCCACCCTTCCCATTCTCAAAAATGTTTTAAGTGTGCAAGCTACTGAGAAACAGTACTTGGAAATTCTGCAACAAATGTCTTTTGATGATATTATACAACTACAAATGAAAATTCCAAATGCAAGTTTATTTTAAGTACTTAACAATTTCTAAGTAAAAAAATTACAGGCACTACAGCCCTCATTTTTCCGACCATTTGGACCTGTCATCGAAAATGTCCCATCAAACACTGCTTTTCTCACAAAGGAGCCTTTGGAAATAATGCGAGCAGGAACTTACAACCAGGTTCCAATTATTATGGGATATACCTCAAGAGAGGGCATGGTGGTAAATTACTTTAACGATCATTTCTATAATTACGTCGCTGACAGAGTGCCAGTTGACTTCGAGCTTGAAATACCTTTCATTTGGAATGTTCCTAAAGGTAGTTCATTGTCTATGAAACTTGCTGAGGAAATAAAGTCCTTCTATTTTGGCAGTGAGAAACCGTCTCAGAAAAATAGAAACCGCTACTATCAGGTTTCTACATTCGCTAATGTCTAACGCTAATTTTTAATTTTCAGTTGCAAGGAGATTCTCATTTCACTTGGCCGCTACATTTTACTTTAAGCCACTTTATAGATTCTCATTCAAGTACCATTTACATATACAGGATGTCTGTGGACACAGAACTCAATCTCATGAAGAAGGTTAGTGAAGAACCTGGTCCAGGTAATGTCGTCGTATCGAGTATGTCAGAAACTACATTTCTTCGTAGGTGTTTGTCATGCTGATGATCTAGGATATCTTTTCATGAACCCAGCAACGCTACCTCCACCAGAGCACAGTACCGAAATGAAAACTGTGAAGCGGTTTATAAAACTTTGGGCCAATTTTGCAAGAACCGGAAATCCGAATTCTAAAGTGACGGATTCTCTAATAAGCGTGCTATGGAAACCCGTGGAAAAAGATCGGGTGCATTTTTTAGAAATCGGAGAAAATTTAACGGTCGGCGTTAATCCAGATGAAGATCGAATCGCGTTTTGGTGGAAATTGTTCCGCTTTGCGCAGCGCAAATGATATAACCAACTTGCAAATCTTAAAATAGATTTTCTACGGCAAGATATTTATTCAAACCACTCAATTTTCGTATTTTTAATTTGTCATTGTAACCTGTAACCTTAGTAAATTTTTAAAAATGTTTAGCAAGGATTACTTAATTATTAGTTAGATATTTAGTCGCATATAATTTCAAGATTTTGACAAAAATAGCGGATTGTTAAAGGACTTATTGGGATTTTGCAAAAAAGAGTTTTTTCCAATATTACAAACAATATTCATTATAAATTTAGTAGACGGCAACTATTTTCACCGTTTATTTATTTTTCAAGATATTGTAGTTATAGCGATCTGACTATTGAGGAACCTTAATAGACAATGACCTGAAACAATGTCGACAAAACAACACCGAATAAGGGGTGAGGTAAGTAGGCACAATTAATGGGCTACATAACTGGAAAATGCATTATTAACCGAAGTCGCTAGTTGCGCACCACAAATGACACAGATCACTGGTAGTAAAACGCCAAAAAAACATGGAATGTAGCAGAACAGTCAGTTGAGGGGTCTGATAAAAGTATAGGTACCGTAATAAAATTTAAACAAAATCTTGTACTATGTCAACTCAGAAAATAGCACATCGTTAGATCCAGCCACGGTACCGTTACTCGCTTAATTAAACATTTACATCAAAATTCTACAAATATTTCTTATCTCAAAAGGTGTGATCTACATGATAACGGCAATGTAAGTTAAACACGCTTAGATCAATTGCACCGAAACAGTCGCTGTCATTTTCCTTTGTATAATGTAAGTTTACTCATTTTACCATCTTTTTTACTTGAATTGTGATTTCTTCATGAAAAAAAGTGAAAGGAAGCAAATCCATAGTTTTGATTAATTAGTTGTAAAGGTAGTTACTAAGGTGCTACAGTGCGCCCTTGATCGGATAAGGAGGTATGTAACCTTAATTTTAGTGAATTCCAATGGAAGTGATCACGTTTCTTTTTGTTAGTGCATTGCTTTAGTGTCTCAATTGCAAATCGTGGTCAAAGTCTTCCAAAGCTAACCGTTATAGTATACTGGTGATACAGCAGAAAAAGGCTAAATTGAAGCCATACTACGCACCACTTTCCCCCTAAGAGGTTTGAGCACTAATTTGGTGCAACTGTCTTTGACAGAAAGGACCTTTTACTCTTTTACAAAATTTGCTCAGTTCTTACTCGATGGTCCAACCAAACGAACTCGCTCAGAAACGTTTTTCTTTTAAGCCAAAGCTTCCTATACAGTATTAGATCGACGTTGTCCACATCTACAACGACTCCGTTTACCACACAGCCTATATAATAATAATATAATTATTATTTTGTTGTAACTCTAGAGCTACCATTAGGTGTAAGAAACGTACTGTTAGGTTTTATACTAAGATGGTACTGTCATGGGCCCATTAAGAAGAAACCCACTGAGTTTCTTGGGTGGATCCAGTTGGGATTTTAATCCAAAGAATTCCAATGTACATGATAAAGTAACTCAAACTCAAATCTTCAAACTATGCCAAAGTAAAACCTAAGCGATAAAAACAAAGATACTTTAATCAATCTGAAAAAGTCGTTTCCAGTTTCATTATTGGATTTACCCTTGGTTAGACCTTAAAAGCTTACAAATCAAATTTTAGAGTCTGAAAAATAAGTAGTTATAAAAGTTTTCATCTTTATATTTTAATCTTTTCCATTTGTATAAAATTTTTCTTGTAATAAACTTTATTTTTCTACAACTGTCAAAAAAAACCTGTCATTTTCTGACGGATTTCGAAACGCGAAGTACTAGATTTTTAAACGGTTAATTAATAAGTAAGGTTGCTATTGACAACGTGCGCGAAATCGTCAACAGTGAAAAAAAGTATTTCGCGCACGTGACAAAGTTGAACTTAAACAGCAATTTTAATTAACAATCGGTTCAGTTGTAGAAAAAATATTGTATATAACGCTAGCGCGAAGTTATTTCGGGCATTTGACTGGTATTTTGACGAGGCGAAGTCTCAATGCGCGAAATTGAACTTCGCGCTCTTGTTATATAAATAACTATTTCATTAGAAAGAATTCTTTTTACCCAAAATATGCGGGGTCTATAGTATTTTAATTTTAATATTTTTGATAGCATCCTGATATGGTAACAAATCTTTATTTCTACCAAGGAATTTCATATTTATTTTGTCTCGGAAATGTTTCATCTGTCACCCTGTATATGGGCTATGTTTGTCTTTACTAGAAACGTCTGCGGTTAATATTTCAAAGAATTCTCGCCATAAATTAGAAAATTGGAATTGCACAGTTGGCGAATGCAAACATATGATTTTTACTGCCTTCACTAGATAATAAAGTTGATATTAATCGTCCAGATTTTTCTTGGTTGAGGTACAGAACTATGAGCTATCGAATGCAAAAAGAACTAACTAAATATGTTGAAAACTGTAGGAGTAGTTGACCTGAGACGGACGGATAAAGTGGCCATAATAGCACCTTCCAACATGAGTGGGAAAATGATCTAAAAAGGACATTGTTCCTGATACCTATTAGCCCCCTACTGCTACTGTAGGCTTTATAGAGCTTTAAATTGAATTTAATCAAAAATGGTTTATGAACTTGATTTAACCAACACAACAGATTAGCATTAATGTATGTAGACCGTGACCCAGAATGAGGAGACCTTGCGTTTCCAATGGCAAGTTGCAGGAATCAGGATTAACAAAAAAATTCCTTCCACAATACACGCGCACGGTACCTTTGCAACATTTATATTACTCCCGGTTGAATGCACCACATTGCCGCCGTTTTGTTACAATAATATATGCATCTTTATTCCACCATTTAGTCAATGAAGGATTTAAAAGCGGATATCAGAAAATGTAATGGCAAACATGTCACGCATATTTCTTAGCGATACTCCATTTTATTGAACCAATTAAACAAATGCTTACGTAGGAATTATATTATACTAGAAAGTCCATATTATTTTTTATTTATTAATAGATACATAAATGTTATTTAGGTTGGGCAAATTCTCTAGTGCTTTGATGACGTCCATTTAAAAGGATACATATAGATGTAATATACGTATGTACCATTTCAAGAGAAAGGAGTAAGTATTGAAAGGTCTGTCTCTGTTTAGTGAAATGGAAGCATTAAAAAAATTATATATTTATTATACTTAGGAGCAAAAAATAGCAACAAATTAACTCAAACTGAAGAAGAAATATGCAATGCACATACAAAAAAGGGTAAAAAATCCCTTTCGGCTCTGCCGATTAGGTGTAGGTAGAGGATGATTGGTTTTCGATTCGCATACTAGACGTGCTGAATGTTATTCGATAGCCCTTAGCAAGTCTAATCCAACGACACCCATGAGACTGAGACTGAAGTCAAATGCAATATTTTTTCTACAAATGAACCGATTGTTAATTAAAGTTGCTGTGTAAGTTCAACTTTGTCATGTGTGCGAAATGACAGGTTTTTTTGACAGTTGTAGAAAAAAATATCCCCTCGGATCGCTTTTTGCAAACGAAAAAGGTGTCTTTGGCTCGTATCCTTTGTGGGAAGCTTTCACAAACGCACGTGGTTTAGAGTAGGTATGCTGCCAAATCTGTTCCACTTTCTAATCGCAATATTGATTGAAGTTTTGAATGAATGCAGCGAAGGGTATAAGATTTAAATACCTGCCTTTGACATTTCCTTCATATATGACAACATGAACGATGCATTTAAGACCTTGTTTGAAAGATCCTTCCTATTAATCTTCATATTAATCTACGCCAACAGTTTTGCATATATTCTTTATAATAGGCTTTTGCATTTTGATTTTACAGGTTCTTCTGCTGCAGCAATAAGCCACTGAATAGATTGTGTCTTTAACCGAATTATACGCGAACGTCAAGTGACATTTCCATGGCAATCATGGAATAACAAATAATCAGCCCACATAATTAGAAATGTATTCGAGTATAAGATCAATATGATTTCATTTTATTCCCCTTATTTTTAAATTATATTGCAGGTATAATAAAAAATACTATAAAGAAACGCGTGTATAATTGGTCTTTAAAGCACTTGCAATGTGTCTTAAACTCGTTGCACGTGCTTTAAAGACTTGATTATATACTTGTTTCTTAATATACTATTTTTCCCTGTTGATGTTTTCGCGCACGTTGTCAAGAGCAACTTTACTTATTAATTAATCGTTGAAAAATCTAGTACTTCGTGTTTCGAAATTCGTTAGAAAATGACAGGTTTTTTGACAGTAGTAGTAGAATGTATTTATGAGTTACGCCACCCCATACAAATTTATAAGGAAATCGCTACATAATACGATAAGTTACAGCCATTTGACTATTTAACATATAAAATTGTCCGCCATTTTCTTCCAATATAGCGGAAATTGACTGATTCACGAACTTGAACGAGATATTTGAGTTACACCAACCCTTAAAGTTTGGTCAAATCGGTCCATATGATATGATATGGAATCATATGCATTATTATGATAGTAAATTACTAGTCAAGTAAATTTTATAAAATTTTTTTGAAAAAATCTAAGCTTATATGTTTTTTTAAATTATTTTTCAGATGCAATTCAAGCTGCTAGTGCTGTTTTTGTTAATTACTATATCGGCAAAGTCATCTGCGAGTTGCAATGAAGAATGCAAAGATACAGAATACGGATCCTACATTAACTGTCTGCGGAGACGTATTAAAAGATCAGCGGACTGCGGCAACTCTGTTGAAAAACCTTGTGCCAATTGTGAATGTGGCTTTTGCGTTGTTAACTCCTGTCCTGGACACTGTGGAAAATGTTGTGAAGCTCAACCTCCTTGCGCTTCGAAGCAGTGTTGCCACAGGACATGTCATTCGCGATGCAAGTCCTCGTCCTGTCGAATTGATTGCAGGAAGAATTGTGTAGATATGTTAATTGCAGATGGGTTGAACGTGACAATACCAGATAAACCTAGGCATAACATTACAACAGTTATTCACCTTCATAACACCGTTAATACCACAAACGTTGTAGATCTACCGGAGGTGCAAGTTAACACGACTAACGTTAACAACATTACTTCTTACGAAGAGGAGACGAAGCATAAGGAAATTAAGGAAAAGTGCTGCCACATTATAAGCCCTCGTCATTGTACAAAGCTAGATCAGTACCCTTACGCAAAATGTGTACACTATCGTAAAAAGGCCTGCGGTTCATTTTGTGTAGCACCAATTTTGCACGAACAATCCCGTGAAATCTGCTTCGAAAATGACGCTGGAGAAACTTGCCGCCAACAAAAAGTTTACATACCCCAACCACAACCGACGTGCAGTTACCAACCTATTTGGCCTTACGTGTTTTGTGGAAACGTCCAGCAACAATTTTGCGTCGGCTGTTACCAACAGAGTAACTACCAATTTCCACCACCAGGTTGTCCTTACAGCTGCTACGATGATGGATATGGACAAGGTCCTTACTACCGTCAAGGCCCATTTTACCGCCCCGGTTTTTCGCATATACCATCCTGCTTCCAAACGGGAACATGTCCGACCAATTGGAATTACGGTCAAAATTATCCCCGGTACGGGTACCCAGCGATGCATTACCCACCGACATCGTACCCGTATCGAGTACATATGCATGACATAGACGTCCAATACCCACCTCCATCATACAGTTACCCTGTACCAATATTTCCCCCACATATTTCCACGGGATACCAATACCCACCTCCCCGGCCTATTTACATATTGCCACCTGAAGTAGACATTCAAGCCGTCATTACACATCCCCCAAAAAATACCACCTACGCCGAAATAACCATTAGTAAATCACAGAGAGAGGAGCAGCAAAATGACGCGATCTCTGCCCTTGTAGAATAATTAGCATAATTTATTTCAATTCAATGTTCAGAAGTTGTAGCACAATTTTTAGGCTACATACTTCGAAGGTGTAATCAGATAAACATATCTGGTTAACCTCACCATAAAGCTGTCTAAAGGGTTACGATAGTACTATCTACTATGACTAATGTGTTTGAATACTATGATATCGTAGCCTTTTTGAGTCATCTCTCTTAAAAAGTATCCTCTTTCTGTAATTTTTATCACAAGATAAATAAAAGAAATGAAATAGGCGATTGCTAATTTGTTTTTGTGATTTATGTTTGCAAAATCCAACAGATATTAAAGCTACTCTTCCCTTTTTAACTGCGCACCAGGTGCTTCTAATTGGAGGTTCCAAGGCTTCAGGGTATTTTTATTTTTTGACTCAAAATTACAAAAGAAGAGTAAGTCGTGAAAATGCTTGCTCTGTATGGCCTCCACGTTCACCCGATCTGAGCCCGAGCAATGTGTCAAGGAATGAGGAATTTTTGATTAAAAATTTTGTTTTATAGCAGACATTCCATGGCATGACGGATATTGGTGTAGTCTTTGTATTATAAAATTATGGCATCACAGATTATTGAAAAAGATGCGAGTTTTATTTTTCTAATTTTCCGTCTTTATTATGAAAAGAATTGAAAACTAATACCGCTGAATGACGTAAAATTTTTTTTCTACCAAAAACCTTAATACAATTTTGCTCTAAAAAACATTTGGGGAGCCAATAATCGCATGTTATGAATTTTACATTGAAATCCATATGATGCGTTACACAAGTCACCACCCTGTATAGGTACCTGAGATTCGAAAAATAATTAACATCGATCATTGTGTTTGTAACCGTATAAGTACTCACTGATTTCATTACTGTTGAAGTTGAAGGAGATATTGAGTATATATGTCGTAGGCATTTTGTAAAATCAGTCATTTTATAATACGCCTAGGCAGTTTATAAAACGCGGGCAGTGTACTTTCTAGAGGTAAGCGATTGGTTCCCTTCCTCTTCAAGAGCGATCCCTTACGCATCTAGAAGGGGAAGGAAAACTACCCCAACCCCACAGGTCAGCATTTCACAAAATGACTCCGCAATTTAGAAATGACGGATTTTACAAAATGCCTACGACATAAAACTGCCTAGGCGTATTATAAAATGACTGATTTTACAATATGCCTACGACATATATACTTTTAACGATCGATTTTTCCGATCTTTTTAACATGTTTTTTTTTAACACGGTATATTTGAGATAGTTTAATAGTAAATTGCAGGCTGGGGTTGCGGTTTCGTCTTCCGGAAGCTCAGACAGGCTGACCAGAGGACATAAAAGAAAGAGTTGAAAAGCTTTTGCGAAGAATGCGCATGCGCAGATGAGGTGGTGTCTGTGCTAGCCACAGCAATTTTTTTCCATACATACTAGATGTACCATATTCAATAAACGTATTTTCTTATAAGAATAATGTGTTGCGTATATCTTACTTTAAGTCTTCTCGATTTTACATCTTAAGCATTTTAAGTCCGTAAAGGTTCTGTTTGGTTGATTTACGGTACCCTTTTGGACAAAATTACAAGTAGTTCTATATACAGTTGATAGAACACTATGATAGTATATCTTGAACAAGATGCAGTTTGAATAGCTGGGATTGTCAACTCAAGTAAGAAAATGCTGTAAATGTCTACCTTTACTACAACAAAAATCTCAAGAAGAGTCTAATCGATGTATCTAATGTGAGATCACCGACAAAAGTAATGATAATCGGAAGTTTACTGCCACTTAGGCAACCAACCATACACTATCTAAAATGGTAACGTTGAAGTGTAAGTTTTCTGGCGGCGATTCGTGTGGGATGGGCCGCATAAACACTACAGCAGGTATAATTACAAGATTTGGTAAATATTTGTTTAATTTGCGTATTAGTTTTCCCAATTGTTGCAATATAGCTACCTACTACTCCCTTTATATCAAGTTAATAAAATGTGAATAAATACCTTGCTAATTACTTATTAGATAAGCAGTGTGTTCATATTATGGTTCTTTCATTAAAAGGAAATGTGATTTTAAATGCCAAGGGAGTATAAATTACCACTTCATCGGTTACTTGTTATGAATTGTTCGCTGAAGTTGTTACTTCTATTTTTTCAATTGAGAGTAAAAAGAAAGGGATTCATTGACAATATTTACAATTTTTTCACTTTCGGTTTGGCTGGAAACCACCTAACTTTGTAAAAAAATAGAAGATACTGCTTTTTTATGATTGGATACGCAATAAAAAAACACAACTACTATTTAAATCTTTAAGTTTTATTTTTTTTTACTGCGTTTACGTGGGCCTTTTTTATCAGTGTGTAACAAAACTGGATCACTAAAATACAAAACTTGTCTTGGAAAAATACCCTTAAAGGCAGTTTTTATTTCAATGGAAAGAAAAACGAGATTAAGGATACCAATGTGAATTATAATATAATGCATAAAATCCGGTTTTGCCAATTTTTGCAATTAAACCTACTGTTTATATCAAGGCAGTGCCTCACGTGCCGGAAAAGCTACACCTCAACGTTGCCATTTTAGATAGTGTATGGTTGATTGCCTAAGTGGCAGTAAGCTTCAGATTATCATTACTTTAGTCGGTGATCGCACATCACGGCGCAACCTATAACGTTCTCCAAAATTACCTTACCTTCACAATTGAAAGATGTTTTACAGAGCTCTCAAGAAACTTGCCGTTAAACCTATAATTCAGATCATAAAACAAAATAAACTATAAAATTGGAAACCATCCACCTTCACATTCACCTATGTGGCGTTTTAATTAATTATAAGATAAACTATACATCGGTAAACATCGAAACAATGCAAATGTTTTGTAGAACTAAGTAGCGTACTTTATAATGCAAAATTGAGAAAGGACAAACAAGGTCTACATACAATCGTGACAATTCGATAAAAGATCTTTACCTAAATTACAAAAAACTTTGAAATCAAATCACAAAAGTTCTTAGAATTTCCTATTCGTCACAACGTGTAGCCCGAAACAATCGATGGAACAATATTCTAGAATATATTAGATATTTCTTAAAGGTTCTTTAAAGATTCTAGCAGATATTTGCGGGTCTCACATTTAGGTCTCAAAGAATGTTCAAATGCATTCCAAATTTTCTCCACAAAAGTGTTATCCATTTATCTTCAGATATACTTCAGAGTCGTTTATTTTTTTTACAGATTTCTCTGTGATTCTTCAAATACCCATAAGAAATTCTTCACTATTACTTTATTGATAACTCTGGGCAAGGGGAATTTCTGAATATTTCTAAAAATTTTCCATAACCTAGATCAAAAGTTTTTGAATGAATTTCTAATCAATAATTACAGAAATAGTGGAAAGACCCTCTGAAGAACGTCTCCTACGAATCCATAAAAATTTCACGGAGTACTTTTGCAGAACTGAAAGTCCCCAAAGACATTTTTAAAATTTTGAGCTGCAAATGTCTGAAGAATCTCTCAGCAAATTTGTTTGAATGGCATTTCAATAACCTGAGCAAAACCAAAATCTTTGCTCAGTGGGTTGTTCAAAACATTCCAACAACTAACAAGAATTTTTGTAGAATCTTAAAAATCTCTAAAATCTTCCGGAGTAGTTTTTAATAAACTTTCAAGAAATTCGGAAAGTCTGAAGAATATTTTGATGATTTTGAAGAATTTTTCAACAACCTCTCAAAAAACCTTGAAGAATCATTTAACGTCGTCAACGTTCCACTTTACCACCACCTTACCTTATAACCGGCGATCAAAAATGAATTGCTGTCGAGAATTGAGTGGAGAACCCTAAATTATTGACCCATGATAGAACCAGAGTATATCAAATTGCTTTTGCTAGTCTCTCCTGTTATAAGAAGAAAGAGTAATGAGAGCATCAGTATCTCCTCACGAAAGATTATCTCACCTAGAATATCACCTCAATATCATGTATACCAGAAACATGTAACGCATGCAAAGGTAGGGATTTACAAATTAGATTTCATCATTATTCTTTTCTCTTATTAGAACCAGATGTTGAGGCGATAAGCTGTTTCGGTTGTGTTTCTACTTTTTGAACAACCACAGTTATCGACGCTCATGGGCGTACGCAGCTTTTGATCTAGGGAGGGGCAAAAAATAAAATTGGCGGAAAAAATGTTTAATGAAACACATAATATACATTTTTATTTTTAGTAGGTAATAGTTATTACTAAAAACGTCTTCAAAATTATTATATCTCAAAATATTAGTTATTACCGCTTTTATATCAATTAATTGTGTATAAAATATGCAAAAAAAATACGGGGCGAAAATAGATAGGTAGATATAAAGGCCTTTTCGGTATATCGGTAGAATTTTAGGCAAACCGGTAGACGGAACATCACTGGCGGACCACTGCACAGTGGTTTGTGTTAACGCGCGATTAGTGAACGATAACTTCGCTCAGCCCGACGGCAGGCGAGCCGGGCTGGCACCTAGCTATGCAGGTGCCGGTGTGCCGAATAATCCGATGGGCACGGGAACAGCGATTTTCGGGATCGGTACCCTAATAGCCTTTTTCATTGCTTAAATCTCAAAGGAAAAGGTTTTGAATTAGAAGCCAACAAAGACAATTCTTACAGATATTTTTTAACAAACATAAAACGTAACCTGTGCTGTGGCCAGGCCAGAGGGGGGCAGCTGCCCCCCTTGCCCCTCCCTGCGTACGCCCATGTCGACGCTTCAACAGCGTTCCCTTCATCAACTGATAGTGGCTTGGCAATGGATTCCTGGAAAAATAAAACATTTTACACGAATATTGACAAAAAAAAACAGTAAAAGGCATGGTTTATTTTAACATTTGTTTATTTATTAGTTTCCCAACGCAAAAGAAAAATGGAAGGAGATTGGAGAACAAAATTGCAGACAAAACACTGGATCCAATTTTTTATAATTTATTACAACGGTAAACACCAAACCAAACTCTCAGACCCTTAACACAAATTGAACTGACAACTGTACAATTTAATCTAAAAGAACCACCACACATGCAACAATGCATATGGCTTTGGAGTTGAACCGAGACTAAAATACCCACAGACGTTTAGACGTATAGGCTAAACGGTACATTTGAACTGAACGGTTCAAACTGTCACATGAAACTCAACGCGAAAGGACGCCCCTTTGCAAGATAACGCAAAAACGTATTTGATAGACACAGGTAGGTCAAGCCTTAGGAGAAGTGATTAAACTTTAGGCTTCGATGGTTAACCCTGTTTCACAAAACGCATCCTCGTGCTCCTTTCGTATAGTTTTGGGTGGGTTGATTAAAGTGTTGGTTATGTTAAGGATGTACAAAAATGGTTACCATCCCAAAATATTGAACTATCAACAGAAATAAAGCAGAGCTCGCCAGCAAGTGCCTGGGTCAAATCTGGACTGTAAATAAGAAGAGTTGGAGAGCAAAGTTTATGTTCCAGTTCCATCGAATCCAAAAATGCGTTTATGAGACTCTTTCACATGCGTTATTGTTCATTACAAGTGCTCGTCTATGCTTATGTCTGCTTCGTTTCAGGGCGATAAACGCCACACCTCGTGAACCTGACACTCGTTGTGAAAATTGGATATCAATTCAACATTAAAATCAGAGAAGGTGACTTGATGAAAAAGCTGGCTGGACTTTGTAATAAATCAAAGCAAATAGGCACTTTAAAAATCAAATACCTAGGAGAGTAAGTACCGGTTTCAACAATGTCAAATATTGAGAAAGGGATTGCGCTCTTCTTCCCATTACACACAATTCAAGCTCGTCCAATTGTAGATTGATATGAAATATTATTAGAAAATCATTTGACTTCTCTTTCCTGAAAAGCAAACAACGTTCGCGCCATACGAAAATACATAACTTATAATCTCTACAAGTATTGTTAGGTAATAGAAGTACACACGCACTATCACCGTAGGTAGGTATCTATGTAGGTCGCGTTATTTAGAAAAGGGCAAAAACCTCATAAGCTCGCTACGTCTTCTTCTTCTTCCAGTCAAACCAATTTGTTACAGTGGCCTAAGTTTAAACATTTGATAGGTGAACCATTTCAGTCCTCGTACATTCTTCGTTTCATGCTAGCTACTGTGAATTAATGTGGCTGCGCACCTTCCCGTGGACGTGATATCTACAGAGATAAGCATTTTATTGAACTTCCTTCCTAATACATTTAAATTTATTATGTTCGTTATCAGTACGCTCCCAAACATTATTGATGTGTATTGAAGATGGTAAGTAGTTGACGGCCATTGTGCTCGCTACATGTATTTCTCAATTTCAGTGCAATGGATTATAAAATAATACTGACCATTACCACGTGCGTCGCTCTTCATAGTGTCCAATGCATGGAAATCCCATCAAATTGCTCAAAGAGTGATAATCGCTGCCTTCAAAAGAGAGAGGAAATGCACTGGTGTACCGATCAAGGTTGCAGCACTTGCACTGATCATAACTGTCTTATGACATGCAAGGGGTTTAACTGCGGAATCTGTCCGAAGGGCGACTGCTGTAATGGGACGAACTGTAATGTGTGCTACAATAATAGTTGCTGCGCAACGGAATCTTGCAATTATTGTATACGGACCTGCAATTTGGCGTGTACTAATTATACGTTGTGTGAAAAAGTCTGCATATCTAAGTGCCATAAGAGTGACAAGACTGTATTTGTTGTCCCTAGTGCGTTACATGGTAACCATGTTACGGTATACATACGCGGTACGCCGTACAAAGGTGATTTAACATCAAGACCGTTTTCATCCCAAGATAAAACTGCTATTGTTCTAATCGACGGAGTAGACCACATCGCCATGGTTTTATCTTTACCACAACGTACATGTAAAGAAACAAAATGCGACAGCACGTGCAAAGGAGAACACTGTAATGGCGAGTGTATGAAGGACTGTCTCTCTAAGTGCAGCAAGGATTGCAATAGATTTTGTCTGGCCCAGTGCTCCAAGTCATCGCCTAATAAAGGTACTTCTTTCCCGTATATTTTTTGTTGTAATAATTTTTGCAGCATTTAACTACTATGACACTTTAACACCCGGTTGCTGTCACGTTGTTCATCCACTAATTTGCCACAACTCTCCCTTTTTTGGCCAGTCTTACTGCTCTAGGAAAAGCCACAGAGAGTGTTCCGCCATATGTACTTCGAAATTTATCCATATAGGCCCCCGCCATGGGCAATTACGTCAGCACATCCACTGCTACTACATTCAAGCTTACCCATACATCTATTGCGGAAACTACGTTATTCAAAGTAAGGTCATAAAGCGTTACTCAAAAATTAATTGATCTATTTTAGATTGTGACTCGTGTTATGTATGTAATGGAAGCTACAACCCCAGTGAATGCGTGAAATCCGTACTGTGTTCAAATATATGCAGGGAAAATTTTCTGCCGTTTAAACCAACGGCTCCAAAGAAAGAAGCAGCACCCCCTCCAATGTCTGTGCCACGCTACATACCAAATCCATATTTACATCCATTTGGTTATTCCTATTATAATCCGAATCAACTCTTTTCAGGACCTCAACAGTACGGCTAACGGTATTAGATACCCACTAAAGTTGTATCAGTGCAGTGATTGTTTTATACATATTTCTCTTAGTTAAATTAGTATGGAAACTTAATTTTAGTGGCTCATAGCTACCGACAGATTGCTAAGATGGCAAAACATGCGTAGTTACGGGTCAAGTAATTTATTAAGATTTTTAACTATGCAGAGTTATTTATTTAATACAAAATACAAATACAAACATTTGTCTAGCATATATCTATGTTACCGTTAATCCTAGAAACCCCAATGAAGCTACTGCGCAATGAAATTACCGTCAAGGTAAATTGAGTTCCTGGTTCTATCTTGCCTACTTTAATCAATGTGACGTGCTCAAAAACATGGAAATGATCGATTAGATTGATTGCTTAATCTTATTGGTATTAATTTCAAAACGGATTTCGGCGAGAATTGAGGAGTGAGATTTTAGGGTGTGCATTAAAAACGCCTCCCCCCTACCTTTAATCTACGTCAATGGTTATAACCGAGGGGTTGCGTTGACGTTTTACTTTTCTGTTTGTTATTGGCACGCACTAAAAAATCCAAATCGCCACGTGTTTTATTTCTTATTTTCTACTTCACTTTTATGGTGGGTTTATTATCACTAAGAAATAGCCAATAGAAACAAGGACTTGGTTCGTCGGTTAGCGACGCACAATAAACAGACAATTAATTAAATAAATCTGAATTACTTACAGTTTTTCAATAATCCAATAACGTCGTAACAATTTTGCGATATTCTTTTTTTTTAATTTTTCTTTTAGTTAAGGCCTATCCGGATCAATGTTCACTTTAGCCTACAGTAAGGGCGACTACATATATCGACATACACTATTAAATCAGGAATAAAACATTTTACGCTCAGGGGCCGATTAGTTTCGTTGAATGTACTCTTGAGTTGAGTGACTATTTTGTACAATGGTAGTTTATACTACAGTTTATCGTTAAATTGTGGGTTTCTGAAATTTGTCGGTTAAACTAACATTGTACAACCGGGCCTTAGTGTGTTAGGAGTAGTTGGTATAATTGAGATTGAGAAAATATTACTTTTGCTTTTGTCGTTGAAATGACAGGTTCTGATTTTTGCGAAAGGTGATATCTGAATTAGAAAATTTCAGAATCATCACGCTAAAATTGTTTAAATTAACTATCTAAGTGTCCACATGAACAGGGCATTGTTGTATCTTTTCGAGGTAAAGTTATTTTCACAGAATTTCTTATATGTTTTAATTACCTATCTTTATTTTACCTATATCGCGATGCGAAACCCATTTATTAATGGGTTACGTAAGTTTGCTTTGCTCTGATTTCCAAAATGTAGAATTTGATTCATACATAACAGAAACTTATACAAGTTCATTAAGTATTTAAAAATTATTTGATCATTGGGTCTAATTTTTTACATTGTAGTTTTTGGATGTATCTTTCGTGTAACTCCTATCGATGAAGTGCCTTTGTCTTATCAAATGCTATAACGAATTCAGCAATCTATGATTAATAATTCTGTTTGACTGAAACTCATCTAACACTTCGTATTTAAGATCAGGTGTTCTGCAATGCAATGTGTGAGCTACACTTTTGCTACTGTGTGACGAATTGCTCTGGAATTGATTACATAAAAGATAGGAGTTCCTAATGTCCACTCACATGTAAATTCCCTTTTAATTTATCTTTTGCCTTTGTCGTTACTACGCAGTTTATTTATCTCCTTGTCCAAATGAGATTAGATTAAGTTATAGGGTATAAGTAATGAGCTGTGCTGAAAATTTGCGTTTAGTGCCCAGAATTGCTAATTTATTTACTGTTTTGTGCAATAAAATATCCTTAGCGTATATGTAGAGTCTTTGCCAAGAAGAAAGTGTTTGTACCCACTAGTGCCAGAGGATTCACAAAGCTTGTATTCTTATCTTATTTTTGGTTTATATTTTTATTCACTTTTTGGCTTGTGCACGCCTGGCGTCCAAAAATTATGTCTGTCGGAACTTAAAAAAATTGTGTACTATGGCGTCAATGATCTATAATCCCTCTCACGACGAGACATCAGAACTCAAAATAAAACTGCCATGCGTTTAAAATAAATTTGGAAAAATTATAACCTCTCACTGTGGTTAATCCTTTTCGGACTTCAACCATGTATGCCAAGTTTGGATTTGATTTTCTCCATCCATTCCATCCCGACCTCTTGATTTGCTTGTTGCTTAAATCCGCAATCTTCACTCCTCCCTTTCGGATAACCATTTGGCTATGCACGAGTTGTCCTCGGGTTCTCATCGTGGTTATTTATTTCGAGACATATTCTAACTTCTTCCATCTCTCATCGCTCTTTGGTTTTCCTTAATATCTTCCGAAAATCATCAGTGGTTTGTTGAAATTAGGCGTTCGACGACTTCATCGTGAAAATGCTTGCTGAGTACATTGTTTACTTTTACATGCTGATTGTGTAGTAGGTAGGTAGGTACCTTATAAGAGAAAGATGTTATTTTACAAATAGTCTAGGCGATAAAGACATCCAACTGGACATTTTGGGGTGGAAAAGAAAAAAGTGGTGGAATGTGTTCAGTTAGGTATCAGAAACAACATATTAAAAATCCCACCCCCCCAGACCCTGTGCTAAAAGCTCCAGCCACCCCACCAACCCCCATAAACCGTGTTTTCGCCCTTTTTGGCTGATATCTCGCGATCTAGATCTAGATGAAATATTTTTAACTGAAAATACTTTCCCTGAAATTTTATATAAGGTAGATACTCAGAAGTTAGCCAAGGTCTACCTCTTAGCCTAGGAAATTCATAAAAGAGGCGAAAATCATCAATTTCGTGGTTTTTGCGTTTTTTTGCAAATATATCGCGACCTATAAAGCTACATGAAAATATTTCTCGTGAAATTTCATACAAGGTAGATACTGAGAAGTTCGCCTAGGTCTACCTCTTAGCCTAGAAAATTCATAAAAGGAGGCGAAAATCATCAATTTTTATGTTTTATTTTGCGGTTTTTTTGCAAATATATCACGACCTTTAGGGCTAGATGAAATATTTTTAGCTTAAAATGCTCCTCGTGAAATTTCTTACAAGGTAGATACCCGAAGTTAGCCTAGGTTCACCTTTTAGCCTAGAAAATTCATAAAATGAGGCGAAAATCATCAATTTTCGTGTTTTTTTTGCGGTTTTTTGCAAATATATCGCGACCTTCAGGGCTAGATGAAAATATGTTTAATTGAAATTACTCTTCGTGAAATTTCATAACGATGTAGGTAACTAAAGAGTTGGCGTAAAGTCACTTTTCACCTTCAACTTTCATGTGTGAGAAAATATTATTTGTAAAACAAAGCATTTCTATGTACCATTTATTCGTGTAAAAACAATATTTTCATTTCAAAATATTCACATATTCATTTATATCTAAACGTAATCATTCTCCTCTGCGGATTCCACTTCTTCAGGCTCTTCGACGTCCTCTAGTGGTAATGGGTCGTCTGAAATTACCGACTCGTAGTTCTCCGTGTCTTCCGATTTTTCTGATGCATGGGTACCCTGAAGAGACGACGTGGCATTTAGGCACGATGTTCTATGACACTGGACGCAGAGTTCGTTACACTTCAGACCTACAACAAGAAGCAATATGTCAAATAATTTTTGATAATTATGTATTCTCTCGTGGGTCATACGTGTCCGGTGGAGAAGGTTTACCTGATTTCCTGCAACTGCAAGCAGTCATGCCACCACGTTCACATCCACATGAAATAAGTTTGAGGAGACTTTCCGGGGCTGGATCCAAAGTCGTTGTGATAGGCGTCAGGAAAGTCTCCTCAAACTTATTTCATGTGGCTGTGAAAGTGGTGGCATGACTGCTTGCAGTTGCAGGAAATCAGGTAAACCTTCTCCACCGGACACTTAGGACACACGAGAGAACATTATATTCGTATACATAATTATCAAAAATTTTTTGACATATTTTTGATTTGCTTGTTGCTTAAATCCGCAATCTTCACCCCTCCCTTTCGGATAACCATTTGGCTATCTGAATCTGAAGTGTAACGAACTCTGCGTCCAGTGTCATAGAACATCGTGCCTAAATGCCACGTCGTCTCTTCAGGGTACCCATGCATCAGATAAAGCGGAAGACGAGGAGAACTATGAGAGCCTGAAGAAGTGGAATCCACAGAGGAGAATGATTACGTTGAGATATAAATAAATATGTGAATATTTTGAAATGAAAATACTGTTTTTTACACGAATAAATGGTACATAGAAATTCTTTGTTTTACAATGAATATTTCCCCACACATGAAAGTTGAAGGTGAAAGATGACTTTACGCCAACTCTTCAGTTACCTACATCGTATGAAATTTCACGAAGAGTAATTTCAGTTAAACATATTTCATCTAACCCTGAAGGTCGCGATATATTTGCAAAAAACCGCAAAAAAAAACACGAAGATTGATGATTTTCATCTCCTTTTATGAATTTCCTAGGCTAAGAGGTACACCTAGGCCAATTTCTGAGTAGAAATTTCACGAGGAGCATTTTCAGCTAAAAATATTTCATCTAACCCTAAAGGTCGCGACAAAAACCGCAAAAAGCCACGAAAATTGATGATTTTCGCCCCTTTTATGAATTTTCTAGGCTAAGAGGTAGGACCTTGCCTAATTTCTGAGTATCTACCTTGTATGAAATTTCACGAGAAATATTTTCAGCTAAACATATTTCATCTAGACCTCATAGATCGCACGATATCAGCCAAAAACGGCGAAAACACAGTTTCTGGGGAGTGGCGTGGTGGCTGGAGCCTTTAGCACAGGGTCTGGGGGGTGGGATTTTTAATATGTTGTTTCTGACACCTAACTGAACGTATTCCACCAATTTTTTCTTTTCCACCTCAAAATGTCCAGTTTGCCAATTTTACAGTCTCTATCGCCTAGACTAAAAGTAAACCATTCCAAATAACCGATTTGTCTATGGTCTCCATGCGTGAAGGTCTTAGGTTATCTTTATCAGTAATGGACTGATCTAGTTTGTAAATAGGTGGTACGGCAATTATTAGTTAGAAATAGTTGGCATGTGTAACGTAAATTGCCACATCGAACAAGTAGTTATTCTTTAATTTCGGAAACTGATACTACGCTAGAGATTCTACACAATATTTTCATGCACAACTGCAAATATTTAACTGCAATTATGATCTAATGAAAGAATTCAGATTGGCCAAGTCAAATATGATAAAAAGCTGACGAAAAATAGGGCAACACTGGCTGGATGCTTTTGCTCTTTGTTATCACACTTTGAGATGAACTCAATGACATAAATCAAAATCAATGTAAAATTTAGCAACCGAATTATCGGAGTACGTACATAGTGTGAGCGGAACTAGTGTACAGTAAGTTACTTAAATAAATAGATAGGTTAATTTTCAAAAATATTTTGCAGATGAGAGCAGTTCTCACAATACTTATTCAGTACACTTTGGTAGTGGCATCCGTAAACGCAAACTTTTGCAATGAAAAGAACTGTTGTAGTACAAACGATTGCAATGTTTGCGTCGCCACTTGCTACACAAATTGCACCACGGAATCTTGCACAAAATCATGCATAGATACCTGTATTTCGAATTCACCCGTGACCAACACGTGCATTGGATCAGAATGCTGTGGCAACGAAGAGTGTAATAAGTGCGCCCGTATATGTACGGAAGAATGTCCAACCACGAAATGTAAGGACAGCTGTGTGTCCAATTGCATAAGGGGAATTTCTGCTCATTGTAGCGAGTCTGGTTGTTGCTCAAATGCTGAATGCAACACATGTTCTCAACATTGCATAGCAAATTGCCAAACGCAGATTTGTAAGCACGACTGCGTCGAAAACTGCATGCAAGGATTGCTCCAAAGTTGTAATGGGTTCTATTGCAATTACTGCTCCGAGTCTACATGTTGTAAGAATTCCATGTGTAATACGTGCACTCAGTTGTGCGCCTCCCAATGTTCGAGTCCTCAATGCAAGCACACGTGTGTTAATAACTGCGCTCAGCCAATACATCAAGTTTGTCAAGGACCAATATGCAACATCTGCAGTGGGACCACCTGTTGCAACACTAATCACTGCAACACTTGCGCTAACACCTGCTCAAACCAGTGTACGACAATGGACTGCAAAAACGCTTGCATACAAAAGTGCGTTCGTACAACACCCTCATGCATTGGAGCTAATTGTAACCTATGCGTAGGCGATTCGTGCTGTAAATCTTCCAACTGTGATAGATGCGTTGATTACTGTTACGATCAAAACATCCCCAGCACTTGCACAAACGCATGTGTCAAGCAATGCGTAGAGACCGAACCGACAAAAATCAGTATACCTCTTCCAGAATTTACCTGTGAAGGTACAACGGAATCAGCGCCATACCGTCCACAACTAGTTATCCCCAGTGACAATCGTACGATCAACATCACCACCCAAGTAATACTGCACAACGTCATTAACAACACCAACATTATTAATATTCCCATAAAAGTAAACTTTACAAACGTAAACAATATACATCATGCAACAAAGCCTAAAAACCAAACGGAAGAGACAGTAGAATGCTGTTACGTGATACACCCCAAGGAGTGCTTTTTCGCGCCACAAAACGAAACTTCAGCGGATGGTTCGGCCGCCTCGAACATTAAATGTATTAGAAGAAGACACAGAGAATGCTCCTCGATCTGCTCGTCATCGGTCGTTGTCATTTCTCCACCGCCTCCTCCAATGTTGATGCCTCCACCGTTCGTGTCTACGCAGATACAAGCGCCTCCGCCGATGTATCCCCAGTATTCGCCAGTTTGTCAGTACGTACAGCACTATCCCTGGCAGTACTGTGGGAATTTCGAAAAGTTCGGTAAGTACTCACAACGGTCGGTTCTTTTATTAACCAATGAAGGTTAATAGGTATTTACATTTACATAATTTTGCAATTTGAACTAGAAAAGAACGTCACGTGTTAAAGTTTTTGCCATATCTTGGAAATGGTTCTGAAAATTATGAACTTCCTTTTAGAGTTCTTAAAAATTCAAAATTGCCAAATGCCAAATTATTTGAAATAGAAAATTCGGCCGATAAATATTTTCTTACGAAATAAGTTAAGAAAAAGCTTGGAACATTGAATATAATCATATTGTTTCGACAAAAAACTCAAACACATTTCTAGGTTTTGATTATGCAAAGGAATTAAATGCCAATGCTCCGCTTTGTCGATATTAATTTTTCCCAATTTATGAACTAGGTTTTGTTGCGGATAACTGCACCGATAAGGTCCACTCAAACCGACGCAGACATGGGAGCACGGGAGCGGTACAGATGCGGGGTATATTTCTACGGCGGTATGCATACTTGTATATCCCGCTGTATGTACAAATATAACCCGCATCCGTACCTCTCCCGCTCACGTACCAGCAAAAAATGTTGACCGCGAATCAATGTTTTCACACCAATATTTGTACGTGGCGCTCCCCAATTTGGTACGGGCTCACGCACATAACTTCAATTTCAGCGCACCTCACATAGTTCATGACCGCTCGCGAAAATTAGCTGAGAATTGCCACTCTCCCGCTTGTCTCGCTATTTAAATCTGGCCCGTTAGAAGTTCTGAAACGGAACCTATTTTCTGAACGAAAGACTAATAATCAACCTCGTAATAAACCTACACTTTTGCTACGTGCTCGGCTTTAAACAGAACGGGACGAAACTTTTACATTCGAAGAGATCGTGGCAAGCGCGCTCGCTTGCCCCAATACGGTTCCTTTTATCGCTTGTTATCGTCAGACACACTTTTGTGCATGTTCAGTATAAAACGGTATATGTGTACATTTTCCTATGTTTAACAAAATACAAGTTCAAAACTAAATTTTTGAAACGGCAAATCGGTTGCCTGGTTCATTTCGCATTACTTTCAATGACAGTGATTGAACCATTTCATCTCCTGGTGTTTTTTTCTTAATAATTAATCCACTGTTATGATGGATGATGTGGTACTCTCAGGATTTTAAACATGGAATTAGAACCAAGAAACGTCTGAATTGTTAATTACACACGCCGAGACTTTCTTTTATAATGCATTCGTAATATTTTCCGGTTAAGTGTCAAACAAAACCCTAAGCACTATCATTTAGGCCAAGGCATGATTATAGAAAAATTTGCGTCCGAAAATACACCCCGAAAAGAACACACCTCCAGACACCTCCAGAAAGTTGGCTCACAGAAATTTCGCAAATAAGAGAACTCGGTGGATTGTCCCGACAAATATACTCAGAAACCGTCTCTAGTATGTTTGCTCCTAAGAAAACGCGCCCAGAAGCTTCCTTCCACAGAACACCCTTCTCATTTATGTGTCTTTGAATTAGAATCAAATATTCACCCCACATAATTTGCCCACGGTCTATCGGGCCCCGGAAGCTACGCCCTCAGAATATTCGCCCTTAGAGTATTCGTCCATGGAGGTTAATTCGTTCCACAAGCTTCACATACGATAACACGCCCCTAAACAAATTTGTCGCAGATAAATTTCCTAAAAAATGGATTCGCATTTACAGATATTGTTGATATAACTACATATTTTAATATTTAAAGCCAAAGTAATGCCGTGTTCCCCTAGAACTCATCGAACAAATGAACTGATCCGAAGAAAATTCCGAATCATTATTCACGGAGAGTGCAATATAGTGGGGAAATCTGGAGCAAGTGAGGTAACTGTGGAAAACATCACGTCTACAATGTACAAAAATTAGCAATCCGAGGGAGTATCTCTTGAATTGGAATGATTTTAACATGACGTTAATCTAAAACAGAATGTGATTCAAAACAGATTTAAAATCAACTCCAACACTTTCTCATTTGTAAAAAATATCATTCCTTAGTCTCTTACGTAACTGTACATGAAATACATTGTTCTTCATCCGAGGTAATTGTAACGGTAACTCTAACTAAAGTTGTATTCGCTAATCAGTCTGAACGAGTTTAAACAAATGAAAATTAATAACTGGCCAATCACAAGACAATCGAAATGTCATAAAATTTATATTGAAAGCAAATAAAACCAAATTCAAGGATCACTTGCTCCTCAAAATTACAAGCAGCCGAAAGCAACATAATTTACAATAAGTAATTTCAATTAAAACTAAGTACATTACCTTTTAGTTATAGCAAAGAATACTCTTTGGGTTATTAAGCACAAAACTTACACAGACTCAATTTGTAATTCTACGTAAAAACTACGTTTAAACTGCACCTTAAGCAAAGCTAAATCAAGACAAACCATTCATTCATAATATACAGACGTTTAAAAGTTGCTAAAATAAAATTCTTGTATTTTAAGGGATTAACGTATTTCCAGCGGAGATTTTTTTCCCCGAAACCCAAAATCGATCGCTTAAGAAAACAATAAAAAATATTCGTGGTTCTTTTATACATTCTTTATCAATGATATGGGTTATTAAGGATCACTATGCAAAAAAATTTCGTGTACAAACATGTTTTGCTTATTGCTTGCAAATTCGTATCACTTTCAAAACTGGTTGTACAAAAGAGACTTGGTTTAGGGGTAGTGGCCAACTGTCCAGAGTCACGTGTTCCAACTTAGAACAAAGGTCCGTAAATGGATAGAATTATATTTAAAAAGCCCCCTCCGGAGACACAACTCACCCTGTGCACGCCATATGCACGATATCCGTCAACATTTGGTTAAATCGTATGAAAGAATATTATGCGTGGACATCCAAATTCTGATTGTAAATTTAGGTACGGAAAAAACCTCATTTCAGTACCAAGGTGTGCACGGTAAGAACTAGATTTAAGTTGCGTTTCATTCTAAGCCCCACGTAGAGAAAATAGCGTGCACTAGACAACTTTGCCGTCACGGAATTGACCGCAAAGTGGTAAATAAATTATGCAACTTAATCCAATTTCCCGTGTTGTTTTAGTTTCTCTATGTAGGTTAATCATATAACACGGGTTGTAAAAATAATGATATTTTCAGATTGTGGTGCCTGTTACGAGTGTGGAGGAAGTTATAGCCCGCAACAATGTTCAATCCAGCCAAATTGTTCCCTTGTCTGCCGAAGCAATTTATTTACGCTATAGCACTTCGGAGGATACAATCTGCAACCCTTACAATGATAGCGTTAACTACTTTAATCATTATACTTTTATTAGCCAAATTAGATAGTCACTTGTACATTTTACTTGTAGAACTAATTGCGTACAAACTACAGTATCGTATTAATAATATATTATAAAAGCCCTTATATAATGTATAGAAGTTATTGCATTTGTAGTTCCCTTTGATAATAATTTTGTAGTAATGTCATCAAAGCGAGCCAAGTTACTCAAGTGGGGACTAACAAAGGCGTAAGGAGAGTGGTAGTGCTACTTAATTAAGGAGCGATCCTTCTAACTTTAAAGAGTTCGCTGGACCAAAAGTTCCGCTTCCGTTCTAAGTTCGCAGTAATTTCTTAATGCCATATTGACAGCACAACTCAGCTTTAACATCGGTATAATAAGTTTTGTGAGCGTAATTTATGTAGGAAACTAAGACGTAGCTTTTATTCCAAAATATACGACTCCGAAGTTTTTTACGCCAAGTTACGAAAAGATTGCAATAAACCTAAAAATTATTATTTTTTACAGTACTGTATTCGTATTTCTCAAGTATTATACAATTCAATCGCCAACATTTGACCCAATGGAGTATAAACAATGCACTGCCATGAGACTGTAAAAAAAAGAGAAACATGGCAACTTTACTTTTCAGATTTCTACGTAAACGTCACTCCCTTGCTAGCTGCCTGTCCCCGCCCTATAACAACAAATAGTGAAATCGTATGTACAAGCTAACTTTCTAGTTTGAAATTGAATAAAAACTTCCAAGAGTATTTTCTTCTGACTTTGCTTGTCTTCGTAAGGTAAAAAATGTTACACAATAGAAAGACCTTCCATATAAACTGAGAGTGGCTCCCTTGAACAGGAATACGCCGAAGTATCAAAGATTGAAGATCTAAAAAGAAATGACTGAAATGGAGAAAACGAAGAATATAAACCCCGCCCACCTCAAAATAAATGCCAAAAATGCTGATAATCCCAAAATTTAACCACCATGGATTCCAAGGATTTGTTTTTCACAATTACTTTTAACTATATAAATCGTTTGCTGTATTTATATTTTAAATACGAGTGTAAAGCAGGTTACAAGCCATGTACCAATACTCGTTTTCACGACCGATATCGTGACAGTACGGGGAAGATTTCGAGTAAGTCTCCGATTAATCTAGTACTTTATACCTACTTTCTTCAGAGTTCATTGTATGCCACTTTCGAAAAATATCTTTCCAACCAAGTCAACGTAGACATTAGGAAATTTCCGATACCCGCTCAAAGAGCACACTCATTTAACAACAATATCGCCAATTTTTTAATAGCATCATTGACAAGTAATGAACCGTGCAGTAATGAAAAACGGAAAGCTCTTCCGTTTTCCTAATAAAGTTGATACACAATATTGGATATGATTTGCTTAAAAAATATGTATTGAAAATAGTCAAATTCTATTCATGTATAATGTATATCCATCTATTGCGATCAAATGGATGCTCATTCAAGCTTAATGCATAATTATATAACGGTGTTGATATCTGCTTTGTCAGAATTCAGGTATGTCAAATAACATTAGCGAATTAATTTTGAAATGCTTTAATAAATCTCATTTGTTAATCAATAACGAGCTCATTCAAACAGCAGACTTGGCCTGTGATTATTGAAAATACAAGCTCTCTCCTTGCTTGATTTATCGTGTTAATAATCCGTGACAGACAGCACGTAAGTACGCACTTATAGCATTTAGGTATTTCATACGAATTTGTTCATAATTTTTCGGAAGCGGTTTATTTAGGTACATCTACTGCAGCAGATAAATTGCACAAGTCGTTTAGGGATTTGTTTGTTCTCTTTTCGGTTAGGTTGGTTGTGAAAACGGCAATAATTGTTTGAAATGTAAAAAATTTCCGGAAGAGCCTCTCCAGATTTAAATTTTCCCATCACAGATATTGCGTTCCCCGTTGAGTCAGCTATGATTCGGATTTGGAGTCGCCGCTTTCTCTAATTAGTAATTTTTCCACTTTCATAACCAATTCCTCTTCTTCGCACCATGGTCCGAATGTTCACTACAAATTGCTGGAAAGCCAAATTGTCGATATTTTTTTCGTTTCAACGAAGCGGCGTTCTGAGCGAACAGATTTGGCCAACGTATCTGAGCATGTCGCATCCCAGATGAGGCATCTTCTTTCAGTTCAATTTATTTAGGGACTGCTGAAAATCTTCAATACCGTAACGTTCCTTTTATTTTCTGTCACTTCTGGAGGTTCGTATCCGCTTCGTAGTAGTTAATTTCGCTCTATTTTCTATTTCTTTTTAAGTTCTTTGGTACAAATGAGCTAAAAAGCAATTTTCCTAAAACGTCAAAGTGACGCTTTAATTTTTCGCGGCGAATTTCACTGAAGTCATTAATAACCAAAGCAGCTAAGTGACCTCGAAGTTTTATAGCGCACAGCATCAAACGAATCAAAATAACAAAAAGACCGTTAGTTTATTGATAACGCTGAGACTATTACCTCATGTAGGTACTTATCGATCACCTTTGTTTTTATTCAAAAGGTTAGTTTATTGTCACTTATACTAATCTCTTGGCCAGAAAGTGACACATAAGTACTCAAAATAATAAATAATTTTATCGAATAGAAAAACCTACAAATTTAATTAGATAAGTTTTTCTGATAAATGCGATTTGTGTAAATTAACTGAATTATGGTAATTCAGATAGGTAAGCAGTTCTTTCATGTTCGTTTAGAAACAATGATTAAGTAATCCAAGTCATACATAGCACACCACATTATTACATACAATAAAGATAATTTTGTACTGTGCTGAGTCAAGGTGATCATAGCGTTACATTTCCAATTCCTGATAGAGCACACCACATAATTGTCCCAGGGTTTACCACGTTATTGATTAAATTATTCGATGACCACGGCCTGCTTCAGGGCGAGTTTTATTAACATTACTGCCAAAAAGAGAAGTTTGAGTGTAAGCGGTGGAAATCCCCTTGGAACCTTCAAAGTTTGTTTACTAACACACCTTGGCCATGGATTGCTTAACCCTCTCATTTTTCCACACAAAGCTTTTTATCGTCGCAAATTCTGAATGGCGTTGTAGACATAATTAAAGCAGCGAAAGTTGATTATAGATACAGGGATAACAAGAATCACATTTCTATTAATCTTGCATCAATGTTTTCAAGGAACGTAAAGAGGGAACGGTAACAATCATGAATAAGTATATTAGTTTTGTGAATTATCTGTTTTGATCGTGAAATCTTATAAATACTTGACATCGTTAAAGCAGGTGCTCGATTACCTACTCTATTGTACTCAAGTGTGGCAGTGCTCGTTGTAAGTTTCAAAAATTGTGCACACTGAGATATGTAAGTAAAATTATGCCATAGAATTTTGTAGAGAAATTTGTTCTAATATCAATATATGGTTAGGTTAATTGCAACATTTTATTACAATATGATGCTATCTCTTATCAACCTAGATAAATAAATTTAAAATTTGTGGATGGTATGCGCATTGTTATACCTTTATAACTTATCGGATATTTTGCAATTGCAGTCACTATTACCAGTTTGGACGCGAAGCATTTAGGTATTTACATGTCGATCGCATATTTTTAATACAAAGGGCCCTCCCTAGGAAAAAAAGATAATGCTTGATGTACACAGCCTTTAATTATCTAATTTCAATACTCATGACATGTAGTAACGCACACATTACCACGATTTGTCCTTCTCATATCTACTCTCGATACGTTTTAGATCATTTTGTGATGTGATGTGACAGAAAACCTTGGTTCACTCAACCTAGGAACCTAATGTAATGTGACAGCTCAGTTACTAAATCAATCTATCACGATTGATTTAATAAAATTAGACGCATCTAATAAGTATTTACTTTAACTCGACCTTACATGAAATTTTAAATAAAATATTGTATGCAAATATATTTACTATGTATGTATTCTGGTGTTTATGCAAAGGGACTACAAATTAAGGCAAACATAGATTTATGAACGTCTATATTTTACGCGACACATCATTGACACATGGCCTGCATACTGCTTATTGATTATTGAGGAATGCCATCTAGATTGCTATCGGCAGGAAACAAGAGAAACATTTTCACGCGCAGAGAAGAAATAATCTTCTCAGAATTCTGAAGTAATGTTAATGATAATTGCATTACGCATTTACATAAAACAGCGTTCGCTATATTTCTTGTCTTACCACAAAAGATTAATATCTTTATTATAGTGGTATTTTCGCTTGTTTGTGGAACCATTTTCCGTTGGGTTCAATGTGTGCAAAATCCAATCCGTTGAACTCACTTTTGCAATTATGAATTTTCTTGATTAACTGATATAAGTAATCCACAAAATATACGGAAAAAAGCGTGATAGCTTATGGCCACGTTTGATGAAAAATTTTTTTGGTTTATTAAAGCCGAAACCTTCGCGAGCATACGTTGAGCCATTCCCCAAAGTATCGCGATCGAATGAACGGTTTAGGCAGGCATAAGATCCATGCAAACATTCATTTTTATATATACAGTGTGAAAATCTTGTCTGGAATACTGACTATATCTTCAAATCAACGTTTTATTAAAGAAGCTTTTTTTTAAAGAAAAGCACTATTTTTAGTGAGGTATTATTAAAGAGTGAATTTTCATATGACAAAGAAACATGGTCACACTAGTAAAATTATGAAATTAATTAACAAACTGTTTTCTTTAATTTGAGTTTTTCTCTTAAATTTGATTATGTAATGTAGTAAGTTTTTTATGTTGCTCTTTAAGAATATGTAATAAAAACTACAGTGACCCTATAGAGAATGAAAACTAGTGGTTACCTACCATTAAAAGAAATAAGCTTCTCTTGCCCAAGCAAAGTACGCAACTGACCATACACTCAAAATGCGTAGATTGATAGCAAACGTTTTATAATTTCTAATGCCATAAAAAGCTTCTTTAAAAAATGTTATTTTGAAAATATATTCAGTGTTCGAGACAAAATTTTCACCCTGTATATATAACAGCACTAAAGCGTTTGTACACCACCACCAAAATGTTTAAATCATCTAGATCATTTCAAAGCCACATTTCCACTATTCGCCTAAAATAGTTCAACTGTCAAAGTGCAGGCCACGGCTCCGATCTTAAGGGTACAGACGAATATTTCCACACCTGTCTTTACCGAAATATCATTTCTAGCATTTTTCGGAATGCGTCAAACCAATCGGTCTAATCCACATCTGATTTAGCGTTTTGAATTGACGCAAAGTGGTGAAGCTACCAATAATCTAATAAATCCTATAATCTGAGAACGTAACGTTATAGTAGAGGAGCTAGCTCGAAATGCCCTGAACGGGAATGATCCAAATTTTAACCGATGGAGTTCCATTTTGCATTATTCGAGTATGCTAAAATCAACGCAACTGGAACTTCGTGAGAAAAAGCCCCACGTGTTCCTGGCTCTTAGTAGAAGTGAACTAGGGTCATACGTAGACTTGGTTTTAACAAAAGCTGATTCACTTTCTTAAGGTCGTCTTCATCTTTTATTTTGATCAAATTTCCTCTTGATTTCATTCTTCAGCTCCAAATTAGTTTTATTTCTCAGGAATTGTTCAGCCTTCTCATAAATTGTAATTGATCATTCTCATTAGTATTTGGAATTTCTGAAAAATATGTCAATTTGATTAATGCACTGTATATCCATTTTCAATAAAAGCTAAGGTGAAGCTATGCCTCCAAAGGTTTTATGGATTTGGTAACAAATTTATGGTTATCCTTTACAAGAGCAAGGTTTTGCTTTAGTCCCAAATTTTGCAAAATTTCTTGACATGCTTTTATGGCTTGATTACTGGTTTCTGAAGTACTGACGTATTAAGGTACTAAATGAGGAATATTTTTGGCGTAATATAGTGCTACATCTAGCCAGGTGTCCCGTCTCATCACAATATAGATTGTGAATGGAAAGAAACACCAGGAAATTGTTCCTTAAACTTCTGAACTCCAAATGGCGCTTTTAAAAGCACTCGTTTTCGATTATTAATTAAATTGTTAACAATTAGAAATTGCGCTCTTATGGTTTCAGCGATTCTATTTAATCCATGTGCCAAACAGGTACACTGCATTAGATTTTTAAATTGCTTGAGCTTTTACGATGTATGCTGCAGCATCTGTTACCATAAAAGAATGCACTCTGAAATGCCTTTGATAAACAGAAATTCGAAAATCTTGAAATTAGGTGGGCATGTGTTCGTTCTTCTTCTCTACCAAATATTACAAAGGATTTGGCGGGTCTATCACTCAGCAGAACGCTAATAAGTAAAGCGGCTATCTTCCACAAATATCAGCGGTTACATCATTCAAAAAACAAAATATATAACTAATGCAATAAAATGTAAAAAAGCTATTAAAATGTGATTAATTTAAAATATGCACAAAAAATCCAACACATTTATTTGATTGTGCTAAAATGCTTCTCTTGGCCTCTAGTAATGAATAACGTGGAATTTATACTAAAAAAGTAGATGAAGGTGAATTTGACCTTAACCTAGAACTATACCTTGATCACATAACACTAAACGAACTTGAAGGGCCCAAAAACATATGATTAGGACTGAGGGCCTGGGGGAGTTCATTAAAATGAAATATTATTTTTTACCCAAAATCGTTCTGAAACCATCATTTTCATGCCTACTTTTTGACCGGAAATTTTAGTTTCCAGGACAGAGGCAGATCAGACCGTTTCCTGCCGCTTGTCACTTTGCTGGCCGCACCTGTCGCTTTACCGGCCGCACTGTCACTTCATAATGACTACTGTCATCACTGACAGATTGACAATCAAAAGTTCTATATGAAAATTGAACTTTATATATTAAAATACGGTTTCGGGTAAAATTTAATACAACACTTTTCAGTAAAATGGGATTACCAGACTCGGAAAATAAAGTGCTCGGTCCCAAAGGGGCCTCGTACTTCAATATTTCCTCGCCAGTAATGTGTCATTTTCAGATTTTCCTGACTTAGGTAAATAACTATTACGTTTAATTCAACTTTAAATAATAAAAAAGGGATAGGGAGGAAGACCAAAAACGCAGAAAGGTGTGTGTTCTCAAAATAAATGCATCTGGGAAATTGAAATATTGTAGAGTTAAATTATGAAAATTATACCAATCCTCAAATTTTTAATATTCATGGGTAGTACAAAACAAATGCCCACTCTTCGTGTACAAAAGACTGATTACTGTGTAGACAGCATTTAAAAAACGACTTCGAATTAATATAGATTAAATTAAAATCTCAAATTACAATCACCTATAATACTGTATTTCATAGCGTACGGAAATATCTTCAATGTTTTTGTGTCTCGTAACTTTCACTGTGACCGTCAAACAGTAACGATCATGGTCATGGGTTTTTGACCAAAACAAGGTTGCGATCAATAATAAATGGTTCGATCTGATAAGGTCGTGGCAGACGCAATCTGTAAGAATAAGAAAAATCGACCAAGGTTTGCGTTTTTCCGCGAAACAAGAAATTTAAAAATTATAAAACCCACGTCACTACTACGCCTTCAATTTAAATGTAATCAATAGTGATAGAAAATGTAGGCATTTCTGCAAAAATTTGTCAATAGTATAATGCCATAAAAGCCATTACAAACGCATTCCTTGCATTACTATCATATTGCTACGTATGTAATACTCGCAAAAAGATCATTTACATATTAATAAGCTTTAAAGGTGCAAATTTAGTACTAATAAACAATATTGGCCTTGTTTTACTGTCACCTATACGCATAATACGTACCCTTCTCCGGGTAAAATTCCGGAAGTGTTTAAGTTCAAGTTGCAATTAAATGTCGGTTGCAGTCAATGATGCTCATAATTGCAAAAATATACGTGATTCTAATCTAAAATCACACATAACGGAACAATGAACATGACAAATGTGGGTACCTACCTATGGCAGTACAGAAATTTGTTCTCTTTGTTTTTGGCCAATTGTAGCCACATCCAGTAGAAATGACAGTCCCAACTAGAATAAATTATTATCAATTAATCTCTGTACACATTCAAGGTTTATTGTTCAATAATTCAAGAAACATAAATATACTAGACAATTAGACAGTCAAGGAGCAGTTTATTGCTTTTCTATCACCTTTGCAATAATATATGATTGAAACTCAAAGTGAATTATACACATTTACCATCAGATACGTCTCATTTAAACTTGGTCATAGATCAGTACCATATAGAGGAAATTTCCTCTATGTCAGTACTCAAACATTTTTGGAATGGTAGCTCTCTCAATTTGTTTCAATAATTATTGTTCTAACTACAGAAAATGTTCACACCACTAATTTATTTGCAAGTTACATAAATCTAATATGCAACATGAATCCCTTTATCAAATTAAAATTGGTTACTACTAAATGATTCGCCGAGTGATTTGCAATGTGAAACCACGTCGACCGCTGAAGACCAGGGTTGAGCAATAAAAGGGCATATACCGTAAACGTTTGCTTGGCATTTCGATAAGTTTAATTATCTTTGGCAAATGTTATAATGGTTGCGTTTAGACTATTTTATTATTCAATAAATTAGACAAATATAGCAAACGAGCTCCTGGGTATGACTATAGCATGTGCAAAACCAAATTTTAAACCTGATGTTAGTTTTGCTTTTAATTAAAGTGTATATGTATGAAATTTCATTTAATTGCTTCCATAAATAAAAAAGTTGGCACTGCACATCCTATACACAAAACCAAACTTGGAAATGGCGCTACATTTGCTTTTATTCCAAGTGGCTATGTATCAAATTTGATTTAAATCCCTCCATAAATACGAAAGTTGGCACTGCGCATGCGTAAAACCAAATTTTGAAACTGGCGCTAAACTTGCTTTTATTCCAAGAGGTTATGTATCAAATTTCATTTAAATACCCTCCATAAATAAGAAAGTTTGCAATGCGCAAATGGCACTGTGAATGTTGATCGATTAGGCTCATCTGTTGGAATTGTGTTTTATGCGCATATTGAATTTCATGCAATTCGGTTCATAACTAACGGAGATGTCAATTCACGAACTCCGATCTACAAATTTGATAAAGAATCCACCTGCAAAATTTCATCGTAATCGGTCCATTCGATTATGAGTTATCGTGCTAACGGACGGACGGACGGACGGACAGACACCGCAAAATTATAAACTCGCTAGGAGCTCGTTAATAATACGACAATTACCCTCAAAATAGCATATTGTTACTTCATGAATTCATTTTATAATTTATTTATGCATGTAAATGCACGGTTCCCCAATAATTGAACAGGCTGGAACTAATGTTGAACACCATAAGTAAAAAAAATTGTTGGAAAATGTTTCATATTCATATTTAGGGTAAAAAATTTGTGCCTTAGGATGTGAAATTTAGTCTTGCATGATACCGAAATACTTGGTCATATCCAACTTTCTGCTTTCTGCTTCATCTACCACTAGTCTTTCATTTGCATACTTTTCTTATTGTATATTTTCACTCTCTATACATTTGTACTTATTTGTTGGTCGTTCATGTTCACCATATTCTATACAGAGTGTGTCATGAGGACGTTAATATGTTAAAGATTTGTTCGTTTTAAGCAGAAAAGTTCTTAAAAACATGCTCAATTCTCAGAGGTAACTGAGATTCAGTCAATTGTCGTTTGCTACATAAGCAAATCGAATTGTGTTACAGTTCAGTTCCAACTTCGATGCGCTCGTGTTATTTTATAAATTGTAGTGATAAATAATAATTACTGTTATAAATTAATCCATTTTAAGACTGTTATAAATGTATTGTTAGTTAATTGTAAAGAAATAAAACCACGTAATTAAATTTACGTTACAGACCAAACTATTAACAGTGGGTTGCGATGGTGACACTTATGCACTCGTAGGTTGATGTTTTGTAAGTAAATGTAATATTAATTTCAGGTAACAGCTTCCTATAGACAGCGACCATGGAACTTCGAAATTCAATATCTCAAATACTCGCAATAATGGTTAGAAATTGCGCAATGCTGTCGTTTGGAATGACTTTAGGCTTCCAAACAATTTTAATCGGAGGTGTATTGCAAGACACCGACAACTTTACAAACGTAGGCGACCATGAGGTCTCTTGGCTTGGTAAGTGAATGAGGATGAAATATTTCACTCTGCAACGCCTTTTAGGTTCGACCTTATGGCTGGCGTTAGTAGTAGGTTGTTTAGGTTCCGGCTTTCTTACGGAACCGATTGGCCGGAAAAGATCCATGCAACTTGTAACAATTCCCTACGTGAGTAGCTGGATTGGTTTTTATTTCGCGACCAAAATTTGGCATCTGTACCTGATTTTAATCATCATGGGATTTTTTAGCGGCGTTTTAGAAGGCCCGGTGAGTACAAAGTCGTGTAACCGAAAACATTACTTTAGTGTTGCAGAGCATCACGTACGTATCGGAGGTGTCGCAGCCGCATCTAAGAGGAGCCATGGCGATTTCTGGTGCAATTGCTGTAACCTGTGGTACTTTCATACAATTTTTACTAGGCACCTTTTACAATTGGCGCACATGCGCTTTGATTAGCTGCGTTTTTCCATTGCTAACATTTTGCATGTTCTTTTTGGTACCAGAAAGTCCACAATGGTTACTGTCGAACAACAAATTGCAAGAAGCAAAAAAGGGATTGGCATGGGTTAGAGGCTGGACCACAGTTGAAAACGTAGAATTGGAAATAAATACTATATCTCAGCAACTATTTGTCGACAATTCTCTAAACAAAACAGTGACACTCAAGAAATATCTGTCACAATTTTTTGGAAGAAATTTCCTTTGTCCTCTCGGTCTAGTTTCATTCATATTCTGTGTGGCCACCTTCACCGGTGGAGACACTTTGCAAACTTACGCAATAACAATTTTTGCAACAATGAGGATACCTATTAGCGAATATTATGCCACTCTCTTGTTGGGATTTGTGCAAGTCCTAGGAGCTTTAATTAACATTGGCCTTTTACGTGCTCTTGGAAAACGTCGTTTGGTTTTAATCGCATTACTATGTATTAGTATTTGTAACATAGTCATTGCAGCGTACGCATATTTATCGAAAGCCTTTTACATTACGCTATTGAAGGATAGTGACGTACTATCTGGTTTAGACATGAGTAGTTATACGTGGATTCCTATTACATTCTTGATCTTATTAAGCTTAATCAATCAATGTGGGGTGTATTCGCTGCCATGGATATTGATGACGGAAGTATTTCCGTACGAAACGCGCGGTGTAGGGTCTGGTATTTGTAGCGGAGTATCGTCTTTTCTTAGTTTTTTGAGTAATAATTTGTTTTTAATTGTCGTCTCCCAAGTAACTGTGCCTGGAATATACTGTTTGCATAGTGTCATAGGTGTAGTCGGCATTATAGTTTTATACATCTACCTTACTGAAACAGAAGGAAAAACTGTAGAATCTAGTGCAACCGAATTTACTGAAAAGCCAGAATTGGTCAAGAAGATACAAAGTGATCAGTGTGCTGGAGTTACAAACTTGTCGTTTGAGTGTGATGGACATTATGTAAAATTTAATGATGACTTTACTAGTCGACTATGATCAACCACTTTATTTATTTCGCTGTCATTTAGCATTAAGCTCCCATAATTCCACCAAAAATGTTCCTGACATTTTAATTTCTGTGTACTTAGTAGTATTATTATTGTTAACATAGATTAAATAAACTTGTTTTCATTAGTTTTTTTAAAAAGCCATTGCAATTTGGGAGCGGCTCCTTGAGAATATTTAGTGAGTATGAGCGAAATACATGAGGGAAATGAAAACACCTAAATGTAAAAGGGTCACTTTGTTGAATAAGAGCAGTTTGTTTGCGTGTGCAAATGATGGTAGACTGTTTGAAATTCCGTTTGCCCTTACACCACAGACTTCGTTACTTAAAGATGCACATAGGATGTGACCATGTAATGTTTCTTCACTTGTTTCTCTTTATTTTATTTTAAATACTCCAGATCAAAGCTGGATTGGTGTGGTTAATAACGTTTATTTTGTAGTAGATAGGTGTGAATGAGTATGCTCTTATCTTTAACGGTAGGAGTAGATCAGTTTAATGAGATCTGTCATTCTTGTTGAAAATGGGACGTGGAGTAGGAAATAAAATGAAGTTGGGAACCGGAAACAATATTGTTTTCATGGAAGCGACGGCAGCGCTTGCTATTTAGACGTTTAAATTAAATTCAGATATTTTACAATCATTTATATGACTTCTGCTATAAAATAAAGTTTTGTATTAGACAGTAACCATTTCGTAAATATTAATTCATTCGATCGAAAACACTACACTAGCCATTACGGTGTTGCTAGAAATTAGTTGATAGTAAATATTTTCTGAGTCTATGATTATACAACGTTCCAATTTTATCCTAGCAAATGAAATAGATATAAGTAGTTTTACTGGTTATATTTTTAGAAAATGTGGGAAGAAAAATATGAAATTTTAAAATTTTACGGTTCAGTAAAATCGACTTATATTCGTCTTTGGAATAGCATTCAACGTTTTGCCCATTTTCGTAAGTGACTTCATCGTGACAAGAAAGAGTAACAACAATAAAAAATGTGTTGCTCCCGTTGGCTGATTAGGAAGAGTGATTATACAGAGTAGCCCAACGAGAAGTATACAGAGGGCTTTTAGGGTATTAAATTTAGAAATTTCGAAAAATCCTCGAACATGTCAATTTTGTATTCGAGGGGGACAACTTTTGGAATACAAATCACGAACCCAAGTCTTCACCCCTCTACGTAGGGAGCTTAACCCCTAAAATTTTAAATGGAATCCTATGGCAAATGGCACATTATTTGACAGCCAATTTAATCGTGATTACTAATCTCCTTTGCTTTTTAAATTCTATTGATTGGTTTCGGAGATATTCGCATTTGAAATGGTTTTTTTCCCCTGATTTAAGTCCTTTAGATTACTTCTTGTGGGGATATTTAAAGAATAAAGTTTATACTACTCCGCCCGGAACATTACAAGGGTTGCGAGCACGTATAACCATAGTGTAAGAATAGAATACACTATGGTATAACCAAAGAGTAACCATAATACCAAAGAGTAACCTTACTCTTTGGTATAACCAAAGAGTAACCATAATTATGGGTACTCTTTGGTATAACAACAATTTCGAGCGATTACCCCTGAAATCTAGCAATATGTACGACAGCGTTTTGAAGCACATCTTTATTATTGCATGGAAGCAGGCGGGAGGCAATTCGAGCATTTATTGAAATAAATGTTGTGTGTTTAAAGTTATTTGTTATTTTTTGCATAATTTAAACCTTTTTTAATACAAGGTGACTTAGATTGCATTTGTTTTGGTTTTTTTAGAAAAAACCATTTCAAATGCGAATATCTCCGAAACGAATCAATAGAATTTAAAAAGCAAAACAGATTAGTAATCACGATTAAATTGGCTTTCAAATAATGTGCCAGTTGCCATAGGATTCCATTTAAAATTTTAGGGGTTAAGCTCCCTACGTGGAGGGGTGAAGACTTGGGTTCGTGATTTGTATTCCAAAAGTTGTCCCCCTCGAATACAAAATTGACGAGTTCGAGGATTTTTCGAAATTTCTAAATTTAATACCCTAAAATCCCTCTGTATACTTCTCGTTGGGTCACTCTGTATATTCTATTTTATTTTTGATTGTTATTTTTGGTTTTTGTTTCTTGTCCTGACGAAGCCTCTTACGAAAATGGGCGAGACATCGACACGGACCTAGCCCGGAAACCGATCGTCTCCGCTTTGACAAATAAAGGAGACAACCGTCCCTTACTTGTAAATAATCTGAACCTCTTACTACGAAGTAATTTTTTTTTGGTAAACCAGGCACATTAAAGACCCATTGAACCTATACCTCTATGAACTAGGTTCAGAGCCCGTTCATCTCAATAAAGGATGGGGCCCTGGTTAGTCTAAGTTGCTTTCATCCCTCCCCGGTTCCAGATGTCTCTGATCAAGGCGTCACAGTGGCAGACCACATGCTTGATAGTTTCACCTGCCCCGCCATAGAATCCGCACGTGAGCTTTTCTACAGGCCCAATGTTGTGCAGATGATAGTTGACCATCCAGTGCCCTGTAAGGACACTGGTGATCTTTACAATCTGGCTTGTATTTAGTTTTAAAAGCTTATAAGACCCAGATTTGCCCTTTAAAAAAGGCCCTAGAGCCTAGACTGTCTGAGTTCGGTTGCTTGGTGCCACTTAGTCTGGAACTGACTGGTCACCCAGTCTTTTTTCCTGGCCCTGACAACATAGGGGCAATTCCTAGGGTAGGCTCGGACCCGACCAAGACCACACCACTGCCTTCGCGAACCAGCTCGTCCGCCCTTTCGTTGCCCCTAGTCTGCATTCTGCTGGCACTCAGATTAAGCTTCCCCATTAGACTCGCCTAATCGTTCTAGCCGATCGGAACCCGTCTGCTGACAGAGCTTTCAGCGCCGCCTGGTTGTCACTGCAAATCTTTTCCGGGTTAACGGAGAGCCCATGGCGCCTATCAATCTGTTCAAGAGCTGTATGAGCTCTTTCACGCTGTCTGGAAACTTTCCAGTTACGGCGACAGCAAGACGGCCTGCGTGTCCCCGTGCTACGCTCCGTCCGCGTTCAGAGTATGGAGGAGCCCGTCTAGCACCACGCACCACAGAAGTGAAGACAACACTCCTTCCTGCGGACATCCTCTAGTAACCGACGATCTCATCTCCGTCGTCCCGATTGAGTATATAATGACTCTGCTTCCGAGCCGTGACGAAGGCAGGGGCTTCTCTCTGATTTAAAACATTCAAATCAGTTGTTTGCCAGTACTTCAGAAGGTGGTCTTCCGAATCGTATGGGAGATAAGCTGAGCAGACCACCAAGTGCCTGCCTCCGTCCTCTGCTATCTTTCAGCTGAAGTATTAGAGCTAGGAGATCCCTGAAACAGAAATCAGTAGTTAGATAGGATTCGATTCGTCTATCGACATAAATGCAAGTCCTACGTCTACTCCGAATTCTAATCAAATAAATTGTAAATCGTGCCAGAATCGTTACAGAAAAAAGAGCGCTTTTTTAACTACCTACCCTTATTTAGAAAACCATAAGCATTCAAAATATACGTTACTCTCAGCACAAAAGATACACATTACAACTAATACATTTGAAGCCAGTTACAGGGAAATTTCCACTAACTAAAGTAAATCAAAACTGAAATGGAAATTTTAATTAAGAACCTAGCTGGTATTTAACTAACCCTACCGTGACACGCCATTAGTACTATAATATTGGCTTAAGCGTAGTTTAAAATCCATGGCAACCATTGTCGAAATAATCATTGCTATGGATTTTAAGCTATGCCACAGATATACGTTCGCTTAAATTTGCCGGTGCAAACGGCCATTAATTATTTATACAAAACTACCTGTAAAATGGTGGTAAATTGGTGGTATATAAAAAGGATATCCATAGTCGATTCCACGGTAACTTTGAGAGGGTGCGCACTACAATTCCTCTCTAAGGCGGTGGAACTTACGGCCGGGGGGCGTCGCAGAGACATAACTACAGGGTTGCTACCACTAACCGAGGCGGTAAGATCCGTTTTGCACCCCACCTTGCGGGGTTGTACTGCTGTACATGTACACACATCAGAACGTCATACACAAGTGTATACACTGCTCGGGGCGTCCCCCTAAGCTATGTACGACTCGCTTTAACGATGACAAATTCCGCCTGTACATAGGCAACATCGTATCCATGCATGAGGAGCTCCTAGTAGGGGAGCTAGCTCGAAATCCACTGAATGAGAATGGTCAAAATTTTAACCGATGGAGTTCCATTTTGCCCTATCCGAGTATGCTAAAATCGACCGTCTGCCGCCTCAGGTCACAATACTTACGGCGCTGCGGGTACTTCTTGCGGTACCAATTCTAAAAGGTTGTTTTTCGAAAAAATAAGTTATACACATAATGAAAACGTTGATAATAGCTCTTAAAAAAATATTTTAAAAAATCGCGAACATTTGATGACTTATTATCTAACATGGGAAATTAGTTTTATGCAATATCCTGCCCCCTGTACATTTTACAGAAAAAAATTTAAAAATAAATTTCAACATTTTTGTTATTACTAGCAATTCATAAAACAACAAAAGTCATGGCTAATTCATAAAACAATAAAAGTCATGGCTATTGCTACTAATAACAGAAATGTTGAAATTTATTTTTAAAGTTGCGGGTATAGGTACCAAAAGCTTAATAAAACATGTAAAAACAGTTTTGTATGCACCTTTTAATCTTGAACAACTTTAAACTCTTCAGTTTCTTCTGTAAAATGTACAGGAGGGCAGGATATTGCATAAAATGGATTACCCATGTTAAACCCCTATGTTCCTACTTACCGTGCACCACCCGGTATATTTAAGTCACTTATGGCGGGCAGTGTATCTTGCGACACAGCCATAATAAAATTACGATGGTATGGGATACACTCATCGGTAGATTTGAAGAAAGTCCGTTATAAAATACCTTGCATTCCATTTGAAAATTTTAAAAAAGTGCCTTAGGGTTAACATTTTTTATAAGCCTTTTTTTCTTGGAAAAGCGAAATTATGAACAGTAATAAAAAAGTGTTAGAATCAAAAGATGAAGAAATTAATATCAAAGTTATTGAGCAGGTATTACTAACACCACTCACCTGTGCTTCCCTGGTGAATGAAGTCTTAAAATGTCTGTTGTATCAAAAATCCCAGATTCCATATCCTTACAATTGGATGAAGAACGTCGTTAAAAAAAAACGCTCTAATCCCGATGTGAAAAATACAAATTTACAGGCAGAACGTCATTATCACAGTGTTTGTTCCGCATACGATTCTTTAGAGAAGATAATGGACAGTATTGCTGCACAATTTAAAGATGACGGTAGTAATATTAAAAAAATACTAATCATCTTCGGATCGACACCGTATTCGGCGAAAGAAGTGTACACAATCAATATTTCAGGTGTAGTGATTGGTCATGTCGAAAAAAATCACTTAAATGCGAACAGCAAGCATCAGTACAAAATTTTAAGGTAGGTACGTCAGTGTATTACATTCATTTGCGTTTAATCAAATTTTCAGGGATATATTTTTTTCGGACGAATGGATCAACACCATGGATTTGCCCATGGTTCCTACAAATACCTATGTGATAATTGAGAAAGTGGCTGCAACAGTAGTGGATGAGTTATCGTTTCAGTCTGTTAGCGAGTATGTGAAACTACCGTCAGTGAAAAATGTGTATATTAATTTAAATTACCACTATGACGGCAATCATAACTGTTGTAATGATTTATTGATTTTTCAAGATTTAAATAAAGATTGTGCTATTAGTAATTCGTTGAAGTGTACTGAAAGCAATGAAATAAATAACTCAAGTGAAAGGGACACAGATCAAGTGCTATGGATACAAAATAAAACGTTTGTAAGAGGTTTTAAAGAATGTTTTATTAATGGAATTTCAGCAACAGAATTATGGTAGTTCATATATGGTAATTAACTTACTCTAGCTGTAATAATTTCATTAAGTACTACTTTTTAATTGTACATTATTTTATTTGTGATTTTTATTGTATGTGGACTAAGTAGATCCTAATAAGTTTTATGCTCGGTTTTATGTAGATCTTAAAAATACTTGGGTACGATAATATATAATGCTCAGTGATTACATTTATTACTTATAATATGGTAGACTTTTTATATGTGAATTGTGTATAATACTTATATTTTACCTCCCAATTTGCAATTGCATGGCTTCAATATTACTCTGCAAGATTCTCAAATTCTCCTTGCCATATTGAAAAAGATATGGGCCGCCAAACCAAAAAAACAACATTCTTTCTAGAATGTTCTGACAATGTTCTCGGGCTCAAAGTCGTTTCAGAATATATTCTCACAAACATGTAATGTTAGTAGGAAGGATTACGTCAAGTCCGCCTTCGTTCCTTATCGCCGATGACTATCATCTTTCATGGCGGCTCGTTACCTATAGAAATGACTGGAAAGTTCGCTACTCACTGCCCCCTCCTCAAAACTGTTTCATCACGCAAGACGAACGACGGTAGTAGCGGAGACAGTTCTAGACAACTCTTCTTCTATAGCGCGAACTTGTGGCACTTGTACGACGACCCCTCGTGCATCTTCCATTTTTGAAAAAAAAAAGCCATTGTTTTACGAATCGGTTGCGGGGTTCCTCTGGAGTTAAAGCAACAGACCAATATTTCCAAACCGGTGTACAAGAATTATTAGATAATATATTAAGGTATTAACCTGTTGTAAAGCAAAAATACGTGAATTTTTTCTTGGCAAATGCGCGATATAATAATCAATAATTTTTTACGTTTCTACGCCAGATACGGGTTTAGGACGTAGGAAAAATCAAAGTTTTGGCTATTTTAATACAATGGACCACAATATCTCATTTTTTTACATACAGGTTTAACGAGTTATGGGCTTATGGCGGCAATGATATCGACGGGTTTTGTAAGAGTCGAACTTACTTTTAGCAAATATCATAGTGGTGTAGTATGATCTTTGCCATTGTTTATGAATAAACAGATACACTTGCAAGCTGTCTTTTTGGTTCTGTTCGGATTGGTCGGTGCTGTAGTTCTTAGACACTTGCAGATGTGTTGCACACTGACTCCCTGTACTGCGCAAACGCAAGCGCGCTAAAATTTGAATTTGCTTTAACGTGCCACCATTTGTTTTGTTTATAATACCAGTTCCTGCTGACTTCCATATTACAAACCAAATGTCGCTGTATTTTCGGAAAGAATATGTTCTTCTTCTCGAATTAAAGCCTTCGGTCACTACTGTGAATTCCAGTTAAATACATTATAGCGCCAACTTGAAAGCAAACCTCTACTTTAGCTATCAGTCATGATCCTTGTAGTCTGGTTTTTTGTGATTCGTTCAGCACCGGACTCTCTCTTTACCATAAGTCAATGTTGGTCTGTAACGTTATTACTGTAAGTAAATGTCATTAACTCTTTCTAAGTAACTATTACAGTACTATTACCGAAGCAGTTTCCTAATATCACCTTTGGCATATTCTATGACCAATGACCATGCACTCCAAATGTAGATAACAACAAAATTCATCTTGATAACATGGCATTTTCATATATACCTACTACATATAATAGGTCAGCAGGTAAGCTAAATTATCTTCAATTATAACGTTTGCCGGTTATGTGTATATTATTTACCCCTTACACTTGACAGCTGTACACAAATTCAAATTTTAGCGCGCTTGCGTTTGCGCAGTACAGGGAGTCAGTGTGGAACACATCTGCAAGTGTTCTTAGACTATGCTCTTTCCTTTCCTGATAGTTTGTGCACAAATTGAGTAGATCTGGCGTTTACACACCTGTTGCAGGTATGTTTATTTTTATTTTCCATTGTTTATTATTTTAAAATGAGGAATTAAACGAATGATATTTTAATCCATGCATGTTTTCCACAGTTTCTTTCAAAAAACGTGTGCATGGTGACATTCATTTTCAAAATTTAGAAGAGTAGACCAGCTTCAGATACCTACTGTAACCCAAAGGTAAGATGTTCAATAATTACATGGGACCCCCGTATTTTTAACTTTCGTTTTGTGTGCAGGCCAGTCCTTGCTTAAATATTGCAACATGGATATAAGTCGAAGTTTAACTTCTGCAGTACGTGCAGGTAGATTGAGAGAAACAAGAAAGTTAGTTACTCGTTATGGTCTATCTCATTCAAAGACATGGTTAGAAGGTTACAATTTACTCCGTGATGCTATTAAGTATAGACACATAGCTATTACTAAGCTACTTATTACACGTGGTGCTAAGGTTAATAGTCCACGTTTTTCATCGTCTGATACTCCTCTTCATTTTGCCATAGTGCATGGCGATACAGAAATTGCTGAGATGCTACTAGACAATGGTGCAGAAGTTAATGCTAAAAATCACCATGGCACAACTCCTCTTCACAACGCAGTGAAAACTGGCAACCTTAGCCTTAGTCATTTGCTGATAAATTATGGAGCAAATATTAACATCAGAGATAAGGTCGGTATAACTCCTCTTGCGGTCGCAGCTGAAAATGGGTATTTAGAAATTGTTGAATGTCTCCTAAAATGTGGTGCTTCAGTAACAAACAATCCATGTAGGAACGGTTTAACAGTACTGGGTCTTGCTGTAGAAAGAGGCCATGAAAATATTATTAAGCTGCTTTTAGAATACGGGGCAAATCCAAATGGTCAAAATAAGAATTGTAAAAGTGTACTATGTGTTGCTGTTAAAAAGGGAGATGAAAAGATTGTTCTGCTGCTTTTAGAGCATGGCGCGAATGTTAATGTAACAGATAACCATTCCAAAAGTATATTATATGTTGCTGTTGAAAACCGAGACGATAAGATTGTAAAACTGCTCGTGGAATTCGGAGCTGATGTTAATTGCCAAGATGGCCATTGTGATAATGTACTGCGTGTTGCCGTTAGAAACAAGGATAAAAAGATTGTTAAGCTACTTTTGAAGGGTGGGGCTAATGCTAATTCTCAATGTGAGTGTACTACAAGTATCTTGTATATGGCAGTTCATAATGGACTTACACAAATTGCCAAGTTGCTTTTGGAGCAAGGGGCTGACATTAGTGCCCAAGACAAAAATTGTAAAAGTACGCTACATGTCGCCGTTGAAAGAAAAGACGAAAAGCTTGTAAAGCTTCTTTTGGAATATAGTGCTGATATTAATGCAAAAGACAATGATGGTAAAACGGTACTCCATGTTGCAGTCGAGCAAGGAAATGAAACAATGGTTAAGCTCCTTTTGGAATTCGGAGCTGATGTTGATGCCAAAGATTATGACGATGAATCTATAATCTACTTAGCTGTTGTAAAGGGACACTCTGTAATTCTCGAACATCTTTTAATATATCGGCCTGATGTAAATAATGAAGATAATCGGAAGGCTGTTATCAAGGCATTTGAAGGTGAAGTGTATGGCTCTAAACAAGAATATAGCAAGATTCTTCAAAATTTACTTGGATACGGTTTTACTGTATCCCTTAAAGGTGTTAATATCCATAAATTGCTGCATACTGCCCTTGTGAAAGGATATTTGAGAATTCTTGAGCAGCTTTTAAAATTTGGTGCCGATGTTGATTTGTCGGACAAATCATGTGGACGTTATACCCTTTTACATATTGCAACAGACAGTAAATTAATAGAAGCAGCAAAATTGTTAATGAGTTATGGGGCTAATATCAATGCTAGAGACAAGTATAGAAAAACACCGATATTTTACGTCATTGAGAAGCTTTATAATTATGGCGCTGGTAATGACTGTGGGGCACCAAAAGAGGGCTGTGTTCATTCCGAACATCCTTTAAAAAAAGACAGTGATAGTATTGACAGTGATAGTATTGACAGTGGTAGTATTGACAGTGATAGTAATGTCAGAGAAGAAATTGGCAAATTGCTTATAAATGGTGGTGCGAACTTAAATCTCCTAGATAAATTTGGTTCGGCACCCCTTCATATTGCTGTCAGATCAGCACGGCTTAGAAACGTTGAATTTCTTTTAAATCATAATGCGGACCTTAATTTTAAAGATAGTTCTGCTATGACACCACTCCATATTTGTGCTGAACAAAGAAATGTAGTAATTGCCAAAATGTTGTTAAGTAAGGGAGCTAATACAGAAGTAAAAGAAAGCAATGACTACACTGCACTTGATATTGCGACTCAAACAGGCCATAAGGAGATGGTAGAAATATTGCTAAAAGGCGGGGCGAAAATTCATTGTAACGTAGAGAATCATTTAACGCCACCGTTGCATGCAGCTGCTCTCAGAGGGTATTGGGAAATTGCTGAACTATTGTTGGAATTTGATGCTGTTGTGAACTCTAAAAATTGGCGTGGCAATACAGCACTTCACATTGCTGCTGTACAAGGGTATGATGATGTTGTTATAATTCTTTTGCGATATGATGCTGACATTAATGCTACAAATAATAGAAATGAGACGCCTCTTGAGTCTGTTAGAAATAGAACAATGTCATACCGTCATAGCTTAGGCCCATCTTATTCTTTTTATCATTCTCCTCACAATCTAAGAGGGGAGGCTGTCTACGAAGTGGTTGTTGCTCTTAATTGCCACATAATTCAAAGAAAAACCGCAAATATGTATGTAAATGATCAAAATTTGCGTGCGTTGTCTAATATGCGGTCTGACGATGCTATAAGTAATTTTCGAGAAGATTGTGAGGAAGAAATTGCAACCATGAAGACTGATAAAATTAGTGATACAATCATATCATTTTATGATATTTTATCTAAAGGTGAGCATCTTTTAGCAATATATATGAGGAACGAAACTGTCATGCAAGTTTTAAAATCTGCCGAGTTTAAAACAAAATATCCAATATATGCTTACATGTTACAAAATTGTATTAAAAAGGGTGTAGAGCGGAAGAAGTTACTGGAACAAAGCGATACAGTCTACGATTTTCTGTTTACTACTTCTGGATTACCACAACCCTGTATAGACTCGATACTTAGGTACCTGAGTAATGAAGAATTTAAAAATTTACTTGATGCTTGTAAGTATTATGTGTGAGTGGTACGGGTGATCACAATATAAAAAGTATTTTATGAAAAGTGCAATTTATTAAAGTTAACCAAAATTTTGAACTAGATATACTGCTCTTAATGTTTCATTTCCTAGAATGGGATTGTTTTGTTATTACTTAAAGTTGAATTTCTTTTAAGTTACTTTGGTTTCTTATTTATTTAAAGTGGAATTTGTTTTAAGTTAAAGAAAACTCGTTTTGCTAAGAAATACACCATTATGTTCCTTTGTTTGCTTCATAGCGCATAAAATAAGTTTTTTTCAGTTATCAATAAAATCATTTTCATGTTTTCCTTGTCTTTTTTACGAGATTTTAAGTTGACCTGTTAGCGTGAGACATATTTTGAAACAGTTAACCTCGCCTGATTGAGCGAGCTGAAATTTTACATTTACATGCATGGTTGGTTCTTGTGACAATGCATGAACAATTAAATGTTCATTTTAGGATACCAGAAAATGGAAATTTATCATTTGCATAGTATCCACTGCGACATGAGTATCAAATGAAAGGGGTTTAGAAACGAAATTTAATAATCAAAGTGACGTTATTCAAAATCCAAACTATTTTTGTAACCAAACTATGTTGGACGAACTAATATGAAACAGAGCCTATTTTCTTGTACTAACAAAATGCGAAGACGGTGTAATAAACGTAAATAAATCATAAACTATAAGAGATAGGAAGGTATAGGAACACCTTCCTATGAAAAGACGCAGAATTGTAAGGCTTTACAAATGTAAGCAAATAGGTATCCTATTTAAAAAAAATCAAAGCGCCCATCTTTAAAAATTTTTTATTTAAAATTTAAAATGTACATTAAGTTGAGGAAAAAATTTAAAAAAACACACTGAGGCTAGGAAACAACTATACGAAACGAAAAATTTGACATGTTTCTTTTGATACCCAATTTCTTAGCGCATTTTTTAAATATTAAAAATTGATTTTATCTTTTCTGGTCTCAACGAAAGAAACTTTTCTATCAACTTCCGCCCTTCTCATTTACCACCTTCTATCGAAAGATATTAAAACTACAAATATCTCGAAAACTCGGTTGGAAAACACTGGAGCATGAGACCTTTCACTGTGCAAGTTTCATGTTGTTCGTCCGCCCAAAGGCGCTCTGGGAGGTCAAAGATTCAACAATGACACTGAGGTTGAAGCCTATATTCACAAGTGGCTGTTGAGACGACCATCAGCTTCGCTAAGTTCCCTATTCGCTGGGAAAAATATTTGTTTCAAAAGCAGGGGAATGTGTAGAAAAATAAAGTCTTGTTTATATTTGATTCGCCCTCGTAATTTCATTTTTTTGGCCGTGTTGTTACATTTATCAGGAACTCCTGCGGAGCTTTTTAGTTCATGTCTAAATGTAATTTAACCTCGGTCATTACGGAATGTTGACAGTAGGGCATGAGTTAATGTATCTAGTGTGCCAAATGAATAGCAAACGTTTCTAAAATAGATTTCTAGAATTTTTTGTGAAAAAAAATTTCAAATCTAGATAATGAATTTGTCTACGCTTTATTAATGCTCAATGTTCGCCATAGTTTTTCCAATTTATCATTGATGTTGTGTCATATCATAGACAATTGTAGCTCTATAGCTAGATACAGTAACTAGATACTTTTGGATACATCTACAGATTTTCCTTGTATCTGGGTGTCTTGGATATTTAGATATCTCTTTGTCAATTCTACAAACTATAAAAGATATCCTATACTAAGGCCCGGTTTCAACTTCAGTTTAGTTTAACGGACAGATTTCAGAAACAGGATTGATCACCGTGTGATATACTAGCCAATCAAATCCTTTCACTCACAATTCAACTATAAACTGAAGTTTAAACTAACATTGTACAACTGGGCCTTAGTCTGAGCTCTAGAACAATAAATAATGGTGTTGTTATGGGAACTTAATTTATCCACTTGCATTTCTCTTCTTTCCTATTTATCTGATGTAAACTACTCGCAAATGGGATTTTATTATACATGAGTAGAATTGTAATTAAGCACACATGGGAGATATAGAAAAATAAAAACAGAAGCCGAAGCGTAAATTTTCATAAATTTCTGGTGACAATTCAACTCATGTATAAAAAATCGCATAAGCCGCAGTGAAATTGTCACTTTGACAGCGGAAAAAGTTACCTGCAACTTTTCCAGCGACAAATGCACTAGTGGTTTTTTCACTTATTCATTTTCGAACCAATTATCGCATTATCCTTACCCATATGACTAGTTTGACGTCTGTCAATAATTGATTAGTTTGGTGAATTTCTTGTTCGTTAAATTGTCCTGCCGAATTACACTCGAGGTTTGTATTTAAACCGAGTAAATTTGGGTTGTGGCAATTCAAATCTGTTTCCTTTTAGCAATTGGACTCGAAAAACTGTCAACCTAAAAATGCTCCACCTGCGGTGTCGCATTTTTATTAGTTGACAGTTTTTCTCGTCGAATTGCTAGGCAACAGATTTTCATTACCTTAACAACCCAAATTTACTCGGTAAAATACAAACCTCTTGTGCAATTATAAGTGAGAAAGATTTCATGGCCTTCTAAACTTCTCTTTTTTCGATGGCGTTATCTAGATACAAAATAGGTATAAGTATCTGTACTAAATACACTGAAACAGATGTATCTAGATCACGGGCCTTTTTAAGAGGCTACGAGCCTCTAGATACAATTTTTCAAATGTATCTGTATCTAGATACTCAAAAGTATTTGTCAACACTGATTGCCAGAACTGTTTCCGGCAAAATGAAATCATAATGATGGTTTCCGGGTTAATTTCTACCAATCCGGTGTATTTGGCCAAAACCTGGCGGATCTTCCAACTACCAATAGAAAACAACACCACCGTATGACCACACTTGTCTCTAAAAAGTCACCGTAATTTTTCTTTGCGGTAGTAACATATACGTTTAACGTTTTACAATTTAAAGTTTTAAATTAATAATATAATTCTGATAGTTATAAATTCAATGATAGAACTTGGTTTAACTACATTTGGTAACACTGCAGGTGGTCATTTAGCCACGTCTGTAGATTCCGATTGGGCGTTTATCCACCGAAAATGGTGCTGTACAAATTCCTAACCACACTTCGTTTTTAAAATATAGCAATTTTAATTTTTCCAAGAAGATACAAAAATGAATATATCCAAACGTATGAAACAACTGATGTGCATTTCTAAACGGTCCAGAAATTTCTGTTCTTCAAACCAGTGGAATAACGATATCAACAAAATAAGGAATATTGGAATTTTAGCACACATTGACGCTGGTAATTGATAATTGATTGGATATAGGTAATAAGAACGTGCTTTAAGGTAAAACTACAACAACAGAACGAATGTTGTATTATTCTGGTAAAATTCATCACATGGGTGAGGTGCATCATGGAAATACAGTAACAGACTATATGACACAGGAACGAGAGCGTGGTATAACTATTAAGTCGGCCGCTGTTACATTTAAATGGAAAGGTCATCAGTTTAATCTTATCGACACTCCTGGACATATTGATTTTACCATGGAAGTAGAAGAAACCTTAAGTGTGCTAGACAGTGCTATTGTCATATTGGATGCATCAGCAGGTGTGTGTTTTTAACAGTGTTGCATATCTAACCGACGTAATTGTAGGTGTAGAAGCTCAAACTGTCACAGTGTGGAGGCAGGCTGACCGATACAAAATCCCTCGGTTGGTTTACATCAATAAAATGGATCGAGCTGATGCCAATTTAGAATCATGTTGCACATCTATCGAAAAGAAGTTTGGAAGCCCAACTTTATGCCTTCAATTACCACTTATGGAAAATGGGAAATTTGTAGGTATAATTGAGTTACACATTTTGGAATGTAGTGGTATTATTTATTTCCAAGGTTTAATCGATATCTTGACTTTGGAGAAGTTGGTACCTAGTAAGGAGAAGCTTACAAGGACCTTATTAATTGAGCAGGAGGATTTACGCAATTGGACAGCTGCAAAAAATGCGCGAAGTGTTTTAGTTGATAGGCTTACAGATCTCGATGATAATTTTGCTAATTTGGTTATAAGTGCAGATTCAATTGATCATATTCAAACCACAGAAATTTCAAAGACATTATGGAAAATTACTGCAAAACAGGTAAAAGATCTATTGGTTTTTGTCAATTAATTGTCTAAAATTGAAGGATGCCACACCTGTACTATGCGGTAGCTCTTATAAGAACATCGGGGTCGAACCACTGATGGATGCTGTTATTCTGTATTTAACATCTCCAAAGGATGGAAACAACATTTATAGCTGTTTTAAGAATTCTCTATGTGCACGTGCTTTCAAAATAATTCACGATAAGCAACGAGGACCGTTGGTTTTTTTGAGAATTTACTGTGGGGAATTTAAGCAAGGCCAGAAGATCTATAACATTACAAAGGACTGTACAGAACATAGTGGACGTTTATATATTGCGTACGCCGATGAATTTCAAGAAATTGGCAGTATGCAAAACGGGAATATTGCTGTGGTTAGTGGATTGAAGGTGAGCATTACCTATTGCGCCAGGAATGATACAAATTATTAAGGAAATTGTATTTATAAACCTAATGTATTGAGATTGTGGGAGTCTCCATTTAGGGACCAATTATATGGTACCTACTGTTGATGATAGTAACATAACTGAGGCTCGAACTAAGGTGTCCTCTGTGCTTTATGATGGTCGGCATTAAAGTGATGTACAAGGTGTTGTGTGCAGGTGCACCATCCTAATGAAACCAATATTTTCCAACTCGGTTTCCAAATTTTGTTTTTTTTTGGCTGCAGTACATCATTGTATTTGTAATAAAAAATGCTTCTCAATACAGTATGGACCTTTCTTTATGGGCCATATAAAGAAATAAGGTTGATGATGATTTTTCTGAAAAGAAACGTTGTATTGAAAATCTTGAACGATTACATCTCAAAAAGTGTTAATGGGAAAGTGTTCCTTATTTTTTTGTATCTGTCCAAAACACATCAGAAAAAAATAATTATGAAATTTGCAAATTTGCGTTTTTCCTGCATATCTTCGGAAGTAAATTTTCTGGTTTTCTTTACAACATGATAATAACTCTTTAATTGTGCTACTTTACCCGAATTTGACCATCTTCGTATCTTCTATGGTTTCCTAGATACCCATGATACACATCCTTATCTTGGACACAGTGTATAAGATATGACGTGGTATTGTCACCCTGAGGGTACTAGTATTTTTTAAATTTTAAATACTACCTACGAAGATAAAATTTTCTTCCTCTCCTAAATCTTTATTTGTTTTTTAGTGTTCGAAATATTTTATCTGATTTTATTTAATCATTATAGGTATAAAATATTTCGAACATTAAAAAACAAATAAAGATTTAGGAGAGGGAGAATATTTCATCTAAAGCGATTGTAGAAGGGAAAGTGCCCATAACACTAGCAGCATTTCCGCGCTGAATAGCCAGACTAAAAGTTTCTGAATTAGGAAGCTTTTTGAATGGGGCTCTCCTGTGACATTTGTCAATTTCTTCCCTAAAGTATTCACAAACTGAATTATATACAGAATTGTAAAATTTGCAATGAATTTCTAAGGGCAAAAATGATAATTCTCACTTTTATTTAGAGCTGCCACACTAATTTCTACCAACTTAACCATAGCGATGTATGAGTCTTCCCTCTTTTCAGGTAACAACAGTAGGGGATTTAATATCCCAATCAGCGCCGTCCGCCCAAAGGGCAAAGGATGAGGTAATTTCATCAACCAAAGATAATGAGCTTGTCGACAGAATTTTTGGGACTGGCACAAAAATTCCAGAACCTGTATTCTTTTGTTCTATTGAACCACCCAGTCTTGCTTACGAAAAACAATTAGACCAAGCCCTTTCTGAATTGCAACGAGAAGACCCAAGCCTGAAAGTTACTCACGAACCAGAAACAGGTCAAACTGTCTTGGCAGGTTTGTTTTTTTCACGAAAATGTAATGGCGTAATCGACTGTTTCTTCAGGAATGGGCGAACTTCATTTAGAAATAATTAAAGATAGAATTTTGAAAGAGTATAAGATTAATGCAGAATTGGGCGCTCTGCAAATAGCCTATTGCGAAACGCCAACTAACTCAGTCTCTCATGAAATTACAAATGAGGTCAGGGTAGGCTCTACAAAGCATCTCGTAACTGTATCTCTTTCGATTGTGCCCAAATCAGTTGATGAGGAAAAGGAAGTGCTTAAATTGGACAGATCTTCAGAGGCAGCCAGTAATTTAGCAAACATACATCATAGGACATTACAGGCGATTAAACAAGGAATCAAGGTCGCTTTGACTCATGGTCCGAGGATAAACTGTAAGGTGTGTATGCTTCTGTGAAGTGTTAATTTTCTTATAAAACTTTGTTATCTAAAGGTTATAAATGCTCAAGTTGTGTTACACAAGCTCGAAATCGGAAGGGGGACTTCTGAAACTATGGTTTCTGCTACTGTTACGCAATGCTTGCAGAAGGTGAGTGATTTCACGACCGTTGTCTGGTTACTTTATTCGATTACAGATGTTGAAAGAAGCGGGAACAACTATCTTGGAACCAATTATGTTTTTAGAAATAGTAAGCACAGAAGAGTCAATTTCAACAATTTTAGCCGATTTGGGTCGAAGACGAGCGAGTATACTGAATGTAACTGTCAGAGGAATTGGAAAGGTAATACAAAATGTGCCTAATCAAAGTTGCACAACTGACTAATTTTAATTTTCAGATTATTACCTGCGAGGCACCCTTGTCAGAACTATTGGGATATTCGACCGTTTTAAGAACAATTACCTCTGGAACGGCATCATTCTCAATGGAATTTTCAGAATATAGAGCAATGTCGGCTGTGAATGAAATGAAGGCAATAGAAAATGTTAGAGGATTTTAGTAGTCATTCCGTTATATTTGATACATAAACAGAAAATTAAATATGAAGTTTTGGGCAAATTGTTTTTGGATTGAAGTGTGGTTTGAGTTGTGTTATTGCTGTGAGGTTTCATTATGTGAAAAATAAACCAGGGGTTTTAAATAAAAGAGAAATGTTAACAATGTTAATTTTAATTTTGACACCTCCACTCTTGAAATAATGAACTTCAGATTATTAGTTTAACTGACAGATTTCAGAAACACCATTGATGAACTAGCGAAATTAAATTAACCAATCAAATTCTAAAACCCACACTTTAGCTATAAACTGAACTGGCATTGTACAACCGGGCCTTAATCATTAAATTGTGTTTGACTTTTGTTCCGCGTTGCGTCTAACACGAAAGTCCAGTTGTACAATGTCACTTTAAACTTCAGTTTATAGTTAAATTATGGGTAGGATTTGATTGGCTAGTAGTATTTGACAAGTTGACCAATCGTGTTTCTGAAATCTGTCATTGTACAACGGAGCCTATGGCCTTAGTTGTACAATCTCAGTGTATAGTTAAATTGTGGGTTAAAGGATTTTGACTGGCTGTTTCACAAGTTAACCAATCGTATTTTTGAAAACTCGGTTATAGTATATTAAGTATGGAGAACGGTAAGGGATTTTTACCGTTCGAAGACAATTGTTTGGAGGAGGAGCGAAGCGACGACTCCAATTATTGTCTGAGAACGGTAACCCTTAACGTTCGACGTGCTTATAACATTTTTTGCGCGATCGAAATTAAAATTATCAACCAATATAAATATGCACTAAGAAATTAACGAGCAGAATAAATCGAAATGATCGAAGTGGTATGGTGTACATCACTAGGCAACCAGTTTAAATGTCAAAATTGAAATTAATAATTCCATAAAAATGTGCATGTGTCTGATGTAGTTTACTAGCTTTGCACATCCTTTATGACTTTATGAGCGTCTTGCTATAGGAAACAACAGCACAAATTGTACGATTAATGTACCTAACAATAATTAAAGATTAAATGTAATGTAAGACTGTTGATTTTTAAAAAGGCGTCGGTAAGTATTTTTGCTGTTCTGTTTTTAGATCGGTAAGTAATTTTGGCGTCGTCGTAATCATAGCAACTGGTAAATTCTACGTACTGTCATGGAAACACCCATGGTATGGTAAATAGTCAGAAATGACCGATCGCGCAAAGAATAATTTCAAGTTTAAACTGACGTACAACCGGGCGTAAATGAATGACGGGTGTTTTAAGGGCCCGTTGCACAAAGTGCAGTTTTAGCTCCCTTGGAATTATCCTGGGGTTTGAAGAAGGGGATCGTGAATTGTGAGAAACTGAATACTATGCTTTGTATATTTATCGCCCAACTTTCGTCGGGCATTTAAAAAATTGGTTATAAACTCATTTGAGTTGTTCCTCTCCACGGAAATCTTTAGTAAAAGGCGAAAGATTTATTCGCATTTGAAGAGAAACCAGAGTGCCACATAAATTTCCAGCCAAACATTATATTCCAAATTCACAATATTAGCACAGGTGAGGATTTGCACTATCGCCATCTATATGTTGTTGTCTTGGCAGTTCCAATATAGGTTCCTTTTAAACCACGTAACGTATGCTAAATGAGCGTTTACATTAGGGTTTTTTTGTTGTTGCCTATCTACTACCTTTGTTAATGTGTTTATAAACAAAGCTACCACCTTACTAACAGCTCTACTTACTAATAATTCCAAAGCAACTAATCTGAATGAGTTTACTTGATTAGCCATACACTATCAATTCAGTCCTAACAATGTAAACTTTGCCTTAACTTCAACAGAGAACATTCGTTCTAACTTCTATGGTTAGTTGTCAACCAAAAAATACAAATGGTGACGCATTTTAAAAATGCAAATATTTTCAAAATAATGTGAAACTTTTAAAGTTAACAACAGAAATAGAAATGGAATACCGTTCGCCTTTGGATAATGTTTTTAATTTTATAAGCGGCCTTCCACAGGGGCACGACAAACCAGTAAAGCACGCTCTGTATAATGCTATTGCACTATTTGCCCTGGTTCTGTGTTGTGCTGCGAGCTATGCTTTGTACGTTATTTTGGGGCCCTTTATTAAACCATTGATGTGGGCATTGCTAGTCGGCTCTGTACTTCATCCGTTCAAACGTTCATTGGCGAAAAAGTTTAAATCGTGGTTCGATACAATGGAGGAAACTGGGACTCCGATTTTCATTGAAATCTTTGTCATACCTGTGAATATTATTAGCAGCTTGTCAGATTTCATAGGTGATAAGCTACTGAAGTACATTAAATTAATTGTTGCGATTTGTGTTGTTATACCGTTGTTACATGTTGTTTATTATTATACGCCAAAGATATGCATTAGAATTGTTTGGTGTTTGCTCACTTATACTCATACTTTAATGGCATTTGTGATAAATTATTCCACAGCAGCAAACGTAGGTCTACATTCATTTTTACTTCGAATAATCGTGTCTTTTGTAGATTACATTGGTTGTCATCGCTTATATTACTGTTATGTTTTTTTTATGGAACCCAAAGAACAACATCAAGTTTCATATTGCTGCAATCGGGATTTGGTTATTGTTATCGTGTTTTTTAGTCCACCAATTTGGTGCTTTGCAAACGCCAGTGTTTATTGTTATGCAAATAGTATTTCTAGCTGGATTTGTGTATGAGGTATATGAAATTCAATTGCAAATTTTAGCTGAAGGTGAGCCCTTTTTTACTTTTCAGTTTTATAGTAGTATGTGATTGTAGGTCACCAGATTTCCATGGTGGAGGCAGTAGTAATTGCTTTTAATCCTGAAATGAAGTCAAAACTGTTGGGTGATGGGGATAACATGCAACAGTCTGACCAGGAAGAGAAGGTAGGATTAGGTTCAAAGGAGCTCATGCACTGTAGATCGAGTGTAGGTACCTATTTTGGTTCAGATTTATTGCTTGTATCTACCACTTTCTAAACGGAAGTACCTCAGACAGTGTTGTTTGTAGTTCCTCTGCCATTTTTTCTGTCTGTAAATTCTTCTTAGATTAAATAAACCTCAATATTGATTGTGTACCACCTATATCAATATCTCGTGTGTTTCAAAAAGTACCTAGTGTAGTCTTGAGGTAAAATTTTTGAAAATATTTTTAGTTCATATACCTAGTCACTGTTATAGACCCAGTCTTCAGCCAGAATTAAGTAGCAGGGGTGGCCGGTGTTTTTCTGGGTGGGGCTTAAGAAGTTATAGCCTTTATCGATTAGGTACTACTCATATAGCTTATCTCTTATGTTAAGGTATGGAGATTAATGTTTTTGATCAGTTTTTGTGCTTGTATTCCACTCCCAAAAATATTATAGTTCATTACTTCACCTTTAACAGCTGCTATAATTTTTAAATCTACCATTCTAACGTTGTTTCATTGGCCAAGCCAGGAACAGCCACCCCCAATTCATTTGTGAAAATTAATTTATATATTCTGTTTATATTATCTTTATTCTCTCCAATGGTAGAAGGATATTTTGTCTGAAACAAGCACGGAATCAATTCTCATTTTTATTCTTTAATGTAGAATACCAATACTGAGCTTTACTACCACTAAACTGCTCTTATAATACTGGAACGCGCGCTCCGTTCGACAGTCCAATCCGAGAGAGAGGGACACTAGAGGTCTCTGTCTCTTACTCTCTTGCAATAGATAGAGCCGCCGATTGTGATGTGCGCGTTCAAGTATAAGTACAGTTCAGTGTTTAAAGACTTATAAAGAGGGAATTGATATTAAAATTCAACACTGATTAATTACTAATAAATACACTTACAAACAAATCGTTTTTACTTTCTTCTGCCAACAAATTCTCAAACTCTTCCATTTCCTCAATATCGTGTAATGGCAATTTTTAGTAAATATTTCAAGTAAGTGTTTACTTGGCTGTTTGTTTGATTTATAGGTGTCTATGTTGAGAACAATATCAGTAACTTGAAATTTTATTCTATAACCATTTCTAGGAAAATATAACATACATCGTAGATATTAAAAATCGATCTAAGTGATTAAAACAATAAAAAAAGATTCGAAAAATTTCAAAAAAGGATTAAGTGCTTCAAAAAGGTTTTAAACAGATTTTTGGATGAATCTTTTTTGAATTTATTTGTTATATTTTCCAAAAGAGAATGTAATGTGTTTTATTAAAAAAAAATAAGGTCAAATATGACCTCTTTTTGACCCCGTACACTTGTTTTGAAAACAGCAGATTATTAAATCATCATTGCAAAGAAATGTTTATATAAAACATTTTTCTGTATCTTTTTTAACTAAGAAAATATGGGGTCATTTTGAAATTGACAAATTTGTACTTCTGCCCCGTATCTCTTAGGCGAGCGAATTTTCAAATTTTTGATTTTCTGTTTATAAAAATTATATTTTTTTGTTTCAGCAAGAAGCTGTGTTTGATACTGATAAAAAAACTGCAGAAACACCAAATGCAACTGTATTTTCAAGTTCGAAGGAAAAAGATCCTTGGTCTCTTGAACTATTTGAAAATAAAACCGCAGAGTTGCAAGATAAAACTGGGAAACAAAGTATTGAAACAACCACCACCTCTGAGCAATCAACACCGACTGTTATCAAAGATGTACTTGACAGGAAAGCGCCCAGTAGGAATAAATTAAAATTTCAACGATCACAATCTCAACCACATGTCTCAAATTGGCAATTGAGGTCATGTTTATTTCATTTTAAATCCCCAAAAATTGAGGACTTGAACAGCGGGAATAAAAAGAAATCGGACTATGGTAGTGATTTTTATTTAGGTACATTAATCTGGTGCTGCTTGACAATGTTGTTTTGGAAAAATTTGATGATGTTACCAATTTTGGTTATCCCAATTCTAATTTATATACTCAAACATGTTGGGATATATCTCGGATTGTGGAGTTGGTTGTACAGTTATTGGACTAACGTAATGGATTGTTGTGCGGCGTGGTGTTTGGAGAGGTATGATGCTCTGGTGCCGATCCCAGTTAGAGGATTACATAAGTTTCTCGATATGCTTAATATGGGCGTTAAGAGAAATCTCAGAAAAAGTATCGATACTGTTGCTAGTTGTGTCGTAATTTTAGGTCTTTTGATCTTTGCCCTTTGTGCCTCAGTTTTTATAGCGATACAGGTAAACTAGTACCGTCGATAAGTTACTTTTTCATGCCATTTTGTTCAGATATATGCTGAAGCTATTATGCTAGTGCAAATGACTGGCAATTGGATAAATCAAATAATCGTTCATAATCCCGAGCTACGTCAAATGCTGCCTCCTACTTTTGATGATACGGTAGATTCAATTTTAGATAATGCGTATCAATATGGTCGTGAAGGGATATCGAAAGTTGTAAGTGAACCAAGTCTACTTTTCACATACTCATTATTGATCTGTGGTAGGTGCGTAGTATGGTTAATGATGTGGATGACGCTAAATCTGCTAAGTTGGAAAAGCAAGTTTTGGAACTATGGGATCGTTTGTATCAAACCTGGATGTCTTCTGATAATGTACATGGTCCACAAGTGACGTCTACGGCAATTCAATATTCGTGGAATGCATTTGTTGACGATATTCAGAAATCTCCAGGTAGATCGGTTTCTAATTACTTAATCCGCTGTGAAGTGACTAAGCCCATTGGAAATAGAAAGTAGCCTAATAAGGTTGTGGGTGCACTTTTGAATTGGTTTTTAACTTTGATCCAAGTAATTGACCAAATACTTTTTTATGAATAAAAAGCACATCCTTTTGAAACTTTCGGTTAATGTAAGCTTGCATAAAAATGTTCTCACTCAGTAATCCTTATTTAAACATTTTTAGACATTAATTTGCCATATAATAATTAACTCAGCTCATTCTTGGACACACTGTATATCTTCATATTTTTAATCTGGGCAAAAACTGGGATCATGATTAACAAACATTCTATGCAAGCGGTGTAGTAAAAGGTTTTTAATATTTGCGTGTATTTTGCGCAACCCTAGTTTTGGCCTGGATGCTCATTTATGTACAATTTTATTTTGTTTAACTAATATAGAATTTGTTGTAGAAATGTTTAATGTACAAGGAATATCAGAATTTGTGAAACAAAACATAGGAACCTTTATGTCTCTATTGGATTCGATTTGGGGCATATTGAAGGGTAACATAAGTTTGGTGTTGGGCTCATTTAGTGCATTTATGTCTGTACTGCTTGGGGGAGGCACTGCTGTACTTAACTTTTTCTTAAATGTGGTAAGTATTTTTTTAGAGTAAATTGATGGAATGCCGTTTTAGTAAAAAGGCATGAAATTATCAAAAAACAATTTATACAACATTCATAAAACATATTAAAAAATTGTTAAATCATATTGGAACATTTCAACAAATTGTGAGTTGTAAAATATTTAAATACAAATTTATAACATTCTTTAAATTTCTGGCATTTTTACTAAAACGGCGTTCCAAAGTATTACCTGTAAAATTATTAGAAATTGGATTTGGCTGAATATAATTGCAAACAACACAAACTGACCAACTACAAAATGTTGGTGTTTTAATTTATTGGAAAAGATAAAAACGATTGAAAATTTCATAAATATCGCAAAGCTTTAAGTTAAAAATAGGTTCAAATAAAACATATGAACATATTTTTTAAACTGTTGTAGAAAAACGTTTGGGGTGCTTTGAAATGCATACTTTTGGCACACGGATCATCAAATATAATATTACTTAAAAAAAGATCTTAACGTTTCATAGAATACAATTTTGTTTCTCAAAAATAACATCATAAATATAACACTTGTAGAAAATTTGTATTCACAACACGGGTTTAATATTTTTACATTTTGAAAGATATGATTTACATATATACAAATTATTCTACGTATAAAATAAAGAGTTGATAAAAAAATGAACCTTAACACAAAATTTGATGTAAAGTAAGATTTAGAGATCGACGATACGCCAAAAAAATAACACTGCTAAAAATGAAGTTCAAGTATGAAAGTTTCTTTAAATGTTATTGAAAAAAATTTAAGTTGAATTTGTTCGAGTGTTATAAAAACGAAAATTGTAGAGTTAAATAATTTAAGATTATAAAAATATTTAAGTGTAGTGTTTTTATATTTCAGGAAATTAAATTCTAAAGATATACAAAATAACGTTTATAGTTTTTTATTTCAGTAGATCTTAAATGTTGTAGATTGAACATTTGAGAAATATAAAATAATGATCTTAAAAAGTTAAACTAATATTTTTTTAAGTTCAATATTTTAGAGTGTTATAAAAATAACAGTCGATAATTTTCAACTTGCATTTTTACTAAAACGGCGTGGTAAGTATCGACGCCATCTACCGTTACGAAGATATGCAGACTTCTACCACCGTTGACCGTAATATACTGAAATAATATTACAGATTCCTTTGATTTTCACCCTAACGGATACACATTGAGCTATACGATCAGCTGTTTTTTTTTTAAATTTAAATTTTGTAAAGGCAGGCGTTACTTGTTTTATTTAACTTCCTTTATGAAATTTGGGCAAAATGAATGAAATTAATGAACGTGACAATAACATTCTGTTAATAAAACGAAGAATTAGGCGGGAATTGATGGATGCAGAATGCAAAATTGTTTTACCACATGTTATCGTTTACTACACTTATTTGTGGTAAAGGTCCACGTTATCTAAAGACACCGCTTTGGTTACACGCATACTGGTTATCACCGTTAGGGTTAAGATCAAAAGAATCTGTAAAGCCGCGAAATCTCCATCAATTCCCGCCTAATTCTTCGTTTTATTAACAGAATGTTAATGGCCCGTATGAATAAAAGTAAGCAAATGCTTATACTTGCAAAATTCAAAGTAAATACTCGTAACTGCCCCTTCATACCGGTCTATTTAGCAGCGCTGCAATGCGTCCTGTCCTTCTGCTTAGCAGCGCTGCTAAGTCGCCCAGTGCGAAGGAGCACTTATGAGTATTTACTTTGAATTTTGCAAGTATAAGCATTTGCTTATTTTTATTCATACGGGCCAATGTCACGTTCATTAATTTCATTCATTTTGCCCAAATTTCATAAAGGAAGTTAAATAAAACAATTAACGGCTGCCTTTACAAAATTTAAATTAAAAAAAAACAGCTGATCGTATAGCTCAATGTGTATCCGTTAGGGTGAAAATCAAAGGAATCTGTAATATTATTTCAGTATATTATTGTTTACTCTATGATTACGGTCAACGGTGGTAGAAGTCTGCATATGTTCGTAACGGTAGATGGCGTCGATACTTACCACGCCGTTTTAGTAAAAATGCAAGTTGAAAAATATCGACTGTTATTTTTTTTTGCGCGATCGGTCATTTCTGACTATTTACCATGTGTGTTTCCATGACAGTACGTGGAATTTACCAGTTGCTATGATTACGACGACGCCAAAATTACTTACCGATCTAAAAACAGAACAGCAAAAATACTTACCGACGCCTTTTTAAAAACAATCAGTCCAATGTTAACAGTCTTACATTACTTTAATCTTTAATTTAATCTTCGACATACCATTCGGCCACCGGCGAATACCTGTCTCATAATGTCATAAAGGAAGTGCAAAGCTAGCAAACTACATCAGACACATGCACAATTTTATGAAATTATTAATTTCAATTTTGACAAATAAACTGGTTACCTAGTGATGTACACCATACCACTTCGATCATTTCGATTTATTCTGCTCGTTAATTTCTTAGTGCATACTTTGGTTGCATACTTTTAATTTCGATCGCGCAAAAAATGTTATAAGCACGTCGAACGTTAAGGGTTACCGTTCTCAGACAATTAATTGGAGTCGTCGCTCCGCTCCTCCTCCAAACAATTGTCTTCGAACGGTAATAGTTATTTGTGTACCAAGGCCGTAAAAGTGATCTTTTTTGGCCGAAGCTGCTGTTTGCGGCCGAGGCCGCAATTCAGATGAGGCCTAACAAATCACTTTTGGCCAAGGTGCACACAACATTTTTTAGGCGATCATCAAAAAAGAATTAAAAAATTTGCTCATAAACATATTTTTTCTGAAAATCATAGTTATCTTAGACAATTAAAAACAAAGCATTTCCTGTCATATGTAATTATAATTAGCATCTTTGTGTGTGTTTTGTGCGTATCAAAATGGGTGATAGCGACAGTTCAGATACCCCAAATGAAATTTTGGAAGCTGCAAGCGTTGCGACCCTAAGTCATATATGATATAAGAGCAGGCATTTGAGAGTAAAAGTACAATCGCAACTTCCTCCGTTGCACAAGATTTTAATAATGTCAAATGCAATAGGTCCTTCGTAACTGTGGCTTCCAAGACCTTATAGTTAACATGCTGTACAATTATTAGAAACCTGATTCCCTACTTTGATGGTAGGTATAGGTAGCTACTTGTGTTCTCAGTTAATTGCTGGTGATTCTTCGTATAATAATGTAAGCAATAACATCTTCCTCATGTTTTGGTTCTACACTTCAAAAAGGTCTGCAAGCAGCAAAGATTGAAACGTCAAACTATCATTTTAAATGTGAACATTGTGATTATGCAAAATAGTGTGAAACATTCCTACAAGTCCGAAAATAAAAAAAACACACGTGGATGGCCCTATCCTTGATGGGGCTAGACCAGATAGACGCTTTGTATCAAACAGATTACTGTTTCTCATACATCAGTTTCAAATAAGTACAGTTTGATAGATGTGTACAATAAAGTAAAGTTTGACAGAAGCGTACAATAAAGTGAAACTTTATGGCCGCAAAAGCGACCACAAAATCAACGTTTTTGTGATGATAGCCTAAAAAAATCCCTTACCGTTCTCCATACTTAATATACTATAACACTCTAAAATATTGAACTTAAAAAAATATTAGTTTAACTTTTTAAGATCATTATTTTATATTTCTCAAATGTTTAATCTACGACATTTAAGATCTCCTGAAATAAAAAAACTATAAACGTTATTTTGTATATCTTTACAATTTAATTTCCTGAAATGTAAAAACACCACATTTAAATATTTTTATACTCTTAAATTATTTAACTCCACAATTTTCGTTTTTATAACACTCGAACAAATTCAACTTAAATTTTTTTTAATAACATTTAAAGAAACTTTCATACTTGAACTTCATTTTTAGCAGTGTTATTTTTTTGGCGTATCGTCGATTTCTAAATCTTACTTTACATCAAATTTTGTGTTAAGGTTCATTTTTTCATCAACTCTTTATTTTATACGTACAATAATTTGTATATATGTAAATCATATCTTTCAAAATGTAAAAATATTAAACCCGTGTTGTGAATACAAATTTTCTACAAGTGTTATATTTATGATGTTATTTTTGTGAAACAAAATTAAATTCGATAACACTTCGAGATTTTTCTTTATTCGGTATAACATTTGGAGAAGTTAATTATATTTGAATATATGTTAGAGTAATGTGACTATAAATGTTTTAAAATGCTAAATATTTATAGTTGAAAAATTTAGTACTTTTTACTAAAACGGCATTCCATAGATATACTATTTTAATTTTTTTGTTTGGTAACACTAGAATTGTATACTTCGTGTTATGCCTCAATTTTTATAATTGCACTGTCTAAATGTAAGATTTATGATCCATATAAAAAATGACATTTGTTACAGATCGTCTTTTTAACAACACTCTTTTATCTTCTTAGTGCAAGCGGAGACTTATACAAACCTGTAGAGCTACTGACAAACTTCTCCACTAGTGGAAGTCGTTTTGGCTTAGCACTAGAAGGTGCTGTAAATGGAGTATTTACTGCATCTTTTAAAATGGCGGCGTTTTATGGGCTTTGGACATGGTTCATACATAATTGTTTTAACGTCAAGATCGTGTACTTACCATCAGGTAATTAATCCAGTTAAAACCAATTTATAACTTATAATTTTAGCGCTCGCCACAATACTGGGAGCTGTTCCGTTTTTGGGCACGTATTGGGCATGTCTACCTGCCGTTTTAGACTTATGGCTAGCGCAAGAGAAAAGTTTACAAGCCATTCTGTGCGCCGTTTTCCAAGTTTTGCCAATGACAGTCGTCGATGCGACCATCTACAATGAAATTCAAGGGTAAATTCCTCTTAAGTACCCACCTAATAAGAGTCTTCAACTATTTTCTAGGGGCGGCCATCCGTATTTAACTGGTCTTGCAATTGCTGGCGGAATCTTCTGTTTAGGAGTGGAGGGGGCAATTATTGGACCGTTGCTTTTATGCGGTTTGTATGTTGCGATTGCACTGTCGTCTAGTTTCTTTAAGGAATCGCCGTCTGAAGAAAATCTTAATGTTCCTACCTTGTCAAGGTAAATTCTAATTGGGAGATACAATATGGGGGCACAAAACGCGGGTTTTAACACTTTCAGATTAGAAATACCTAACTTCAGGAAACATTTAAATATTGCAAGTCTTAGTAATGCTTATGCTTAATGCACTGTTAACTTTATTTTGGACCAAGTTTATTGAGTTGTGTTGTTGCATATTTATATTTTTATATATTTATTTTAATATTACCTAATAAATGTTTTTTAAATAAAATTTGACTTTAATAAAAAACGGTAAACGGAATAACAGCCTGAAAGTATTGCAGCAGCAGCGACGTGTCTACACAGCTCTGCTTAGCTGCCTAGTGTGGAAGGTTTCAACGTCAGCAGTGCTGCGAGCAGTAACGTCGATACCGCGGTCGCTCAATGTAAACCATTGCTCTGTCAGCAGCAAACCGGCGCTGCGAAGCCGCCTAGTGTGAAGGGGCACTAATTCTCAATTGAATTGACCATCATTCCTACTCGCACGAGTCACGGTCGATAAGCAAGTGTAAAGGTTTGGGTGGCAGCATAGAACGTGTTTGTATTTTTTTATTATATGACGAAATATTGATTTGAAAAATCAATAAATCGTATATTCGTGTCAGAACTCTAAATGGTGAAGGTCGAAGAAATTGCATAACCAAACCCTGCATTTTTGACTAACCATGTATATAAAGGAGGCGTTTGATTACAGATAGGTGTGGTTTGCGATTGTTGATCTGCGAACTCGTCAAAAAACATAACCTTAAACGTTAAGTAAACATGTAAATTGCAAAAAGAAAGAGGTGCCCTTTGAAAAATGGCAAATAACGAGGATTCGTGGGTGCAAATTTTCGATATCCCCGATACTAGTAAACATAAAAAAGGGTTCACCATATACAAGATCATCTCGATGGTAAATACTAAAAAGTTTCAATTCCTTACCTGGTTTTCTTATTCCTAGCTCTATCCGAAAGCTTGTCCGGATTCTGTAACTAAGGTCACTGTTTGGAAAAGGTATAATGATTTCAAGAAACTACACCGCGAAATGAAACAGTATGCTAAGATGTTAAAGTTGAATGGTTTTCCTGGTTTGCCCAATATTTCATATTTTCACAGGTGAGTAACACTTGTGTTTTTACAGTGATTGATAGACAAGTTGTAGATTTGATGACGAAGTTATTCAGCAACGAAAGGCGGGAATTTTATATTTTTTAGAGTACATTTCGTTGAATCGTTTATTGTATACATCTGATATTTGTGTCCAATTTTTTAAGGTATGACTACATGTCTTAGTGATTACAGCAATATCTGGTTTGGTTTCAGACTAGTCACACTCCTAGTGATATCGTAGATAGTAATATACAGCTAATTAGGGCAGAGCTAAACTTGCCCATAGAAACTGAGTATAGTGTTATTCGTATACCATCAGATGATGATCATACTTTAAGTGATACAGATTCCTTATCAACGCTAAGTAGTGTAAGTATTTTCTTGATGTGCAAGTCTGTGCCTGACGGCTTTATTTTCCAGTTTCAGGTGATTGAGCACTTACCTGATCCACTTAACTTTTGCAGTAGTGCTAATAAACCTACTAAATCTTCTGCCTTAAAAAATTCTCACAAATCATCCGACACTTTTAGTATCTCTGTTAGTAGTATTTCACTGGATCCATGTACAATTATTGAGGAGCCTGGGTATCCGACTCCACCTCACACTCCAAATTCCGCTCATACAGATGGATTTTCTAATTACATACAGGAAGCCTCTGTCTGTATTGAGAAGGCGATCGACTTTGAAGTGTCAAGAAAGTATGAAGAGGCATTTAATCAATATAAAGCTGGGATAGAGATTTTACTTAAACATGTAAAAGGTTTGTATGATTCTTGGTGTGATTAAAATTTGCATATCACACTCATGACTCGCATGCTAAATACTGCAAATTGTGTCTGCACTACAACAGTATTAAATTTTTTAATCGGAAGGCTTGAAGCATTCACATTTATAATCTTAAAATTGTGTTTTTAAAAACAGAAGAATATATATTTGCCCTTCCCCTCTTTCCGCTCCTGTGACCATGAAAGTTTAACCAACCTGCTTAAGAAACTTCTTGTATATCTAAATTTATTTGTTAAGATTATTTCCAACTTTTCATGAACCCTGTGCTTCTCATAAATCATTTATTGATATGGACTTTTATACAGGGTGGTTCAAATCCAGTGATTACTTTCAATGTAGGTTAAATGGGGGCGCCAAGTTCTTGAAAACAAAGTGGAACACAAAAACAATCGGAGGCGGGGATGAAGAGGGGGATGAAAACTTCAAACAACTTTGCGTGTATATTTGACTCCCAAAGTAATGCATGAATGAAACAAATAATTTCTATTCACAGCTGACAGATTGCAGCTTGCTTCACGTCTTTCAACATGCGTCAGGGGCAAACAAGCATTGCTTTCAGTTACTGCAGTCCTCTTACGGCGCTAACGTACATTATTATCATAGTTTCACACCACACAAGTTGTGGCGTGTGTACCTATGCATTCTTTTATTTCCTAAAATACTTACATGCCATTATTATAAGTACAAATGTAATTGTAAGGTTAATAGGTGTCCCGCCTAAGGGTTAAGAGTCTTCTGTACCCACTGCATCCAATGTAAATTTCCATAATAGCGCCCGCCATAAAAACTCTATTTGTTTTTCCAAAAACAATTTTTTTTAAGAACTATTTTATAAATTTAGACCTTTATCTACAAAATGTTCGGACTATTTTTTTTTAAAAGGTTATAGCAACTTAATACCGATTGTTTAAAAATTAGATGTTTCGCACCGATTATTGTGCTAATCTGTTTTATTTTTTTACTCTCGATCAAGACGATTTATGGAAAAAGTAAACCGACAGTTTTTTAGATAAGTTATTTCTAAACATGACCCCAAAAAATGAAATCAAAATTTTTCTAAATAAAGTCTGTATCTTGGCGGGCGTTAAATTAACAATTTGAGTGTAACAAGTAGCGCCGCTGCACAGTGTCGGTGGGAACTAACTAAGGACCAAGACAGCAGTTGACAAAGCAAGAATTTCATCTTATCTCTTGCAGATATAATCATCTATACACTATAATGTAAAAAAGTTGCGCTTAGGTAAAGAAGACTCTTAAGCGTGACGCGTGAAACAATATATAAAAGCGGGATTATCTCGCCTAAATCGGGACGCCTCTGACAGCCCTAAGCATGCAAGATGTAGAAGCTACAAGCTATTACTGAATTTTCACAGAATCAGATAGTGATAGAAGACAAAAAAAGAAACTCATTTGAATGGATCGCTATCATAACCATGTTGATTCAGCAAGATCTAGTTACCCGTGGATACGTCCATAAGAAGTATACTGGGAGGTTTTTCCCCGCTTTTAGATTGTGCCCCAAATATTTAGTGCCCTTAGCACTTATGTACAATTAATTATGATGTAAGTGCTAAGGGTACTATATGTTTTGGGGCAGGATGTAGAACATGAGGGTCTGGCGTTACGGAATAACTCCAGGTGTTCTTAGGTCTTATGATGGATATAGAGAAATACGCTACCTACTACCACAGATTAAATACAATAGTAATTAATAGTTTTCCCACAAATTTCACTTTTTTCAACACCCGGAGTTTCGCCCGCGATGAAATTTAGCTGTTATAATTATTTTTCCCCAATTTCCAATCATTTCACCTGGATGGTTTGGATCGGGAAGTAATTTTTTTAAAAATAAATTATTGGAACCAAATTTGGTACACATATTCCAAAAGCTTTTGGGTAGAATCGCGCATGCGCAAGTGTGTCAAATTAACAAAAAACTGTCAATTTTGAATGTTTTTTTAAAATTTTATTTTGCCTTTATTTTTGAGCGGGCGGGATTTCAGCCAAGGCTGTTCTACCAACCCAACCACTATACATTTACAAATATCCATGCCCGAACCAGGGACCCTTAGCACCACAGTGAGCTGGCTTCCATATTATGGCTACACTATTGCATCGTGCGGGTGGTATCTGTGCTCGTCACAGCAAATTTTTTTGTTGGAGCATTAATGACTCGGTTGGAATGGGAAATTGGAATAGCAGGTAGATTATTATCTAAATCAACTTTAGCATATCGTAAACCCTGTGATAAAGTGTTATAAAGATTGTATAATAACGGTCGTGATGTACTGAATGTTATAGTGACAAACAGTTGCCGGTAATTTAGGTCTGAATGTAAAAAATAAAAGCACCGCGGTGGTTAAATTTCTGACTAGTAAAGCCTCCTATGTGCAAGTAGCCCAGAGAATTAAACTCCAGATGAAACTATTTTTGATGATTGATGATTAGAACATTTGATGATAATTTTAATTTAAATTACTTACTTAATCAAATGCCACCCACCTACTGGAAAGTTAACATGCTAGTTAGCAATAGAATAAATACCGAATACATTCTTGTTGCTTCCAACCAAAATTCATAAATTTTTATTGCAAATTACGTAAATTATTGGACTTGCCAATTTAAAATTTGCCTTATTTCCCAAAAGCTACATTATCACCTATTATTAATTTTCTTCAATTTTTCTGAATAAGCCAGGCCCGTAGCCAGAACGAAGTAACAGGGGTGGCCACTCCCAGGCTACGGGCTTGGAACAATCACTTTAAATATCTAAAAATACCATGACATCCTGGATCAATGATTACCATTAGTTTGGCGAAATATAGAAATGCTAAATAATATAAAATTTAAAAAATGCAGCATCAGCTGGAAGTCGAACCCGGGCCGCCTGCGTGACGTTTTACGGCGATTAGACGATCGTGGGCGACGGCAAAAATAATTGACGACGGTTAGCATCTTAATATACAGGGTGAACATTTTTTTCTGGAACACTGAATATATCTTTGAAACAACGCTTTTTTTTAACAGAAGCTTTTTATGGTATCCAAAATTATAAAACGTTTGCTACTAATGTACGTACTTCTTCATAGTCAAGGGGTTTTTTTTTTAATGGCAACCACTAGTTTTCATTACATATTCTTCAAAAGTACACTGTTTTGGATATAGCAACTCAATAAAAATATTATATTACGTAATCAAATATAAGAAAAAAAAACTTAAATTAGGGGAATAATGGTTGTGTTAATTTACTACTTTCATTAGTTTGCGTTGTTAGTTAAGTGAAAGCAATTTATTTTATTAAAAATCTTTAAAAAAATGTAAGTAAATCTGCACGCTTAAAAATTATTTATAGTGGCGTACGTCTACAGAACTACAGGGGTCACTTTTTTTAATGGAAAGCAGTATTTTTTGTAATGTATTATTAAGTAATTAACTTTTTTTTCGATATTTACACACACTAAACATATAAGTGTTGCCTTATAGAAGCACTTCACTGGTTATTTAAAATTTTGAAAGATGGTAATGCAACCACGAGATGCCTGAAGCATGTACTCATCCCCTAATTAAACTAGCATTAAATAAATGTCGGCACTTTTATCCTTGTGTAATGTACACACTACCTCAGTTCTACTCTAGGGACGCTTGTCGCTTGTTATAACTGTTTTTATCAAATCTCTTAACCACAGATATGCTAATGACTTTTTTTTCATGCCAAATAAATTAAATTGACCACAAAAATTGATAAATGCTACAATTTCTGGTTGTATTGAGGTTGTTCAGATGATTGTGTTTGTAATCCTCTCACTCGTTTAGGGACACAGTGATTTATGCGGTTTTTCAAAAATACTCGACATTAGGGATTTGATGTGCAGTGCATGCGATTCTATTTCTGACAACAAAATATAATGAAAAATAACTTTCAGATGACAAAAACATCGACATAAAAGACATGATTAGACATAAGATAGAAAAATATCTATTAAGGGCCGAAAAAATCTTCAACCTCTACTTATCCAGAGAAAGTCAAACTGTTCGAAATTACGTATGTATATTAGCGTTATGGAAGGACCAATAGTATGGTGTTTTTGCAGACACAACCCACTGGTGATCTCACTAATGATGACACCACAAAACAGTCAGAGTCGGAGTTGTATAATTATAAAGTTCTAAGGACTATTGGTTGCGGAATGTTAGTATTGCACATTGGATCTCAACAATTATATTACGTCAAGGTTAGTTTTATGCCCCCACAATTGTCTTAACTTGCTATGCTATTTTAGGTTATTCAGAAGACATCGAAATTTTCCAATGACGAGCTTAGGCTACCCGGAAATGTGCCTTATATGGTCAAATTGTGTAACTATTATAATTGTGAAAATGCTATATTTTTGGTGCTTGAGTTTATCAGGTAATTTGTCATACCACCAAAACAGCATCGAATTTCCTTGCTCCCAATTGTCACCATCAGTGTTTTACAATACCACATTCAATCATTTGCAAGACCTTTGTTACAACCATTTTAAGAAATAGTAACATTTTTTACGTGATGGTGTGGTATCAGTCTTCTAGTAGTCCAATTTTTATGACACAATCACTATTTGACACTGTTCTAACTATTTTAATTTTAGTGGTTGCAATCTCAAAGAACTCATGCAAAGGTTAAATTCAGACGACATCCTTCAATGCAGCTTTTCGTCCAATTTGACCACATTTAGCGGTAGAGACCTAAATGGCGTCAATGACGAATCCTCCGATTCTGAACACAGCTACAGTGATCTAATTTACGACTACACATTAAGTAAAATTAAGTCCAGTGACATTGCCGAACGATCCGAAGATATTAGTAGTTCATTAAAAAAAGATTCCTCTGAGGAACATTCCAGTGATAATTTAATTAATTCGTCAAACAGAGAACTGAAGATATGCAGATCCCTATCTAAGAGTGTGGAATCGGAGGCGAATACCAGTTATTTTTCTAGGCCTACTTTATGTCGTAAATCGAGCGAAAGAAGCGAGTGGTCGTGTTTTGATGATTGTGAAATAAATGAGAACGTACTTTTATCAATTAGCGATATTACAAAATGGGCAGCTCAGCTTTTATTAGCATTGGAGAGGTTACACTCTTTAGGAATAGTATGTGGGTAGGTAGCAAACAAAAAGTGTTGGCTTTATGCTGTGTATGACTTTATTCCAGTGATCTGCAAATGAAAAATTTACTTATCAATGAGTCGGGAGACTTAACTTTAACCTATATGTACAGTATGCAAGACAAAAATTACATTTTTTTAAACAATAGGAACGAAGTAGCTTTAGCACCAGAACTCTACGGCTTTCAACCGGTTCATTTCGCAGTTGATTGGTGGAGTTATGGTGCCATTTTGTATGAAATGCTTGTGGGAATGGTACCTAAACACTTCAACAATTTAACATCTTGTCTAAAATGTTCATTTCCAGCCATTGGATTTACTCTATCCTGAAGGTTTTAACGCTTTTTCTACTTTGAAGATGCCTAAATATGTCAGCCTAGAAGGACGCTCACTTTTAAGACAGGTATTCATATAATTTCCTTTGCTGTAGATAAGTTACCAAATTTTAGTTACTGGTCTATGATCCGCATGAGCGTTTAGGAGCAGGTGTCAATGGATCTGAAGATATAAAAACTCACCCATTCTTTAGCACAGTTTCGTGGGATGTCCTATCTGAAAAGGTCAAGTCTACTTAAGACTTAAGTTAATTTTTGCACCAAAAGTCTGATAAATGAAGTCCAAAGATGTCTTTTCTACACTGTTCTGATCTTTATGCCATTAAGTATTTTGTTTAATTTCATTAATCTCTTACCATAAACCTAACACGTGGACCAGGTCTTAAAAGCTTTAAGATGCTTGTTATATTTTTATCTATGTATGTTAATGTGGATATTATTAGAGGAGTTTTGTTTAAATTCTTCTGGCAAAAGTTATTAGATGTAATAGATGCTTTGTTTGGTACTGTTATTTTAATAAACTTTGTGAATAGGTAGTCCTCGAAATAGAAACTTATATCTGTTTATGAAGTATGGTACCATCCGAAAGTTCTGTCCTCGTCCGATATTTCGTATAAGGTTAAATTTGTATATGGTAGGTAAACCTGCTCAATGAAAATGTAGGTAATACCTTCAACTCTTGTCTGCTATTGGGAAAAAAATAATTGTTAATTTGTATCATACAAGTAGGTAAAGTGTACCAACTTTTGTTGGGCGGGCGTTGGTCACATAACAATCTGTGTGGTCGACATAATGTCAGAATCTGAGCTAAAAGGCATGTTCTTTACCAAGTGCCGAGCTAAGAAAATCCAGTGGAAACTGGAAGTCATCTGCGGCGTGTAATACTAAAAACGGGATCTTTAGTTGACATCTCACCAATAAGTTAGCGTTGAGTTTGCTAGTAGTACAGCTACATGGTTTTTACCCATGAAAGTTTGGTGCGTGAGTTACTCAATTGCAGTCAATCTCTCTCTAACGGATCCCGTATCATTCAAATGCTTCATGGAGTAGAGAAATTCGAAAGAATTCTCCACGATCGCTCAATAAACGTAATAATATAGGGACTTATATTGACATGAGTAGCACCAAAGAGTGGGTACTCATTTGGTAGTACCATTTCACGTACGTTAACTCCTGAGCCGCGCAGTATACATTTGGACAACTTCCTGATTCCAGGATTTTCTGGTGAAGGTCGATTGACATTTGCTGCTACAGAGGAGTAGAGTTTCGAGAAATCGGCCATCATCATGACTATCAATAAAGGTGATCAGGTAAACGACACGAATACTCAGGCTTGTGGGAGCCCCAGGGACTAGCCACCTCTGCTAACTTAATAAGTGTCAGACTCTGAGGGATTGTGAAATTAGCATGAAAGGGGAAAAAAGAAAATAAATTTGTGCGTTTTATTTTCCTGGTTGGTCGAAACAGTCTATATACGTGTTAGTTGCGCTTGATCATCGTAACTATGAACATTGAATTTATAACTATCATGCTATGAATTACACAAACTATTGTACCTACTTACCAACATAAAAAATTATTTATTATTTTATCCTTTTTTAGCGTCTTTGCAAAATGTAGCTATATTCTACTTGATATGTTCTATACAGGCTGATTCAAATTCAAGGGATTGGATGCTTAACAAAATGCAGTTTTGAAATTTAAAAAAATTCCGACTACTTTCAGAGATATCCTGAAAAAAAAACGAAATTTTTGTTATTTTTTACTGGTTATTTAAAAAGATATTTAAAAATAAATGACACATTAATATAGTGACCACTTTTTTCTCTCTACAAGATGCTAGTTTTAAATTTTAAGTCTGACGTTTCGTCTCCGGTTAACCAGCATAAAGTTTGTTTTTCCTTATGGAAGTCATTTTTACTATTTGTGTCATTTGATGGAGCATTTTTCTGATTTCAAAAATGTAAATATCACTATTTGTAATAAGAAATGACCCAAGACAAAGTTTGCCAAGCAAAAAAGAAGATATTTGAAAAATTGATGTTTACATTTTTGAGATCAGAAAAAAATGCTCTATTAAATGACACAAAAAACGGCTTTTGTTAAGCATCCAAATACGCAACTTTGCCGAATTAAAACTACCTACGGAATACGGAACGGCAACACCTGAAAGGCATCCTAGGAGTGCCTCAGTTGTGTGTTTAAAATTAAAGGCCCTTTTGCCAAGCACTCCGAGCATAATTCTTTGAGTGTGTGCACTTGACGTCGGAAGCTTCGTACCTATGGCCATAGTAGGTATAATGCTATGGCTTCTTGCGTTGAGTGAAAAATTTCGATTTCAATGATTCTTGGTCGCCTTACCTCGGTGGTATCTTAGTTTTGCGGTTGATTCCGTCGGTTCCTGCAACACATCTAAGGGCAACGGGCGATCAAAAAAGGATTATGGCGTCGAGTCGCCTTTGGAAGTTCAAGTTACATACCTACAATTTTTCATGTACAAAAATTCCAAAGGTGACTCGAAAGCAACTCTTGTTTGATCGCATAGTACCTAAGTAATGTTAAAAATAAATTAGATCAATGACTGCCGTTCAACCTAAATTGGCCGTAAGTTACGTCAACCGCTCGTTATACTCGTTTTTACTTTCCTCACTAGAGAGGAAAATCACATTTTTAGTATAGTTTAAAAAAAACATCATTTTTACTCCATTTACCTACAATTAAAATAAACGGATTGTATCATGAACGAAGTTCTTTAAATTATAACGAAATCGAGAAGGATGTGATTTTACTTTAAGACTATTTGAATCAATGAAGATAGTTAGTGCTTATGGATGAGTATTTAAAACCTCACTGACCATTTACAATTGCATTTAAATCTGTGGAAGTGCATTCGCTGCAGCTATTTTCACTAACCCAGCTGCTCTTGTGGTATATTCGTGCAAAGAAGGGGTGACACGTACCTACTAATTATACATCACTTCATTATATTCTTGCTAATTACGTTCGAATAGCCACGCTTTGTCTCACCCTGTGTAATGTAGAGATTCGAACTTTCGTTCCGGCCAAATTAGTGACCGTTGCAATTGGTGCACAGTAGGTAAGCGAGGCGAGATTTCTGCTGAAATGCATTCATATCTTAAACTGAACAATTTTCATTTTTATATCACAATAGAACCTTTTCAGCGTTATATAAGTAATTCAATTTAAAATTCGACATGGAAATGAATTCGAGATCATCAGACCTATCTTTCGTTACCCATTACCTACCGACGTTTTAATCTTTAATGTGAGCTTTTTAGAGCGTATACTTATAAATCCGTTTTAGATTTTTTTAAATACTTACCCAAATTTAATTTATAAAAAGTGTTGATTAACTAAATTAAAATGAAGTTGTTATTGGTTGCATATATTTACCTATTGCTCTACTAAAAGATTAAATAATAGAGCCGATTAGGAGAAATCAATTCCAATTCAATAATTAATGAAGTTGTATGGGTATTTAATGAGCTAGGTTACACATTTCGAAACTAACTAATGAATTATTTTAATTTTTCTATGTAATATTTTAAGGATTCTGGAAAGTGTCTTAAATTTAATAGTAGCATTATGTTTAAACGGATTGTTTGTCACGCTTCCCTAAAAGTTGGGAAACTTACAAGATGTGGAAGTAAATTTCATAAACTAGTTTACCAGAAATGAAAATTTTTTTTCCAATAAATTTTAAAACTATTCAAGAAGCCACCTTAAAAGATATTGACTTAGGTAGTGGATTTTAAAAACTATCCTGCTTCGGGTTGGCCAACAGAAGTTCCAGAAAAATATAAAACACTTTATCGTCTTCGAAACAAATTAACTATAGAGTCAGATAGCTTAGTGTTTTGTGGATTAACAGAATAAGTAATTATACCCCATTCGGTTAGAGGCCAAATATTAAAAGATTTACATAAATCTAGTATGAGCATGTTAAAATGAAAATCCTAGCTCGCTCGTAATTTTGGTGGCCGGGAATGGATAAGGAAATTGAAAAATTGCTTCGAGCTGCGATACCTGTACATTACATAGAAACTAAAAAGTCACCCAATAAAGCAGTATTAAACCCGTGGGATTTTCCAGAGCAAGTGTGCAACAGGCTCCACTTTGATTTCTTGGGTCCATTTTTAAATAAATAATTTTTTACTTATATAGTTGATGCTCATTCGAAATGGATTGAGGCATTTCCAGTCACTTCAATCACTTCTAAGGCAGCCATTTATTGTTTGCAGGATTTGGGCTACCTAAGCAAGTTGTTTCTGATAATGCTACTGCTTACTTATACAGGGTGATTCCTATAGTACCTGCCACCGTTTGGGAGCGTATAGGGGGTGCCTAGGGGAAGTCTTTTCATATAGGACACTTGGGGTCGGAAATCCAAAATAAGGGCGCCAGAACCAAATTTATCTTCTGGAATTTCACGCCTGTATGTAGGCAACCCAACCGACCGACGTTTCGCGCGGAGCGATGCAGAGCGAGTTAGCGCGAGGAAGCGACATGGGAGGGAAGGAGGGAAAACGACAGTCAAAAGCAATAACGTTTACAAGTGTTCAACGTGGCCACCGTTGTTCTCAATGCACTTCCTACATCTAGCCAACCACTCCCCTCGAACTCGCGTGAAGACTCCTATGTCCTGGCGAACAGCCCCTCCGGCCATGACGACGCGCGCAATTAAGTCCTCTTCGGATTCGACGGGAGTCTCGTAGACGTACGCTTCCATCACACCCCACAAGTAAAAATCTAATGGGGTGATGTCGGGCGAGCGGGCAGGCCACTCCACCGCACCTCCACGGCCGATCCATCTGTCCGGATAGGTTTGGTCCAAGTGTTCCCTCACCTGCCGCCCGTAGTGAGCAGGGCACCCATCGTGCTGGAACCAGTGGTCCCAGTACAAGTTCACTGGAACATCCATTCCAAGTTCTGGTAGCACCGCCGGCCGGTTGGGTTGCCTACCTACAGGCGCGAAATTCCAGAAGGTAAATTTGGCTCTGGCACCCTTATTTTAGATTTCCGACCCCAAGTGTCCTATATCAAAATACTCCCCTACGCACCACCTACACGCTCCCAAACGGTGGCAGGTACTATAGGAATCACATCGCGAATTTGAAGAGTTTTTATCCCTGAATATTATCTTAGTGTCTTTACACTATGATATTATTAAACATATTACGTCACCACCGATGAGCCTTCATCCAATGGAGGACCTGAAAATTCGGTCAAAAGTATTACCTAAAAATACGCTCAAAAACGCATTGGGAAATATGCAACATTTAAATTATTTAAGCAAAGTTCTATGTAACTTTTAATTTAATTATCGAAATACACCCCATTCCCATAGCACCCTCACAATTATTATTTAAGTACGCACCAGATTCGGCAACCTGTTACCTACCACCAAAAATGATTGAAAATTCAACTGATGTACCTACATCAAAGACTTTTATATAAACAAGAACTACATCGTGGAAAAAGGATTTTGATATTTCAAGTGAATGAAAATGTATTA